CCGTAGCGTCAGAGAAAAACAGGGAAATGTTGATTGTCGGCAACGTGTTTTACAAACAGTGACATCTGTGCTTGTTGTTTCACTAGTGTTTCGAGGGCACGACCTCCGGAAAATTGCAAATATTAATCCCCAGCAAGAAGCCACACTTTCGCTATGGAAAAAATTAGTTCCCCGAGAGAGCGCCGGAAATGGAGCCTAGGTCTTGGTTAACTCCTAAAAGGCGCTTCGCCTAACGTGCGTACGGAGTCACACTAGCCGGGAAATAGAAAACGCAACCATAAGTGAGTTAAGTACCTTCCTTAAAAGTAGCAAATCCAGGGAACACTTTCTTAACACTGTTTTACCCTATTTACGGCTAACGGTTAAAATTTTTCAATTTTTACGGCTATCGGCTAGGTTTTTGGCCCTTTTTCGCCTGTCTGTTAACCCCATTGAGACTCTCTTTAAATGAATCGTTATAAATTAAATGGATAAAAGGCTATCTGGATGACAATAAAAAGGGGAAGTGGAAATCATTGTCTCACTCACTGCCGCCGGCGGGCCGCCCGCCCGCCGCCCGATCACTACCTTGACGAACACGGTGGTAAATTGGTTTTTTCAGCTAATTTAAAACGTCAAGATACCCCTCTACTCAATATTTCAGACCCTTGTTTAGCCGAAACTGTAGCTAATACGGGAGTACCTTAAATTATAGTGAAGACAACTTAAATTTCCTCTCCTCCCAGATTTGGCTAAATATGCCCTTCTTTTATAAGTCATAGTTTCATGCAGGAGTGAAAGATGTTAAGGATTTGCTTGAAGTTTCAAATTATAATTTCCTAAGCTACACTGCTTTCATTACCAAGTACAATATAAAGACTAACTATCTAGAAAACTATAAGTAGTGTCTGCCCTTAAACATTTCAGGAAAAATGTTCCAACAATCAAAACTTCACTACCGCCGCCTACAACCTGTTCTCTTCCGAGAAAGTTTGCAAAAAGATTTATCAGATTTTGGTCAAAATTAAAAGAAAGACTTCCTCACCAGTGAAAAGCCGGGGAAAGTGGCTAATAATTACTGGGGATCTTTTTTCAAATGTACAAGTTAAGTGAACTGGGAAAATACCTATCAGCTACCTTTTCTATGTACTACGGAAACGAAGTTAAGAGTATTTCAATTTAAGGTGACTCGACCCAGTTTTTTTGGGGGGGTACCATCCTACTTTGAAGCTAGCTGGTTTCCCCACCTTTACTTTTATCGTAAGTCTAACACATAGAATGGATAACATATAGATCAATCTACAATATAACATAAAATTTTTGGCGATCGGAGTAAATGTCACGTGGTTATAATGCCACGCCCCTTTGAGGTCTGAGTCGAAAATCTGCTGTTGCCGGCATTTTTTCGTGAAAATCTCTCGGCTACACATAGTGCGCATTAGTGCCTTGCGCTGAACAGAGTTTCACCAAAATCGCAAAGACCCAATTCGAGAAATTCAGCGGTTTCCAAATTTAGGTCATAATTTATGATTGATTTTGAGTTTGATTTTGTAAATACGCGCTATTTCGAGCAAAGCAAACATATAGAAATTATAGTTTTCGCTATTTGTTGACGTTTGTCAGCGTTTAAGAGTCCTTCTCACCAAAAAAGCATTTTCTTAAAAATTCGTAGATTTTTTTCCTTCAAATTTTTTCAGGGCCACAATTGACTAACTGACTACCCGGACTCTGAATTTCATGGTCATTGAAAAAGTGTGACATTGCCTTCTATAAGCCCAAACTTGAGTAAACATTGAAGATTTTTAGCGTTTTGGCTGAGTTTGTGCTTTGGGAGTTGTCTATTGTTTCTGGTCTGTCATTATACAGCATTCTTGTTCAGCACTCGTGCAATGACCACGCTTGGCTGACTTCAGAATGCTCACCGAGATATGATAATTTAGTATAAGAAAATAGAAGGGATTCCCGTCACGAGTTGGTTTAATTATTGGCTTGCATAAACCTATGAAAAAATGGTATTTTTTTAATAGTAAGTAGATTTAGTGTGTAGCACTTCTTGATTTTTTTGCAAAGGCACAAGAAGCACGAGAATTGATTTAAAATTGTGAGTTAAACTTCTATATATGTATCACGCGATGGCCTGTCTCACTGTACCAAAATTATCATATCTCGGTGAGCATTCTGGAGTCAGCCAAGCGCGGTCATTGCACGCGTGCTGAACAAGAATGCTGTATAATGACAGACTAGAAACAGTAGAAACTCCCAAAGCACAAACTCAGCCAAAACGCTAAAAATCTTCAATGTTTACTCAAGTTTGGGCTCACGGAAGATAATGTCACAGTTTTTCAATGACCATGAAATTCAGAGTTCGGGTAGTTAGTTAATCAATTGTGGCCCTCAAAAAATTTGAAGGAAAAAAAACTACGAATTTTTAAGAAAATGCTTTTTTCGTGAGATTGACTCTTAACGCTGACAAACGTCAACAAATAGCGAAAACTATAATTTCTATGTTTGCTTTGCTCGAAATCGCGCGCATTTACAAAGCCCTAAATTGTTTTGCGGACTTGCAAGGACCCATCTGTTATCACGATGCCCAAAATACAGAGATGAATCTCATAGTTTATTAGATATAATTCGTGTAAAGTTTGCTTATCATTTTCGTATAAATTGTGACCTAAATTTGGAAACCGCTGAATTTCTCGAATTGGGTCTTTGCGATTTTGGTGAAACTCTGTTCAGCGCAAGGCACTAATGCGCACTATGTGTAGCCGAGAGATTTTCACGAAAAAATGCCGGCAACAGCAGATTTTCGACTCAGACCTCAAAGGGGCGTGGCATTATAACCACGTGACATTTACTCCGATCGCCAAAAATTTTATGTTATATTGTAGATTGATCTATATGTTATCCATTCTATGTGTTAGACTTACGATAAAAGTAAAGGTGTGGATACCAGAGAGCCTCAAAGTAGGATGGTACCCCCCCCCCCCGAAAAAAAAAAAACTGGGTCGAGTCACCTTAAATTTCTGCATAGAAGAGTAGCTACAAACGACTTCCTTCTTAAGATAGACAAAAAGAAAAAAGACTCTTGCTCTTTTTGCTCTGGTTCCCCAGAGACACTTACGCATCTTTTTTGGCACTGTAGATGAACTCAGACGTTTTGGAATAATGTTTCGCGGTGGACCTCCGAACAGCTTGATTTGACCAACTTGAACATTACCCCCTTTTCGCCAGCTCCTTGCCTCGGCTTAATTGACAACATATCCAATCTTCTCCTACACTTCCTCCTCCTTATTGCTAGACACTACATATATAGTTGTAAACTACGAAATACCATTCCTATGGTACAAGTGTACACTCAGTTAGTCATACGCTCCATGGAAATTGAGAAACAGATTGCCTTTGATAATAATAACTTAGCTTCCTTTAGGGAGAAATGGGCTACTTTCAAACAATGCCCCTCAGAATATAATTTGACCTAGTACACAGTTAATTGAAGTGCAAGTGACAAACGGGCGGAGGGGATGGAGGACTATAAGGCGGGCAGCCTTCTCTTAACTGTTAATATAAAATATAAACAGGAGTCAGATTGTTTCCGGACTGTCAGAATGTTTCTGGAGTAGGCTTATTAATTAAAACAAAAAAGGCTGTCTTTTTTGTTTAGTACACCAGTTTGACATGCAAACTTTGTTTATTAAACAAGAAAAACGGTTTTTCTTGCTTAATAAGCAAAAACGTGCGCTCTTTTCGCTTAATAAGCAAATAAATTGTGCTTTTTAAACAAAAGAGCTGCGCTTTTATAGGCTTATTAAACAAAACCATGGCAACAAAAATGATTATTTCTCCCTGCAGCCATTACGGAAAAATTATGTAAGGCTAAAACAACGCTACTGCAGCATCTTTGCACAAGAATTGTATTTTGTTGAATAGCCGACTGGTTAATCTCTCCATTCAAAGAAAAAAAGACGTGTCTTTTCGTTTTGGACATACTAGTTTGCCAAAGAAAGATCTTCGCTGCGCAGTGATCGGCGACTCGACCGCGAGCAACGATCTTGTTCAAAAGATTTGTTTTTAATAAAACAAAACGATGGCCGGCTGATTCCTCTCATGCCGTCAAAAGTGACATGGAGTTTCTCGGCTAAAAAAATACAAGAAAATTTAACGCTTTCAACAATAAATGTTTTCATAACGGTCCAGGTTTCCTTCAAAAGTGTAAACAGGAGTGGAAATAAACAATTTACGCCATCCTGCGGGTCAAGTTCATTGGAGACTAACCCGGTATTTTACCATGTGTGAAAACGTTCATACCACAGACTTTCAGTCTTTTAAAACGGTACGATTTTTCTATTAAGAGAAGAAAAGAAAACATTCCCAAAACGGAATCTCCTGAGCAAAATTAATGTTATTTATCTTTTTGGGCAACAGGTTCTCTTCGCTTCACAGTCAGTTGGCGAAGGCATGAGCCGGAATAAAATCTGGCGTTCAAAAGGTTTTGTTTTCACTCCGATGACGCTGTCACTAAAGCGAAAGAAGAGTTTTCGTACTGCAAATACAATAGCGAGATTAATTTATTTTATCGAAAAATAAGGTATTCGTGCATGGTCTAAAACAAACAAAGCAACAGGACAGAACAAAGTATCAGTGACAATGTTTCCTGTCTGCGTTTCTCTCCTACCCTGTTTTGTAAGCTCATTAAAAAAGTTGCTTATTTCGTTAAATATGGTGCAGTTGACGTTATATTGAATACCAACCGGCATTGATTTTACCCTAAAGTGACCTTGCTACTGAAGTTATTTCTGACAAGTCAACTGTTAAAAGTTAAAAGCCGCTTAAGTTTTGACATAATTAATTGTTCTCAAATGCTTACTAGTTGTCTACAGCTTGTGACGTATATAATTCAAAATGTCAAACATAATTGAACTCTAATTTAATTATGCTTTTTTACAGTCATGGTTCCTTGCTACTTCACATAATCAAGGAATTCATGCTCTCGTTTCCTACAAGGCTGTCTCTCCTCTTGTCTGTTAGCACCGAGAGGAACCGAAAATTAAAGCTGGTATTTGACCGTTAGTCTGGTCAGAACCATTTGAGCTTTTTGAGGAAGTCTTGAAGGTTACTTTGACACCAGAACACGAGGCACTTGCCATCCCATCATTAAGCCAAAAAGAACTTTTACCTGTAGTTATTCTAGCTGTTGCAGTGTATGTGACACCAGCGTGGATCGAGATCCTTTGAGAAAAATGCACCTCAAATGTCTTAACACTAGAACGGGTACCATAGGACCCAGTCTTTTCTGCTATCAAGCTACTTCCACGGTACAAACGAATGGTGACCTGGTAACTAGTTGAGCCACTGCTCACTCCCCACAGCCGGTACCCTGAAAGAATAACGTCACCATTTGTCTGGAAATCTATTGCATCAATGCTGCCATGGTATTCCCAGTTTCGTCTATAAGGACTTCTGGACCTGCTGCGCCAGCAGTCACAGTTAGCTTGGAGAAAAAAGTATTTATCAAATCTCGTGCAACTATTCCTAGTGTTTGTTGTTGTTGTTTTTTTGATAACTGAACGAATACAGCTGAACGTAAGAAAGAATGGAAAGACTCAGGTGTGTCAGTCTTATGGCACCACATTTTTGTAGGTTGTATAACTTACCCTGCCTTAGGTCTGTTGAATCTGCTTATTGGGAACGAGTGAAGGGGCGCGATATCTTTGCTTTACAAACAAGTTCGTCGTTGGGCAAAAATCCTTTGTGGCCCTTAGTTGAGGACATTTAATATGCTTCCTCATTGTTAACACGCACTTGTACATACTTTGCCAGATGAATGTTTGCTGAATCAGCCTTGTAGCATCGTTTTATGGTAGATAACATGCGCTGTTACAAACCTTTAGTTAATAGTTTACTTAATTAGAACTTAAGAAACAGGGGGTATATGGAGGCTTTAATTTGCAAGTGCACAGGTGTGACTGCAGGTATAGGTGCAAGTTTAAAGGTGCAGTGTGCGATGAATCATTTTCGCGTCACACGGCTTTTAGATCAAAGTATAACAATCAATTTTTCAGAATTCGATGTTTTTCTTTTTTCGTACGTTAATAAGCTTTTTAAATTATAGTTCATTTTATCCCTCTTGTTTAGTTTCTTTAGGTGTTTACTCTTATAGTCCTTTGTGTCATTTCTCGCCCTTTCGTTAGCGTCTCTTTGTACGCTTTTTCATCTTCATTAGCCCCTTTTTTAGTTTCGTCAGTTTTGTTTTCTGTACATTCAACCGTATTTCACACCGCAGTTCTTCAGTACAATTTTCAGTTTTGTTTTGGTCTGCGCTAAACGCAGTTCTCTGGAGTGCTTTTCTACGTTTCTTGGCGTTTTATGCAATCGGTTACCACAGAAGTTTTCGCTGGCAATGTAAGCAATGTAAGTGGTTTTGAGTCCTAGCTTTGTCGCAGTTTTGTTGTTTCTTTATGTCAAATTTTCATTGGAGCAACTTCTAATTTTTTTTTTTTACCACGCAAAGTATTAGCCACGCACCTCACTGTATCGGTTTTGAAGTTCACGTGAACGTGTGAACCATGGCGGACGGACGTGAACCTTCTGGTCCCGTTTTGACGAAAGATACCGAGTCTTACCAGCTTGACCTTAAATGGTGCGAATTACAATCCCTTAAGCTAAACGGGGAACGATTAACGTGGACGAATAACCTTGAATCGTTAAAGAATTTTGTGGAAAATGGCTTGAAACTACAAGGAAAGTGGTCGTCGCCCGGAGGAAACGTAAAGCAATTCAAAAGTTCTAACAATAATCTCGTCATCAACTGGTATAATAAGAAACAGCTAACCCTTTGTTTCCAAGGTCGAGATGGTCCCTCCTTAAAGGACAAGTTGGTCAAGTTTATTCAAAATAAACAGGGAACAGAAGCTGATACGCCTGTCTCGGATGCTTCAACAACCGAGCAAGAAATTCCGCCTTCGCAAGAAGCCAATGGCATCTGCAGTAATCGACTAGCTTCGGCCGCCGACGCCGGACTTGAGAACAGTATTCAAGAGCGATCGAACTCGGTTATCAGTGCTGATATTGAGGGCTTAAAACTGGATTTACTAATTCTTCAGAAAAAGGTTGAAGCAAATACAAGCCTTCTGTCGACGAAATGCAAATTACAAGAAACCGCTTTTAGCGCCGAGCTCCTCGATTACAAAGAGAGGTATGAGAAGGTGTTATCGACATTATCTAAAAAGATAATGAAATTGAGGTGTTGGAGGAAAAGTGTTTTTCCTATGAGAGCCAAGTTTTGTCCTTGCAACAAGAAAATGATTCTCTTAAGCTGGCTATGAAGATCATTATGCAAGAAAGAAGCGAGGGCGAATGCCGCCAACAAAAGATATGTGATTGTTGGTCCCAAGTGGGCACACTTGGGAAAAGTGTGAATGATAAACATATCCAGCGGCCGTTGGCGGCCTGCAATATAGAAACTCAGAACAGATTTGAGCCCCTTAGAAGTGAGGTACAATTCCAAGTGAGAAATGAGGACAACTATACTGCAAATAACGAAGAAAGTCGCCAACAACAGCAACAGCAACATTCACATGTTGATTCATCTGAAGCGAGCCGGGCATTTGATTCAATTCCAACTAGTCATAACCGCTATCAGGCCTTACTTGTCTCTTCTCCTTCGAGTCAAGTATCCTCTGAGATCCCACTGCATCAGTCTGGAGCGCACGCAAATACCTCTCGAGTTAGTGCAAATAACTCCAAAAGCGGTGAAGTCGGAAAGACAAGACCCATAGTGCTTATTGGTGACTCAATGATAAAACACATTGATCCAAAAAAGCTTTCGCAAAGACATGTACATAAATTCTCATATCCCGGGAAAACCACCGCTGAAATAGCTGAAGCTGTTGACAACATCGCTGTTGCATCCGCGGATCCTTCTCACGTCATCATCCATACTGGCACCAACAATCTTCCATCAGAGTCTGCCGATTCATGTGTCGCCGATATCAAGAGCCTTGTATTGAAGGTGAAGAGCAAGTTTCCTAATTCAAGCATTGGTCTCTCGGGTATAGTCTACAGAGAAGATATCAACGTCGATGCTAAACGCATTGAAGTTAATGAGAGGGTCAAGCTCACAGCAGTAGATGATAACTTTACTTATATTGATAATTCGGTTATTGACGCCTCAGCATTAAATGGTAGTAGACTTCATCTGAATGCCAAAGGTTCGTCATTGCTGGCCGTGCAATTTATTAAGTTTTTAAGATCTGGTTCTGGCAAGTATAATCAGTCTCTTAAGGGTTTTCAGTCCTCAGCTATCCAACAACTGGTAAAGCTTCTGATGGAACTGGGAAACCTTCCCTCTCCAGCTCGCAACAGGAGACGCCCACGCTAGCTTCTCAACCGAGTGACGTATCATCAGGTATTCCTAATCAAAACGTTGATTCATTTGAAAGTACAATTCTCTCTGATTTTCTTCCTTCTGGTCGTGGTTTTAAAATTGCAGGTTTAAACATTAATAGTCTTACAAAGCATATTGATGAACTAAGAATTCTCCTTGCCGATCGCTCCATTGATATTCTCTCAATTAATGAAACTAAACTTGATGACTCTATCAATAGTTGTGAGGTCCAAATACCAGGCTATGAATTTATTCGTCGTGATAGAAACAGACAAGGAGGAGGAGTAGGTTTTTATATAAAAACCTCGATTAATTTTGAAGTTCGCTCTGATTTGAATGCACCCAGTCTTGAAAATTTATGTATAGAGATTCGGAAACCAAACTCCGGGCCATTTCTGATAGCCACTTGGTACAGACCTCCTTGCTCCTCAATTGATTTATTTTTACATTACGAATCATTTCTTGAGAAATTAGATTCCCTCGGCCTAGAATATTATCTGCTAGGTGATTTAAACTGTAACCTGGCCTCTGCACAATATGATTTAAATACTCGACGCTTATGTGAAATTTCTGATTTATTTGGGCTTCAACAGCTTATAACTGAACCTACTCGCATAACGGAATCCTCTTCAACATTAATTGATTTAATTTATACAAACTATACTGACAGGGTAGTCTGTTCCGGAGTCTCTCATATTGGTATCAGCGATCATAGCCTTATTTACGTTTATAGGAAATTATCTCTCACTTTTCCTTCAAAAGGGCACTCAACCATTTCTTATAGAAATTTCCAAAATTTTAATAGAGAGTTTTCGTAACGATATCGCTCTGCAAGACTGGTCCTGTAATGTTTCTGAAGATCCAAATGTTTTGTGGACTGACTGGAAAACGAAGTTTTTGGATATTGTTAATATTCATGCGCCACTTCGAACTAGACGTACTAGAACAAATAAAGCACCCTGGATCAATTCAGAATTAAAGAAAGGCATGCGTGATCGTGATGCTGCCAAAAGAAAAGCAATTACATCGAATGATCCACACGATTGGAAAAGGTACAAAAAGTTGCGAAATATAATAAACAATGACATCAAAATTTCTAAAGCATCTTATTATTCTAATGTATTTATTCAATCTAAGGGTAATCCTCGAAAAACGTGGCAAACCTTTAATGAGCTTACATCCCGTCGTGTGAATAATACAACGGTGAAAGAACTGAAATTGAATGATACCATTATCTCTAATTCTAGTGAGCTTTCTGATGCTTTTAATGACCATTTTTCAACAATTGGGCCCAGACTTGCTAATGAAATACCTCTAACTGCTGAAAATAATTCAAGTTATATCAATAATATAAAGGTAAATAACAACAATTTCAGCTTCTCCTCGACTAACTGCAGCATTGTTTTCTCACATCTAAACAAATTATGTAGATCTAAAGCAACTGGTCTTGATAATATTTCTGCTAAAATTGTACGTGAATGTGCTGATCTTATTTCAGTTTCACTATGTGATCTCTTTAATAAATCTTTAGTCTCTGGTATATTTCCTGATGATTGGAAATGTGCTAGAGTTACTCCGTTGTTCAAGGAAGGTGAGCCATCTGATCTGAATAATTATCGACCTATTTCAGTCATTTCCGTTATAGCTAAAGTGTTTGAAAGGATTGTTTATGATCAGTTGTATAACTTTTTGACCAATGAAGATATCATTTCTAATCATCAATCGGGTTTTCGCTCGTTACACTCAACTGCAACTGCCCTTCTGGAAGCTACGGATAATTGGGCCTTTAATATTGATCGTGGCAATGTTAATGCTGTGGTTTTCCTCGATTTAAAAAAGGCTTTCGACACCGTTGACCACGATATCCTTCTAGCTAAAATGAACCTTTACGGAATACAAGGTACAGCTCTTGATTGGTTTAGGTCGTATTTAACCAATCGTACACAACGATGTCTTGTTAACGGTTCTCTTTCTAGAATCTGCTCTCTTAAATGTGGGGTACCGCAAGGAACAATCCTTGGCCCCCTTTTATTTCTTATTTATATTAATGACTTGCCAAACTGCCTTACTTCGTGCCAGCCTAGAATGTATGCCGATGACACCCACATTACTTATGCTGGCGTTGATGTGAATTCAATACAGTTAACTCTGAGTCACGATTTAGATAACCTAAACAAATGGCTTATTTCCAATAAACTTACTTTGAACACTTCTAAAACTGAATTCATGCTAATTGGCTCCAGACAAAAATTGAGTACTTTGTCGAACCCACTTGAGCTCTCGATTAATAATGTTCCGATAGAACACGTTTCCTCTGTCAAATCGCTTGGAATATTTATTGATGAAAATCTACGGTGGCAAACACACATTGATAAATTATCTAAAAAGGTCGCTTCCGGAATTGGAGCAATAAAAAGAATTAGACCTTTTGTCCCTCCACCTACCCTTCACTATATATACAACTCACTAATTCAATCTCATTTCGATTATTGCAATCTTGTCTGGGGTAATTGTGGTAAAACATTATTTGACAGGCTACAGAAGCTTCAGAACCGTGCCGCTCGCGTTTTAACCTTCTCTAGCTATGATGCTGATGCTAACCGTTTGATTAGACAACTCGATTGGAAAGACTTGAGCACTCAATTTCAAATACAGAAATCCATAATGGTATACAAGTCTTTAAATGGCCTTGTTCCTGAATATTTATCATCTAAGTTTGTTAAACGAAATGAAACGCGTTACTCCCTGAGGGACTCTGTTAACAAACTATTTGTCCCATTTCCACGAACTAATTTCATGAAAAACAGCTTTACTTATAGCGGAGCAGTTCTCTGGAACAGCCTACCCTGTCATGTGAGAGAAGCCGAATCTCTTAGTCAATTTAAAAGATTAGTTAATGTTCATTTTTAATGTTATACACGGCATTCATGAAAAACAGGTTTTAGTTAGATTAGTTGTAGTCAGGTTTTGAATTTTGTTTAGGATAGTTAGGTTATTTTTAATTTTTTAAATTCCTGATGGATTTTACCGTGTTTAAATAAAGATTGACTTATCAAATAAATCTTTATTTGTTTAGTGGACTTGGTTTTGTACTGTTGGTATTTTCTGGCCACGAGAGTTCTAAACTTCTTGCAGTTTCACATTCCTTCAGACGGACGTATGCAAAAATTTAACTTAAAAAAACCGGTACCGATACGCTCAAAGAGAGGGACATGGGGGGTACCCAATACCGCAATACCGTAAGAAAAAATGGCAAATACGGAAATACCGCGTCGAAAATCGTCTAAATACCGATACCGCATAGTTATGGTTGCTTCTATCTTGCGCGTTTAATCACAGGCAGCCCAAGCGCACTATGTGTGAGTTCGGGCTTCAGAGGTAATTTGGTCGGAATATACTAAAATTGTTAGTGTATTATCTGATGCCAAATAAATGAAAAAGACTAGTAGCCTTTAAGATAATGAAGGTCGATATTTCTTGCATTATGACATGTGATTCGGGCACTTATTGTTTGAATTTTATCACATGTATTCGAATCTACGAGGCTAAGAAAAAAAAATCATGATCATTCAAAAAGCTCCCTTACCTTTAGTTCATAGCCACTCTGTGTCCTACAGCCGGTTAAACGCCGCAAGTCGACTTTCTTTCCATCGAGTACTGAAGTGTTCAGTACTCGATGTAAAGAAAGTCGACTAAACGGCGTTTAACCGGCCGTAGGACAAAGAGTGGCTATGAACTAAAGGTAAGGGAGCTCTTTGAATGATCATGATTTTTTTTTTCTAAATAAGCCCTTGTTTGATTGTCGACTGCAGGCCGCTGGCTACCCTCGCCGGGCTTATTTTAGTTACCTGACATACTATGCAATCGGTAAACGGGTCCACGGCAGTTTGGACGAGCCTAGTTGGAAATTCGGAAGCCGGTCGAGCAAGAGATAAAAGCATCGCTAGTGAACTAACTGTGGGAGGAATTGCGAATCGAGTGAATGGACATGGAACTGCAACATCTCTGCTTTGAATTTCTGGAGGAATTGAGGCCGGGGGTAATTTTCCAGCGGAATTATTCGCCTCGAACGACGGACATGCACACTCCGTCAGTCACTGCTCTGCCTTGCCTTTCTCTTAGCAGTGGAACACCAAAATAGCCCAAACTCGCCGAAAACGCTTCAAAACGGCCTGAGACGCGGGCAAACAACAAAGAATATAACAAGGTAATAAGGTACGTCGATTTTATTTAAAAACATAACATTATTTCTCTCTTTTAAGGAAAACCGTTTACATCTCATACAAGCCTTTGCAAACAACCGTATTTAACACAACACCGCTCGCAAGCAAGAGTCATGTCCGCGTTCATGTAATGAGCTTGGGCTACCTGTGCTCAGGGGTTAACTATCTCGACTGTCTCACACGCCGCGCCGGTAAGAGGCAAACTTACCAAATTTTCTCTTTTAACTTTACAAGGCGTTTTTCAATTCTCGAAACCCGACATCTAAACTTATTCTTGTTGTGATAATGTTCGCCTCCTTTGCCCTCTTCATAAACGATTGCCACACAGGCAATGATGACCACGCCGTCTTCAACCTCAGCGACCTCGGCCATTGTCACAAAACGTGTAAGACCTCGAATTACCCGCAAAGGTACACAGATCGAAAAGCCCGGTAAGGTAACTTGACACGACTCATTATCATTGGATGCAACAACAATCACATTGTATATTATCGACCATTAACTGACACAAAATGACCCACAAATGGTGTAATCATTTACCGTTATGTCTCAAGACTTCTAAATATTAACTTTTATTGACCTTTATGTCCTACTGTGTTTTGTTTTGCGCATTGCATCGAAAGAAGAGCGCAAATAAACGGTACCGTAATACCGTGAACAATCTTATTTCACCGAATACCGTCAGCCAAAATGATAAAAAACTGAACCGCATACCGCACGTGAAAATTAAAATTACCGAAATAACGCATGAAAAAAAGACCAATACCGCAATACCGTAAACCCCCATGTACCCTCCTCAAACATTGCGAAAGCTTAGGTCCGAGGATTTTATGAGATACTCTGGATGACAATATCAAATATGAGCTTTAGATTCTAAGACGAGGATCAGACGATAAGAACGAGATTTCCCCAATACTGAGTAGTGCGCGCATGCGAACTAACGTCATTTTAGCGGGAAAATGTGATAGCCATCGTCGTTCTAAAGAGCTTTTAGCGAGAATGCCTTAGTGGCGAAAACAAGTAATCAAATGTCAGGAATTTTATCACTTAGCGATCGGGAGATGGCCACCAAGTTAACACCTTCAATAGAAATAAGAGAACTAACTAACTTTTGTGGTGAAAAAAAAGTACCGTGACGCTTTCCAGGGTGTCTATTTTAGAGAAAAGGAGAGAAAACTTGAAATTAAATGTCGTCCTCGTAGTCGTCCTCGTCCTCGAATCTAAAGCTGTGTAATAACACACATCTCGGGGCATCAGAAACGGTGCGTGGGGAGAAAGAGAGGGGTATTAAAGCGTTAAATCGTTTGCAATGGTGGGGAAATAACGAAAAAAACCTTGAAAATCGGGTCATTACTAAGCCTAAGGTCAGTACTACCAAGGTCATTAGATATGACTGTATAAACCAAACGGCCGAGTTATTTAGCACAAAAAAAACTTGCTTACCTTTTAGAGTTAGAGTTTAGTTCTTCTAGGTATGAAGGTGTGAGACAAAAATGACATCATTGGAGACTATACCGTACACCTGCACCTGCAGGTCAAAAAATGACGTCATCGGATACTGCACCTGCACACCTGCAACTGTCGTTGTACACTTGGAGACACAGTAGCAAATTTAGGGGCATCCTAGTATTTTGAAGACATCAGTTAATTTCAGTTTTGCAAACGTAGACATTTAAGTCTAATTTGTCTGTCTAAACATGGTGAAGTGCTAATCTTTCAGTAAAATGTTTTATCATGATATATGAGGTCGGCGTAACGTGCTATATACAAACCTGGTGATTTTTGCACAAACAAGTTCATGGTGGCCTTTTTTGATCCCATGCTGTTCGTTGCTACGCATTGGTACAAACCGCTGTCCACTGGTCTTAAATTCCTAATGGTGAATCTACCTCCCCTTACGTTGGTCTTTCCAACGGGTAAAGGAGAAACAAGTCTGACCCAGGTCAACTTGGGAGGTGGATACCCTTCTGCCTGGCAAGTTTCTTGTATTGTAGCAGATTCCATTTTTAAGACCAGTGATGAGGGTTTTTTGGTAAAGATTGGAAGACCTAAGAAACGAAGAATCAATATGATGTGGCTTGAAAAAGCTATAGTTTTTACCAGTCTTCCAATTGAAACTACTCAGAATGGGCACACACTTGAAGAGAAATATCTATGGGAGTTTTCTCCCGTCCAGTACACACCACATGTGTAAGTCGTAAAAATGATATTCAAGTGGTGCAACTCGTACGAATAATGGTGCGATATACGCCAGCTAACTAGTTTCACTACTCGCACGAGTCCAACAAGTTGAACTAAAGAAGCATATCAAAGGGGCGGGGATACTCGTCGTTTTGGTTGGGTATGTAAATTGCAGATTCTGGTATCATCCAGTGTGTTTAGTTCGGAACGTCAAAATTTTTATCTGTACAGGGTGTAGCCCCTCCCCCTTATTATTGTTCACTAATAAATTATGGATTGTATTAATCAAAGGCGTAGAAAGCAAGGAGCGATAAATCGGTTCCTGAGGAAAAATAATGAGAGTAGAGAAGCGGGAGGGAAAAAATCATTCAATGACAGCATCTTCACTGGCTGGCTTGACAAATAAAGCTTGAGCTACGTTCTGATGGATCTCCGGCGAGAGTTGCGAGGGTTTAATTCTAGCACCCTTGGAAAGTGAAACTGGATACTGAGAGAAGAGGGGGTTCTTTGATTGTTTCCTGGCAAACGGTGATAAGTATTGAACAAGATTAGAAGACCTCCTAGTCAGAATTCTTTTGTAGCCTAAGCCTCCAATGTAACACACCATCGCCGTTTTTCTAGTGACAGTCGCCCTCCTGGACTTCATGCCCCCTCGGTAGCAACGTAACAGAATCCTATGGAAAACACGTTTAATAAGATAAGTAATCAGACAGGAAACATGGCCCACCCCTGACGTTGGTAAGATATAATTCTGATGGCTCATCAGCGGCCTTGCAAAAGGGTTTTCAATTTAGTAAAGCTTATTGATCTTTTTACCTCGAACCTTTAAATCACCAGACGCCTCAGACGATCCAAGAATGTTTCTTGCTGCACATTTGTACTGCCCAGCATCGCTGTAATTCAGATTCCTGATGATCAGCTCTGCTTTTATAACCAAATACTTTTCTCCCGACAGAAGCTTTCTGCCCTTGAATCGCCATTCGACAGTAGGAGTAGGGTTTCCGCCAACCGCACAATAAATCGTAGTATTTCTTCCTTCATCTCTCGAGTGATTTGCAGGTGATACCGTTATTTGTGGAGCAGATATCGATTCTCCAGGCCTCCCAGGTGGTCCTGGAATTCCTGGTTCGCCTTTGTCACCCTTTTCTCCCCTAGATCCTGGAATTCCAGCCATTCCTGATTTTCCAGGTGGTCCAAAGCTACCTGGGTTACCTTTCTTTCCCCTAGATCCCCTCCTGCCACGTGGTCCTTGTGCACCAATGGGACCAGGAAGTCCGGGGGGACCTGCAGGGCATACCCTCTCTCGTGACTTACAGTACTTGGAGGGCATAAGTTGTGCAAACTGTTTGGTGATTTCTTGACGCACGTCATGCATACTGATGGTTGCTGAAGTCAAGTTCGAAACCTGTCTCCGGTTTCTTGACTTTGCGCTTGTTCTTGATGCTCCAGACTCATCTAAGCCCAAGGGAAAATCAATTTTAGGACTGAAACGTATTTGATATTGTGCATTGAAGTTCTCATGTAAGAACCCCTTTAATGTTTATTTGCTCATCTTGACTCTGTTACTTTGATTACTGATATGCTAGCTTTAGAAGGTTCGTTTCAGTGGGAATTGTTTTGAAAACAGCTTTTTCAGGGTATATATAATTTTTATTTCCCATTTAACTAGAGTGCAAAATAACACGAGAAGTTAAGTTCGCACTTAATGTTCTAGCCTGCGTGGCATTCTCTCGTGCCCAAAACCCACTTTCCTTTCCTTGTCAAACGTCTGTCACGCAGGCTATTAATGTTCATGATTGACAGTTTTACATAAAAGTCCCCGGATGCAAAAATTGACGAGGCTTCCGTAGGAAAAATAATGTTTGTGGTGATTTGTTTCGCATTTTGTTGAATGAATTTTTACGGATTTTAAAGCGGAAATTTATTTTAGGAAAAACACAGCTGCTAAGTTTAAGCGTAGCTTGTTTTGAGTTGCCATTCTTCGTGCTGTTTCATTGTTTAGCCCTTTGAGGTTTCTCGGTTTTCTTAAAGTACAATTAAAACATTTTAAGACCAAGCCACGGTATCAAAAGCATTTTACTGCCCTTTCGAGGTCCTGCTTAGCCAAGATAAAGCCTGCTATACAGCTCGCTACTAAAACTGATTTTTTATTATATTTACACAATATATATCTGTGACTGTCAGTGTGACTGCGATTGTATCAGCTTTCAACTACCGTGTGGGATAGGACTTTCTCTACATGGAATTTAATTCCGCATTCACAGACTCTTTTTGTAACTTCCACATTTCTAGTTCAAAGTATGCGGAAATTAAAACTATAAAAATTAACATGCACTCTTTTTTCCTTTATCATCACATGATCAGTTATTTTCATCTTGAAACGATTGGCCCAAGGCTTTTAAAGGTGCAATCACTTGAATTTAATTTCCGTTGCGGCCTTCCCTTTACAACGGCAAAAGTAAAACATTGTATCATAGAATGGAAGTACTTAACGGTACGTTGACTCCCGATAACTCGAACCCTCGGTAACTCTAACCACGCGCTAACTCGAAGCCAAATCGATTTCCCCTGGATTTCCTTCATTCATTTACTGTAATTTTCCCTCGGTAACCCGAACCTTCGATAACTCGAATCTCTCGTTAACTCGAATTTTGTTTCCCCTCAGATCATTTCTATATAATTTTACCCTCGATAACTCTGAGCGCTTAAAAAGTAGAAAAAAACAGAGTACTGGCTTCCGAAACATTGAATTTTGAAGTCCCATTGACGTGTTGTAGACATACAGTTTACTAGTGGAGGCTGATGCTCTTTGTCATAAATCTAACGTGAATCAGCTTTTCTTCTCAAATCAGTAGAACGCATGCTCTATTTAGGCTATGTTTGGTTACGTCACGCTCTAATTTATGTATAGCCTAAAAAAATCTTTCAATTTTCACTTAACATATATAAAATGTGATTAAAATGTTCACTGTACAGTACAACTGTTTTTACCTTACTTCCGGCTACTTTCTTCCAGCTCCCGATAACTCGAACTTTTTTCGATTTCCCTTGAATGTTCGAGCTATCACTAGTCGACGTATTATTTAGGTAGAGTAGTGGAAGGTATCTATATTAAACAAAAATGAACCAAAAGTTTTTGGGTCCTTCGAGTCTCACGTTTAGTTAAGGTGAACCTACGTCGGAGTAATGTTATTATGACTTGCCCTTCCCCCCTCAGTCTGAAAAACTGTTCTCAACAGTCACATCATAAAAGAACATGTACGAAATTTCTGGTTACAGCAAGCACAAAATTTCACAAAATAAGGAAAATATTCGCCCCCCCCCCCCGCCCCTCACCAATAAGCTGACCTTAAAAAATTGAGGGACTGTAAATGTTTTTGTACTGTCTTGATCCTAACCTGAAGTATCGTCGAACTTCATTTCTCTTCGAATTTTTCTTAAGAGATGTCGCGCAGATTCTTCTTGTGGCTTTAGCGTCGTTCTTTTAACACTGTTTTCCGTTGAACGGCCATTCTTAACAATAACTTCCAGTGGGAACATGTTGATACGCGTTTCCAGCGCGGTGAGTCGCCCGTTGGTTGTTTCATTCTTCATCCAGAGACATCCACAAGCAAAAAGTAGCACCACCGAAAGAAAAGATGGCCTAATTGAAGGGAGAAAATCAAGGAGTCGATGTGACTTCGAAGAGTTAACCGAAGCCATTTTCATGCAGTGCAACTTCACGATCGTTTGCTCTCAAAGACCTCAGACACACAGGAAGACGAAAGGCAAAGGAAAATTGACAGAATAATTTGATCCTGTAAATTCCAGCCTGGATAAACAGAGGTGTAAATTATTTGGATATCTTTGTTACACAAGGAAGCATTTTACAATTCCTCAATTCAAGGATTTCCTGAAGTCCTGCGCCTGGTTCTAGTGTCATATCAAGATGCCCATGGAATTATTCTCGGTGTATTCTGCCAGTTGCTTTTATTTTTCACAATCTCCCTCGTTGAGTTATTTTTTATTGTCGTTTGAAAGGAAACAAACACATTCTTATTCGTCCTTCATAACCTTTTGTAACACTTGCGCTTAGTATTCCACAAGGTCAATAAAAAATAGCCCTTGTGTATGTTTACGCAGACCAGCAAATTTCACACAACCAAGGCTAGTTCTGAAATTCAGTGCAAGTTTGCGACGGTTCACATAAATACTGGGGTCGAAAAGAATATACATGCACAGAAAGTGTCAACAGAAAGAATATCGTTTACAAACGAGGCTTGGTGGTATAGTTTGCGTAAGGACTGTTGACTGACCAGAAGGATTACTCTTGAAAAATGTATGTGGTATCAGTGCGGCAACCTTTATGAAAACTTTCCCAATTTCAGAGAAAAATAATTCATTCTACTCGCAGAACCAATTCCCTACTTCAGAAACTCTAGGAAGAATGGGTACTAGCTTTTGGCGCAGTAATTTTTGGCGCAGTGATTTTTGGGTTTTCTTGGTGGACAAGCGGTAGTTAAGATTGGTCGACGGTATTCAAGAAATCAAAGGTAACTTTTGAGTTCCCTAAAAGATCCGAGAAATCGTTGCGCCGAATGTTTGTATCCATTTCCTTTATAGTATCAGAAATGGTAACCTGGGGGGAGCACAAATAGCTATTTTCTTAGCCAGCGTGGCAGGCGCAAAAACGGGAGGGGGAGGGGGAAGGGAGAAAAGCGCGAAAGAGAGGAAAAGGAAAGGGAGCTTACCCTCTCTCCCCAATCCCTCTCTCTTTTTCCCTTTCTCCCTATCCCTACCCCTTTCGACGCCTGTTACGCAGGCTACTATTTTCTCGGCGGGTAAAGCAAGAGCCGAAAAAAGTGTCTGCTCCCCGCAGGCAACTGGATGGGGAATACAGGAAGAGGTTTGCTGAGATTGGCTAAATGCTTTCAACAAGAGTGTTTAACAAGAAAATGACTCCGAACTAACGTCAGTATATTGCTAAATTAAAGCGGACATAGATAAGGCAGTTGATTACTGTGATTTAATTTTAACAAAACAGTGAGAATTAATTCACAAGAGGACAAAGAATGTGAATGTTTGGTATAACAGAAACGTGACAGCGTGAGAATCAATTACAACTTAGAAAATACTATGGATAGTATAAATAGTTTCACCACATTCTGGTAATAGTCAACCTTGCGTTACATGTGTTGTCACGCTTTCGCCGATTTAGAAACGAGAAGCAAACTGGTGCCGAAATTGTCCCGCAATTGTTTCTGGGATTGCTACTGGGGACGCACGGGGCAGTTTTTAGGGAGCTTTAGCAGGCGTTTTGCACGCCAACCGTAAGTGAGGACTATGCCTTGACGCTATAAAATTTGGATTACTTAGTTTCTTTATACTCGTAGAGACGATTTAACTGAAAATCTGGACAAGACTACTGCTCAGGAATGTTAAAAGTCCACTTCCGGTTGACGTGTGTTGCTCAAAAACGCCTTTGCTTAAGTTCTCTGTTGGTCAATATTTTTCTCTTTCCCAAGTAACCGTCCCAGAAGTCTTTGGAAAGTTAACTCGACCCAGTTTCCTTCTGGTTTTTAAAGTGCCGATGTCAAAGTGATATGAGCATCCACGCGTTTTGGGCATCCCCATTCCCAAAACCCTAGTGATATGGGCATCCCCTGTAACCATGACCCTAACCTAAATCGCTGAAGTAATATGAGAAGGGGATGCCCATATTACTAGGATTTTGGGAATGGGGATGCCCAAAACGCGGGGTTGCCCATATCACTGTGATACCGGATTGCTACCACAAGGAAAGGGTGACTTAAACGGAGAACAATCATGTATCGTAACTGTAATTAAAGAGGTGTACTCCTCCAAATGTTGACCTCCAACTTTTCATTTATCTATGTGGTTAGCCTAAAACCTTCCCCTTTCCCGCTGGAATTATTTAAAACATATTAATAACTTCTGCACTACTGTGTTGTTAGAGTCTTAACCACGCTTCAGAATACCCCGTCCAAATTTCTTGCAATTTGGACTCAAATGCAGAAAGCACAATTTTAATTTTTGTCCCCTTTCAATTACTTTTACGCCTTCAGTTTACAATTTACAATTTAATTTTGAAAACAAATTAACAAAAGAAGCTAAAAGGCCATCGCCTAACTTTCTGACTGGGATTTGACTGCAGCGTTAATCAAACAGCCAAAATCCTGCACTTATTAAGCTAACAAGGGGTTGTAGATTAACGTTGTTTGCCTGTTGCAAACCAAGAAGACATAACAGGTTAACTAATTAAATACAAGAACATTAGTTAAGTGTAGTTTCGGGGCCTGAGTTTCTGTTAATTTAGACTGTTCACAGTCCTCCAGTTTTTCGTGAGATCGTCGAGATATAGTGCTTCTTATAGTCAATGGCGGCCATCTTGATTTTCAAATGTACCGAGGGAGCGGGCGTCGGGGGGTTATATATAGCTTTAGGGGGAGTTTTGACACTCATGCAAGATGGTAGCCCGTAACGCAAAGCGTTCGATCTCGACGATCTTACGGAAAAATAGAGGACTGTGAACAGTCTACTGTTAATTAAATTGCACACCCGCCCAATCCCTCTGTCTATAGTCAAGCGTAACATTGAAAACACTGAATTTCTATCTTTCCTTGCTATGACGGATTACCCGGAATTGCAAAATCTAAAGAATTGTGGATTTCTACCGTTTGGAATAAACGAATTTGTCCTTGTTAGGGTGGTGTCATCTAAGTCTGAGATATCAAGGCTAATTTTCGAGGTCACTCTGCAATCAGGAGAACGCTTAAGCTCCTTCAATAAAAATAACCGTGATAAGGTGAAATAAGGTTAAATGCAGGTTTCCAGGGGGCCTGTAAACGTACAAAATCAAATCTCGTCGTCATATTCGTCCTCGTCCTGGAATCTATAGGCCTTTTTTTAATTTATTGGTAGGATAGCAATTCCCGTCTTTTGAATATTGAACAACTGTAGCCTGTAAAGCAGGCTCAAAAAGGGGAGGGGGAGGCGGAGAGGGAGACAATCGCAAAGGGGAAAAGGGACTCTCTACCCTCTCTTCCCAACCCACCTCCCTTTTTTTCTTCACTCCAATCCGGCCCCTACCCATTTCGCCTTCTACGCAGGCTAAACAACTGGGGCCTGGAGTAGACAGAACAAGGAGGCCATTTTAGTTTATTACAAAAATTTGTTCATCAAAAAAGTACCAATTTTTAAATGCGCCAAATCCGTCAATGTTTTACATCGTAGATCAAGTAACCCATCACAGCTAAAACCGGCTGTGATCGCGAGTCGGTTACTTCTGAAGAATATGTTCACACTATACAAGATAGCTCTTGCACTGGATAGGGTTTCTTTTCACACCTAGAACATTACTGTCGGCGCGATTTCTGTAACGGACAGAAGTTGCGCCGCGCCTATCTCGAAAATGGAGCGTTTCATATCGTATAGGTTCTGTGCCACACAAAGGTGCAGTGTGAACAAGTATCCAAACAATAGCCGAAGTGAATAAGTAGGAACGAGGGCTGCAACCCACTGAGACGGAAGTAAATAGAGTAAAGACTGGGATTTAGTTCACAACAACCCTCTCGGCCAACCGCTCCAGCACGAGCTTGAGGTTCAATGTGTGTGAAGGACTTGTTCCAGTTCTGTGTCATTGCTGTTCATACTATACCGGATAGCCTTTGGTGTTGGCACAAAAAGCCATCCGGTATATTGTGAACATAGCCTAAATCAACTTGCGTTAAGTTGTCAAATATGAGGACAGTATTGCAAGGCCACTATATTATCATCGTTTTCACAGTCATTATTCCCCACTGCTTTACAAAATTTAAGAATTCCTCCCTTCTTTTATGGCATAACTATTCCGCTTTTTAGCATTGAGAGAAACGAAAAATTAAAACTGGTATTTGACCTTCCGACTGCCAAGAACCGTTTGAGCTTTTTGAGGATTTAGACTTGAAGTTTACTGTGACCCCAGAACACGAGGCACTTGCCACGCCATCCGTGTGAGCAAAAGATAAAGCACTTGTAACTATTCTAGCTGTTGCAGTGTATGTGACACCAGTGCGGATCGAAATCACTTGGGAAAAATGCACCTCAAATGTCTTGACACTGGAACTGGTAGCATAGGACCCAGTCTTTTCTGCGATCAAGTTGCTTCCACGGTACAAGCGAATGGTCACCTGGAAACTAGTTGAACCGCTCTTGACTCCCCACAGACGGTAACCTGACAAAATGACGTCACGATTTGTTTGGAAATCGATGGCGTCAACGTTTCCACTGTCACTGGGATCATTAGAGTATCCCCAGACTCTGCTAGGACTTCTGGACCGGCTGCGCCAGCAGTCACAGTTAGCTAGGAGGAAAAACAATTATTTAGTCACGTGCCCAACTATTCCTAATGTTTGTTTGTTTGTTGGTGTTGTTGCTTTTTCGATAGCTGAGCGAAAGAAAGGGTAGAGAGACTCAGGTTTTCAGCCTTAAGGAACCATTTTTTGTACGTTGTCTAAATTACTTTGCCAAGGTCTGTTGAATCTGCTCACTGGGAGTGAAGGAGCACCAATCGATATCCTTGCTTTACAAAACAGATCGTCGTTGCACGAACAAATCTTTGTGGCCTTTATTGGACTAATTTTATGCTTCCTCATATTGTTGACAGTCTCTGGTACATACGTACTTTGCAAGATGGATGTATGCTGATTCAGCATTGCCGCATCTTCTTGTGGTAGATAACATGCTCTGTTACAAACCTTCTAAGTTTACTTAATGAGAACTAAAGAAACAAGGGACATAAGGAGGCTGTAATTTGCCGGTACACAGTTGTGACTGCAGGTGTAAGTGCAACAAGTTTAGAGGTGCAGTGTGCGATGACGTAATTTTCATGTCACATTCTTTTAGATCAAAGTGTAACAATTTTTCAAAATTCCTTTCTTTATCCCGTACGTTTAATGAAGCTTAGTTAATTGTAGTTCACTCAATCCGTTTTTTCAGTTTCTTTACATGAGTTTAGGTGTTTAGTTGTTTGTGTCACTTTTCGCGCCTTCGTTAGCATCTCTTTGTATCTTTTTCATCTTCATTAGAGTCTTTTCGTCACTTTTGTTTTCTGTACATTCAACCATGATGCAACCATATTTTTCACCGCAGTTCAGTTTTGTTTTGGTCTGCGTTAAGCGCAGTTCTTTTCAATGCTTTTCTACGTTTCTTGGCGTTTTACGCAGTCCGCTAACGCAGCAGTCTTTCTTGGCCGTAACAATGTAAGTGTGTTTCACATTGTACAGTGTTCGCTTTGTACGCAGTTTTGTTGTTGCTTTATGCCAAATTTTCGGTTGCAGCAACATGTAATTCTTTTTTACCAGGCAAATTTTAGCCACGCACCTCACTGAATCAAATAAAATAACCTTCATTTGTTCAGTGGATTTGGTTTGTGGTGTTGATATTTCTGGCCACGAGAGTTCTTCACTTATTGCAGTTTCACATTCCTTTACACGGAACTAAAAACTGGTATCGATACGCTCAAACATTGCCAAATGTAACCGAGCGGGGCGAGCGGTTCAAAGCCTCCAACGGCCGGAGGCCAAAGAGCAGTGGCACAACGACATGAATCCTTTGAATGCAAGGAGTGGGCTTAAATGAATGTTTGATACAAAAGAAAAACGAAAACCTAATTACAAACAAAACTAACGACAAAACGAAGTAAAAGCTAATAAAAAATGAAATATATTAATACAGCGCGAGAATGAAACAACGAAATAAGGAAATGTTACACAAAAATTACCACAGGTCAAGACAGCGGAGCACCATGGGTAAGAAAATGTGGTAATCTACCCATCCGAGAAAATTTGGTAATCACGTGACCGTACACCCGACCGTCCGTCCGTACCACAGGCATACCAATGTTAAATAACTCAATCAACAGGTGTGGCAACCCAATTGCAACTCGAGGTTATTTTGGCGGGAAATCGCATAGTTACCCGCGTCTTGAAAAGGAGAGGCAGCTAAAGGGTCAAAAAGACGAAACTGGAAAGCGGAAATTGTTTCTGTATCCGTGTTTTTCTAAAGTATTAAGCTTAGATTAATTGTCATGCTCTCGAGCAAGATAAAGACAGAGAAAAAGAGAAAAAGCGACAGGCCAACGAACTCAACAAGAAAAAGGGCGACAAAGATCTAGAGCGAGAGATAAAAAGCAAAGGAGACATTTTTTTGTTGGAAGAACAACAAGAAAATTTTGAGTGGCGGAGACAAAATGAGAAATGCTAGATACCACCAATGCAAGGAGAAAATGAGCGCAGTGAACAAAGTGAACGATAACACGTACGGTATTTCCTCCATAAGAAACAGTCTCTGTAAGTTTCACGTTGTAGTCGTGCAAAACAACGGCAAAGAAATCTACAAAAAAGGTGTGCTGCACTTGCAAAGTTGCTTTTTTGCTAATTAGACCTATTGTTGTTTTTCACCGTTTTCCGGCGTTGCATGCCTTCGCCGCTTAGCATTACATGATTTTACATTTCGTTTGAACAAATTATAAATATTGTCGAGAGCTTAACTTTTAGCCCTGGCTAAATCTATATATTAGCAGAGCTAACTCAACTCGAGGAAACTAGACATAAGTAGCCGTATTTATACGCAAGTAAACAGATACTTATGTGACAGGAAACGAGTCAAAAGCATAAAACAGATACATCACATCCTGATTAGAAGGGATTAAAAGAAATGCCCAAGTCACGTGCAAATAATAGGTGTTGAAAAGAGAAACGATAAAACACGATAGCAAAAACTACGCAAAGGAAAAATAAACCTAAGAAAATACCAATCCTAAACATATCTAAAAGATAAGTAAGTAAAACTACAAAAATATGTGATTAAACCTAGTAACTGAACAGGGAATTTGACTAAACAATAGGAATGGTGACCTTTCTAGACAGTAAGCGGAAACCGATCTACTAACGTCTACAGAATTGCAAAATAAGCCAAAAGAATAAAAAAAAACCTACAACTGTGTAACTAAAAACATAATAAAACGATGTATAAGTCTCTTAAGGAACTATAAAAGTGACTCTGTCACACAAAGCTTAGGTCCGAGGATTCTAAGAGATACCCTGAAAGTCTATATTAAATATGAAGGTTACCCGTTACCCAAAGAATAAATAGAGACCTTTAGATTCGAGGACGAGAACAACTACGAGTACGAGATTTGAGTTTTTTCACGTATTCTCAATATATAGACTACCCGGGAACTTCATTTTACCATTTTTCCCTAGAAAAATTAGCACTGTTATCTTTAGCGAAGGAGGTTACGCCCTCTTCCGATCGCAAAATGATCAAACTTCTAACATTTGATATCTTGTTTCCGCCAGTTCGACATTCGCGCTAAAACTCGTAGTAGAGTGAACACCGCGGAACAACGCACCGCGCATGAGCACAAAATTTAACATCCGGTCAGCTTTTTATTTCCGGTCTAGTATTTTAACCAATTGCGTAAGCATAACCGTCGCGCCAAGTTTAAAAGTAAAAAGGGAGAAAAAGACAAAAAAAGAGGGCGAAAAAAATTACTTATAATATGATATATTTTTCTGATACATTTTTCTAGCATCAAACTTTTGCACCACATGGTTATCTGTTTGCACCAACGGTGAAAATGATGTTTGAAGTTTGCAGATCGCGAGCGCTCGACAAGATGAATTTATTTTTTCTGGCTTTCTTGCTTGCTGCTGGTTTGGCATAAGTTAATTTGGGAGAAGGCGATAACTAAGAACAGAATGGCAATACTTATGAAAGAAACCAAAATAAAGACATCATCATTATCATTAACACTAGAACCAGGGAATAAAGTTTTAGTCCGTTCAATATTATTTTTGTTATCAGAGAAAACAAGAACTGAAAACAAAAGATGGGCGGGATTTAATAACAACCTCGACTTTGATGATAACACACATTTTAAGGCGTCAGAAACGGTGCGCGGGAAGAGAGTGAGGGGTAAGCGTTAACTCGTTTACAGTGCTGAGTATATAACGAGAAAAACCTTGAAAATCGGGTTATTACTCAGTAGTGTTCTCCTCTCTCGAAATACGACTATGAAGCAAACGAACGAGCGTTTTAGCACAAAAACTTGAGAAATCTATTTAAGCCATCTTGCATACCTTTTAGAGTTAGAGTTTAGTTTCTCCAGATATGAGGGTATGAGACAAAAATGACGTCATTGGAAACTATACTGCACACCTGCACCTGCAGGTCAAAAAAGACGTCATCTGTCGGATACTGCACCTACACACCAGCAACTGCAATTGTACACCTGGAGACCCAGTAGCAAATTTAAGGGCATCTTAGTGTTTTGAATACATCAGTTAATTTCAGTTTTGCAAGCGTAGACATTTAAGTCTAATTTGTCTGTCTAAACATGGTGAAGTTGTAATGTTTCAGTAGAATTGTTTTACATTTTTACTGACCATAATATATAAGGTAGGCATAACGTGCGCTATACAAACCTCGTCTACGTTGCACAACCAAGTTCATAGTGGCCTTCTTGGTTCCTAAGCTGTTTGTTGCTACGCATTGGTACAAACCACTGTCCACTGGTCGTAAATTCCTGATAGTTAGTTTACCTTCCTTAACTTCGGTCTTTCCAGCAGGTAAAGGCATAACAAGTCTGATCCAGGTCAACTTGGGAGCTGGATACCCTTCTGCCTGGCAAGTTTCTTGTATTGTTGCAGATTCCATTTTTGAGACCAGTGATGAGGGTTTTTTGGTTAAGATCGGAAGACCTAAGAGACGAAGAATCAATATGATGTGGCTTGAAAAAGCTATAGTTTTTACCGGTCTTCCAATTGAAACTACGCAGCATGGGCGGTACTCACTTGAAGAGAAATATCTATGTGAGTTTTCTCGCGTCCAGTACACACCACATGTGTAAGTCGTAAAAATGGCATTCAAGTAGTGCAACTCGTACGAATAATGGTGCGATATATGCCTGCCCAGCTGACTAGTTTCACGACTCGCACGAGTCTGACAAGTTGAGCTAAAGAACTATATCAAGGAGGCGGGGATACTGGTCGTTTTGTTTGGGTATGTAAATTGCAGATTCTGGTATCATCCAGTGTGTTTAGTACGGAACGTCAAAATTCTTATCGATACAGGGTGTAGCTTAGGGTGGTGTATGAACAAATACCGTAAATCGTCTAATAAGCCTTCCCTCCCTTTTCAGGGGGATAAAGTTAATAAGCCCCCCTCCCTCGCTAGTTAATGATAGACTGTATTATTAGAACAAAGGTATAGAAAGAAACGAGCTCATTAATCGGTTCCTGAGGGAAAAATGATAAGAGTAGAGAAGTTGGAGAGAAAGAAAACGAAATCATTTAATGATAGCACCTTCATTGTAACACATATTCCTAAAATCTCTTATTTAACTGGCTGACTTGACAAATAAAGCTTGAGCTCCGGGGCGGGGTGCGGATGGGGGGGGTGCTCCGGATTTCAAGTCAAAGAGATGATCCGAGGATTTTTTTGGGTTTGAAATTTTCGACTTAGAGATGTTTTGTAGGAAGATTTTGGGAAGTATTTTTTCGGTAGCTTGATTTAAGTAGTGATTTTTTTGGATATTCTAAACAATCTGAGGATTCGTGATAGTGGGGGATATGGGGGGGGGGGGGTTAAGTTTTGGTCCAGGGATTTTGGGGGGGTTTTGATTTTTGCCCCCATTCGATCATCCCTGTCACTTGAAATCCAGAGTACCCCCCCTGGGTTTGAGCTACGTTCTGATGGATATCCTACGAGGGTTAAATTCGGATCACTCACCGTTTCTGGGAATGGAGTCATCTTTCTACCGACGCTCAAAAATAAATAAATACACGCGAAGGCTCCTCAAGACTCGACGAGGACGTCTCGACTTCACTTTATGACCTTACGAGGATTACTCTATAACACAGGATGACTCGCCGAGGATGACTCGATGAGCCACCATTACTTGGCGAGAATTACTCCATGAGACACGTTGAGTGGTCCTCGTCGAGTCACCCTCGTCGAATTACCCTCGTCGAGTCACCCTCGTCGAGTCACCCGCGTTGAGTCACCCGTTGCTTACGTTCATCGCACACTCCCGGAAAGTGAAACCAGATACTGAGAGAATAAGGAGTTCATTAACATTAATTGTTTCCTGACAGGCGGTGATAAGTAATGTACAAGATAAGAATCTCTCCAGGGCAGAATTCTTTTGTAGCCTTAGCCTCTCATGTAACCCACCACACTTTTTATAGTGAAGATCATCACCCTGGACTTCATACCCCCTTAAAAGCAATGAAACAACATGGCCTACCCCTGACGTTGGTAAGATAAAATTCTGATGGCTCATCAGCGGCCTTGCAAAAGAGTTTCAATTTAGTAAAGCTTATTGTTCTTTTTACCTCGAACCTTCAAATTACCAGACGCCTCAGACGTTCCAAGAATATTTCTCGCGATACAAATGTACTGCCCAGCATCGCCGTAATTTAGATTCCTCACGACCAGTTCCCCTTCTTTAACCAAATATTTTGCACCCGAATAAAGCTTCCTGCTCTTGAATCGCCATTCGACACCAGGAGTAGGATTTCCTCTGACCGTGCAATAAATCACCGAATTTGATCCTTCATCTTTAGTCTGATCTGTAGGTGATATAATCAGTTGTGGAGTAGATATCGATTCTCCAGGCCTTCCAGATGGTCCCGGCATGCCTTTTGTCCCAAGTCCTCCCTTGTCTCCCTTGTCTCCTCTCGGTCCTGTTAATCCGGTCATTCCTCTTTTTCCAGTTCTTCCAGGTGGCCCTGGCATACCCTTTGGCCCAGGCCCTCCCTTGTCTCCCTTGGCTCCTCTCGGTCCTGTTAATCCGGTCATTCCTGTTTGTCCAGTCCTTCCAGGTGGCCCTGGCATACCCTTTGGCCCAGGCCCTCCCTTGTCTCCCTTGTCTCCTCTCGGTCCTGTTAATCCGGTCATTCCTGTTTTTCCAGGCCTTCCGGGTGGTCCCTGAACGGCTTTGGGCCCAGGTTCACCCTTGTCTCCCTTTTCCCCTCTTAGTCCGGCAGGACCTGTCATCCCTCTCTGTCCAGATTTACCAGATGGTCCCTTAAGACCTTGAGGACCTTTCTTTCCTTTTGGCCCCCTCCTGCCACGTGGTCCCCTCACCCCAGTGGGACCAGGGAGTCCGGGGGGACCCACAAGGCATACCTTCTCACTTGACTTACAGTACTTGGTGGGCATAAGTTGTTCAAACTGTTTGCTGATTTCTTTTCGCACGTCATGTATACTGATGCCAGCTGAAGTGGCGTTCAACACTTGTCTCCGGTTTCTTGGCGTTGCTTTTGTTCTTGATTCCCCTGACTCATCTACTGCTAAGGGAGAATTCATTTCTAAGGGGATGACAATAAGACATTGAATTATATCAAGAGAGGATAAAGGGGACAGAGAAGGCATCCCCCATACACACCCTATTCCATAGGTTATTTGTCTCGAGTTATTTTTAGAATGGATGTTTCGTGGAGGTTTCGCATGACTAAACGCCGTGCAAAACATGTCGGGCGAAAGACAATGAAAGCGTAAAGAGATCGAGAGCATTTCTGAATATGAAGGTGAAGGATGATCATCGCAGTAAATTTTCCAGTTTAAGCAATTGGAAAGAAGAAGCCTGAAAAAAAAATATTGCGAAAAAAAAATATAAGCGAAATGAGTCGGCGCTTGCCTGAGAAAAGGGAATCGCTGGACTCTTTGACAACCCGTGAAATCAGTTTAACTCGAAGTTGTCGTAACCTCTTTGCTCAAGAAATCATTCTCTCTTGCTTTGCTTTAATAAAATGAGAAATTTCGCCGGTCTGTTGAAACCGGTCGTTTGTACAATAAAGCAAGTAGGACGCCAAGTGTTATTTTTGTTGAATAATCAAAGACTAATAAAAGAATAAATATCAAACCAGAAATTGCTCTTTTCAAACTGTAAATTATAAATGATCCTGAGTGAATATTCAGTGTGTTAAGGATTTCCCTGCTGTACTGTTAGCTCTATATTAGGGGAAGGGCAATTCTTTTTTAATTTTCCGTTTCGATGACACATCTTTAGCAGAAATCTCGCTTTAGTCGTTTTCGTCGACAAAACGAATAGCAGTATCGATCTCCGCGTCTTCCGCCATTTTTTTCAGCGTCAATTCGTGAAGCTAGGACGCGTGGCTCTGAGCGTGAGTCATCCACGCGAAACACATTCGCGCTATGTGATTGGCTGTTGTCTAATCCCCCTCGGGATCTGTGGTCTTAAAAATAACTCGAGACGAATTACGTATAGCCTGCGTAGCGTGGCGGTTTTGGTTGGGCGCGCTAAGTAATAAAGGCGGGCGAGGGCACAGAAACCGCGAGGAGATTGGGCCGGGAGCATGACGAGATTCATAGAGGTTTGAAATCGTAGACCCCAGCTGATGTTCGCCTATTCAATAGGCGAACATCAGCAGGGGAGCTCTGTAGAAGTAATCAACTTTTTACGGCTCATTTGCTTCGAGGTGACAAATTCTCATATCAACTGAATTCCTGTACGTCAACAAGATTTCGGTTCAACAAAGAACTCAATTACAAATTAGCCGCATTGGAAGTCTTTCTGCCGAACCGGAATGCATTTGCCTCTGTAGTGGCTTCTCTTAAAATTTATTGTACTTCGAGAAAAGTGATTTTACGCACTTCTTGCTGGGGAATTTTCTATTGTATAATTTGTTTACTTGTATTTATTAAACACTGAGGGCCAGTTATTTAGCCGGTATATTACAAAATCGCGTTATAATTAAGCCATTTTCAGTTTAACCAACGCTTTTGTCAAACCCCATTTATCGTAAATAATTTCAATAAAGCACATAAGGCAGACTGGAAAACTAAAGCACCTATTTTCTTAAACTAACCCACCAAGAAAGAGGGCTGGAGGTCCAATGATTTCTGAAACCGCGGCCTAAGGTAACCCGTAATGGTTTGAAAGTAATGTCACTCTATTTTCTTTTTGCCTCTCTCGCAAGTTAAAGTGAGAGTTCACAGAGACTGTGCGGTTTTCTCGAGTGCGTTTTAGAAGCTGCCTTAACGAAAAGGCTACTACACTACCGGAATTAAAACATCGTGGAAATTGTTAATTTAAAGCCGCGGAGTATTTTCCCCAACAATGAATAATATTACCTCTAACTTTCTGCAATAACGCTGCAAAATTTTTTAGGTTATTTTTCACCCGAATAGGCTGCGAATTTAATGCGATGATCATTTTCACTTTCATACCTTCATCCGCATTTCATATATTTCAATTCATGCTTACAAGATCTCCCTAATTTTATGTCTGAACGCAAGGCTTTTTAATGGAATCTTCATTCAAGGCCAGAACTAACACTAAGCGCTAAACAGAAACTGCCTTATCAAAAAACTTTTAAAATTGACGCGCTGTTTTAAAGGCCTCACTGGATCTGGATGGGGTTAAATACAAACGTAAGCAAAACATTACTTTTGCAATATTTAAATAATGTCTAAAAAATAAAGCTTCCCTCTGAGATACCTGGCGAATAAAATTGTCACAGGGCCACAGCCTAAACAGGCTAAGCTGCTCTGTTGAATCAGGAAGGCCAGACTTTTTTTCTTAATGCTGGACAGAGATTAAAACAATATCTAAAAGCGCGTTTTTAGTTCCCTCTGAGACACTCGGAGAATAAATTCAAAAGGCTAAGTTGCTCTGTTGAATCAGGAAGGCCAAACTGTTTTACTTAATGCTAGACGGGGATTCAAAAAATATCTGAAAAGCGTGTTTTTAGTTCCCTGTGAGACACCCGGAGAATAAAATTCTCACAGAGCCACAGCCTAAAAAGGCTAAGCTGCTCTGTTGCATCAGGAAGGCCAAACTTTTTTTCTTAATGCTGGACAGAGATTCAAACAATATCTAAAAGCGAGTTTTTAGTTCCCTCTGAGACACCCGGAGAATAAAATTCTCACAGAGCCACAGCCTAAAAAGGCTAAGCTGCTCTGTTGAATCAGGAAGGCCAAACTTTTTTTCTTAATTATAATGCTGGACAGAGATTCAAACAATATCTAAAAGCGAGTTTTTAGTTCCCTGTGAGACACCCGGAGAATAAAATTCTCACAGAGCCACAGCCTAAAAAGGCTAAGCTGCTCTGTTGCATCAGGAAGGCCAAACTTTTTTTCTTAATTATAATGCTGGACAGAGATTCAAACAATATCTAAAGGCGAGTTTGTAGTTCCCTCTGAGACACCCGGAGAATAAAATTCTCACAGAGCCACAGCCTAAAAAGGCTAAGCTGCTCTGTTGAAACAGGAAGGCCAAACTGTTTTACTTAATGCTAGACGGGGATTCAAAAAATATCTGAAAAGCGCGTTTTTCGTTCCCTGTGAGACACCCGGAGAATAAAATTCTCACAGAGCCACAGCCTAAAAAGGCTAAGCTGCTCTGTTGAATCAGGAAGGCCAAACTGTTTTACTTAATGCTAGACGGGGATTCAAAAAATATCTGAAAAGCGCGTTTTTAGTTCCCTGTGAGACACCCGGAGAATAAAATTCTCACAGAGCCACAGCCTAAAAAGGCTAAGCTGCTCTGTTGCATCAGGAAGGCCAAACTTTTTTTCTTAATGCTGGACAGAGATTCAAACAATATCTAAAAGCGAGTTTTTAGTTCCCTCTGAGACACCCGGAGAATAAAATTCTCACAGAGCCACAGCCTAAAAAGGCTAAGCTGCTCTGTTGAATCAGGAAGGCCAAACTGTTTTACTTAATGCTAGACGGGGATTCAAAAAATATCTGAAAAGCGCGTTTTTAGTTCCCTGTGAGACACCCGGAGAATAAAATTCTAACAGAGCCACAGCCTAAAAAGGCTAAGCTGCTCTGTTGCATCAGGAAGGCCAAACTTTTTTTCTTAATGCTGGACAGAGATTCAAACAATATCTAAAGGCGAGTTTTTAGTTCCCTCTGTGACACCCGGAGAATAAAATTCTCACAGAGCCACAGCCTAAAAAGGCTAAGCTGCTCTGTTGAATCAGGAAGGCCAAACTTTTTTTCTTAATTATAATGCTGGACAGAGATTCAAACAATATCTAAAAGCGAGTTTTTAGTTCCCTGTGAGACACCCGGAGAATAAAATTCTCACAGAGCCACAGCCTAAAAAGGCTAAGCTGCTCTGTTGAATCAGGAAGGCCAAACTGTTTTACTTAATGCTAGACGGGGATTCAAAAAATATCTGAAAAGCGCGTTTTTAGTTCCCTGTGAGACACCCGGAGAATAAAATTCTCACAGAGCCACAGCCCTAAAAAAGGCTAAGCTGCTCTGTTGCATCAGGAAGGCCAAACTTTTTTTTTCTTAATGCTGGACAGAGATTCAAACAATATCTAAAAGCGAGTTTTTAGTTCCCTCTGAGACACCCGGAGAATAAAATTCTCACAGAGCCACAGCCTAAAAAGGCTAAGCTGCTCTGTTGAATCAGGAAGGCCAAACTGTTTTACTTAATGCTAGACGGGGATTCAAAAATATCTGAAAAGCGTGTTTTTAGTTCCCTGTGAGACACCGGAGAATAAAATTCTCACAGAGCCACAGCCTAAAAAGGCTAAGCTGCTCTGTTGCATCAGGAAGGCCAAACTTTTTTTCTTAATGCTGGACAGAGATTCAAACAATATCTAAAAGCGAGTTTTTAGTTCCCTCTGAGACACCCGGAGAATAAAATTCTCACAGAGCCACAGCCTAAAAAGGCTAAGCTGCTCTGTTGAATCAGGAAGGCCAAACTGTTTTACTTAATGCTAGACGGGGATTCAAAAAATATCTGAAAAGCGCGTTTTTAGTTCCCTCTGAGACACCCGGAGAATAAAATTCTCACAGAGCCACAGCCTAAAAAGGCTAAGCTGCTCTGTTGCATCAGGAAGGCCAAACTTTTTTTCTTAATGCTGGACAGAGATTCAAACAATATCTAAAGGCGAGTTTTTAGTTCCCTCTGAGACACCCGGAGAATAAAATTCTCACAGAGCCACAGCCTAAAAAGGCTAAGCTGCTCTGTTGCATCAGCAAGGCCAAACTGTTTTACTTAATGCGGGACATTTGGTTTATGAAATTTTACTCACTTTTACCGACAGTTGATAGCCACTGGCCTTGGCAAAATAAATTTTCCTCTTTTCTTAAAAGGGATTCGATAAAATTGAAAATATCCACTACGATCCACACTTAAAAACTGAACTCTGACTGAATTAAACTGTTTGCGATCAGGCTTAAGAAACAGTGATCTCCATCAACATTTTCCATGAACATTACACTTTCACATCATTAGCAGTTATTGAAAATTTATGAAATGATCGAGTGATCAGTGTCGACCTTGAAACGTTTTTGCGCTAAAATGATAATAGGTAGCCATTTGAAGATGATACAAAGGAACCTAAAATAGACTTACCAAGTTTCTGCCGATGTTTAGAAAATTGAAAAGGGCTGAAGAGCATCACCGTTCGGGCTAAATCCAGTCGGCGACCCTTAATAAAAATCATTTAAGCTTACATAATCAACAACGACGTGAATGCCCGAGTTTCTGACTTGACGGTCATGGGCATCTGCCACCGTCAGGGAATCATAGGATATCGCTTCTCGAATGAATCCCTCATTTTAATTCCCCCAATTCAGTAATTCACGACCAAATACCTTTTCCAGATCTTCTCCTCACGACGAAACGCTTTCTCTGACTTCTCTGGCTGCCCGGTCTGGCCGCTTCCTGCTATATTTTCTAGTAGCTGGAAGGAATTTGGTCCTTCTTTGATCGCTTTAAACTCGCTTTCGTTGGCATTTCATCGGCGCAAGTTAAAGGCTCGTGCTAACGTTAAAACGACAACAACATGATCTTTCCTCTTTGAAAAACCAAACCTGGATGGGTTGACTCGAGCGCTAGTACTATCTGTACTATCGACCAAATCATAAATAGCTAAAAATAATCGGCCCTGCTACTTCCAAACATCATCTCTACATAAAAAGCATAAAATTTTGACTTGCCATGAATTATATCCGTCGGTAAAACCATTTGGTCACTGATACTGCGTACGAGATTACCTTTTTTTGGCAAGCGAGGATCCAAAGACTGAAGATGCTTTTCTCGACGAGCGTGCCAGCTTTGAAATTCGTGCGAGATCGCATTGTGATACAAATAGTATCTGTCTTTCGTCTCTGCTCGTTTTCCATCAGTGACGCAAAGTACACAAGTCATGACAGATTAGTGGCTATTAATTGAATCCTAATTAGGTTTTTACAAGGACACCGGAAATTGAAACTTCCTCCCTGTGGTGAATTTCAAAGTCGTATGAATCTCGTCATGACTTGAAAAACCGCCTACACTGACGGGGGGCTTTTTTGAGTCGGTCCTTACGCCAGCGTACGGATCGTTCCGATTGGTTCAGAATGTTCGCCCGTCAATCAAATATTTTGGTAATATCTCATGGGATAGTTTCGAGGGACTGAACAAATCATCTCGCAAAAGAAAATCAAAATATTTAAGAAGCGTTGACCGGAGCGTCGTCGATCTTGAATATCTGACGGGAAAACAGAGCAATTATATTGAAGCCTAAACAGGAAATGGCCATTTACAGTCTTGTTCAAAGGAGAGATGTCATAGAAAGTTTTGGCAAGAGAATGATCTTTATTGTCTTTGCTATGGCCCAAGAAGAAATATCTTCATTGAAAACCTGTATAATCACAATTTCCCCTCTAAAAAGTACTACGGAGACCAGATATCGAAAATTTTCTCGCTGAGCTGTACAGCAATGGACCTTATGACAGAAACAGTAAATTTGCCTCGAGAAAGTCCACCTCAATTTTCTCTATTACTCGGTGTTAGAGAATACCGCACTCCAGCGCACTACATCGAACGGCGTCCGCGATTGTGGTCTATGAATTGCATACAATAGAAGAAAGACGAACAGCATAATTCTCCATACTTGGTGTAGCTTAGGTTTAAGCTACAACTCAAATCTGAAGATCGCGCTATACGTAAAACAACACTTAAAGAGCCAGGCCGAGCGTCAAAACATTCATTCACGGACAAAGAAACTACAAACCAAAACTCCTTGGTATGTAGTTATCCAGATCCAGGCATTTTAATCGGAAAAGACCAAAGAAGCTAAAATATTTATTTAGTCTTAATAAAAAGCTTTAGGCTTCAAGAGTGGTCAAAGAAATTAGTACTTTACAACTGCATGTGAGATCAACAAATTCTAATCAGCAACAAGTACAGAAACATTAACCACAGGAAATAATTACTCAATACGGATGAAACAAACCAACTTCATGGCCTCTAAATAAATGTAAGACTTAGTGCAGCAAAAAAAAAAAAAGATCTACTCAGTCAAGTTTAGAACGCAGTGTAGTCACCTATGCGCGAGATAGCAACAAAGAAAAAACCTGTGTTTTTTCAAGCAGGCTCCAATTCCGCCCAAGGTCACGTTTTACATTATATCACGAGCTTTTGTGTCGTGTTTAGGCTGTCAACACTTTATTTCTGATTGGCTGGGAAAACTGAAACCAAACAAGTTGTTAACAGGATGTCAAAATGAGTTGAAGGGGGCGGCAGTTGAAAAGGCCACGAATCCGAGCAGGCGGTTTTTATTTTTCTCGCGGCTTTGCCGCTCGTTTCACACCTTCGCAGTTCGTGCGCCCGGCTCTACAAAACCGCCATGCAACGCAAGCTAAATTACCTATGGAATAGGGTGTGTATGGGGGGATGCCTTCTATGTCTCTTTTACCCTCTCTTGATTATATTAGTGCGCATTTTAATGACTTGCGTATCTTGACTCTGTTACTTAGGTTGCTGACCCAAAAATCATGAGTCTCTCATGGATTAATTTCGTAACCAGTGGTAACATAGGGTTTGCTTCGGTAAGGGACGAACCATTAGAAAACTTATGGAGGGTGGGGGGCGAAGTACAAAAAAAAATATTCGCAGAAGGGAAAATTAAATGAAAAAAAAAATAATGCACGCCGATTAATCCTAAAAAATATCCATGCTAAGGCCTAGAGAAAATTCATACAAGGAATTTGATAACGAAAAAAAAGTTCTTGAGGCTCGAAAATTGCCCACCCCCCCCCATAACTTTTCTAATGGTCCGTCCCTAAGCTCAGCAGCTGGTCAAGGCTGTTTTTGAGTTGCGCCCTTGTTCTTGTTGTTTTAGCCCTGTCCTTTATTATCATAGTATCCGTTTGGGGTTTCTCACAGTACAAGGTATATGTAAACCTAATCTGCTAACTTTGTCTAATTCGATTATGTAGTAAAATATACTGTGCACTTGATGAGTGGTCTGCTGTCAGCAGAGGAAAAGTTCAGCATCACCCGTATATATCGTCTATAAACATTTGTAATTAACCATATATTTTGTGTTAAAAACGTTTCTGTCGTATGGAGGATTGTGTCCGTCTGTACCGACTCGGCGGTCAGATCAGCTTGCAATCAGCAGTGATTCAGTACCGTGTGGCATAAGATTTTCTTTAGAATTTAATTCGCGTTTTTGATTACCGTTCTTTTTGCAATTTGTGGAAGTAAATTAGGCGAATTTGGTGTTTGTAGCATTTGTAGTATAAATTTTGATAGAGCTATACTGTCTGAAATGAAATACTGAGTAAATCAATTTTAAGATTTCAATACAAGGTCACCCAACTCGTTCACATATAATATGATAAGCTTATCTCGTGGGGTACTTCTAAAAAAGTTCGGCGGATGAGACATAATAGTCTAAAAACCCTGAGTCCCAGTGACCCTATTTCAGACCCTCGGGCTGTTTAATTCTGATGCACTTTCAAGAGCCTATAATAGAGAACATACTAAATTTCAAGCCCTGGTTCCAGCAAGCACAAAACTTTAAAAAGGAAACATTAAAAAAATTGGCCCCGTGCATCCTTATACAGTTTACGCAAAAAAGTACCGTCTTCTACCCACCCCTCCCCTCGATCCCCACCAAGCGTCAAGAAAAGTATACCTGAAGTATCTTTCAACTCCACTTCATCAACCGGTCTTTGAAGTTTCTTTAAGAGATTCTTCGCAGATTCTTCTTTTAGATTAAGCGTCGTTCTGTCACTGTTCTCCATCGCCGAGCAGCCAGTCTTAACAAGAACTTCCACTGGAGACATGTTAATGCGTGATTCCAATGCTGTCAGTCGCTCGTTGGTTGTTTCATTCTTCATCCAGAGACATCCACAAGCAAAAAGTACCACCAATGAAAGAAAAGATGGCCTAATTGAAGGGAGAAAATCAACGAAGCGATGGGACTTCGAAGAGTCAACCGAAGCCATTTTCAGTGCAACTTCACAAGCGTTTGCCGTCAGTGTTAGACACACAGGAAAACGAAAGTCAGTGGAAAGTTGCCAAATAATTTGATCCTGTAAATTGCAGCCCAGATAAACACGGTATACATTACTTGGATATCTTTTTTACACAGGGATTAAAGGGTTAAAAATAATACTCATGCACAGCAAGTGTCAATGAGAAGAATATCGCTCACAGGTGAGGCTTGCAAGGACCGTTGGCTGCTTAGGATGACGACTCTTGGAAAATGTTGGTGGTATCAGTCTGATCAATGCGGCAAGCTTTCTGAATGCTTTCTCAAAGATCCTCCAAAAATCGTTGCACCGAAACCTTGCATCTATTTACCCGGAAGCTTGTAGTTATTTTCTCGGCGGGTGAAACAAGAGCCGAAAGAAGCGTCTGCTCCCCGCAGGCCACTGGAATGAGGAATAAAGGAACAGCTTTGCTGCGATTGGCAAAATGCTTTTAACCCTATTCAGACTGGGCTTTTTTGGTCAATCTGTGACTGGGGGCTCCTCGGACCCCCCCTCTGTATCTCTGGAACCAATAATGCTAGGGTCATGAAATTTACACACAATGATCATCTCCGTACAAAGAAGCCCCACACCCAGTTTTGACTTGCCACGCCCAATGATGACGTCACAGTGACGTCATATTCCGATTTTTCAATGTTTCTTATTGTCTTTCCACTTAGATACGTAAAATACCAATAATATTGGTAAAGTCATCTCTTTGTTATCCTTTCTTATGAACTAGTAACAAGGAAACACTTGTACAGCGAGAAAAAGCAATAGGAAGCAATAAAATTTAAAATTTGAAATGGTTGTCCGCCATCTTGGATCCGCCATCTTGTATCCGCCATCTTGGATTTCCGTTTTTTTTGTTAAAATTATAATTTAAAGCAACTTTCAAAGTGGAAAAAGCTCAGAATGTATAAACGAAGTATCAAACTAATGTTTATTACCCAAACAAATGACTTTGAAGTGTTATTTGGAAAATAGAGCAGCATATTTGTCAAAGCAAAAAAGTGACAAATTTTACCCCACCCCTCCCCCCGAAATATTCGATGTTGAAACATTTTGATGTAATTCAAAAACTAGTCCCAAGGAAAGACCATTTTAACAACAAAAAGCACTGTAAGTGTAAAAACGCGTTCTTAAAACAAAAAAATCACCATTTTTTAAATTTTCCAAAACCTATGTGTCAGAAACTGGTTGCCATGGCAACATGATTAATCACATGGACATGGTAATTATACCAAAATGTTCCTAGATAAATTTTAGGAAAAGTCAGAAAATTTGAACGTCATAGCTCTTTCGGTGTAGGAGTTATCACGATTGTGCCGGAGGGGGGGTTCGAAAAGCCCCCCCCCCCCCAGTCTGAATAGGGTTAAAAAAGAGTGTTTAACAAGAAACTGACCCTGAACTAACGTCAGTATAACGCTCAATTAAAGCAGACACAGATAAGGCAGTTGATCACAGTGATTTAATTTTAACAAAACTGTGAGAGTTAATTCACAAGAGAACAAAGAATGTGACTGTTTGGTCAAGAACAGAAACGTGACAGAGTGAGAATCAATATAATAGCTTATAATTAGAAAATACTATTAGTATAAATAGTTTCACCACATTCTGGTAAAAGTCACCTTGCGTTACATGTATTGTCACGCTTTCGCCGATTTAGAAACAAGAAAGGCACTGATGCCGCAATTATTTCTGGGATCGTTACTGGTGACGCACCGAGCAGTTATTAGGGATTTTAAGCAAAGGTGTTTTTGAGAGACGCACGTCAACCGGAAGTAAGGAATTTTTCCTTTTAATATGCCTTGACGCTATAAAAGGCAGTTGATCACAATGATTTAATTTTAACAAAACCGTGAGTTTACAAGAGAACAAAGAATGTGACTGTTTGGTATAACAGAAACGTGACTGAGTGAGAATCAATAAAATAACTTAAAAAGTCAAAAGTCAACCTTGCGTTACATGTGTTGTCGCCAGAGTAAAGACGAGAAGGGCACTGGTGCCGAAATTGTCCCGCAATTGTTTCTGGGATCGTTACTGGTGACGCACCGAGCAGTTATTAGGGATTTTAAGCAAAGGCGTTTTTTGAGAGACGGACTTCAACCAGCAGAAGTGACGACTTTTCCCTCTAAAATTTGTATTGCTTAGTTTCTTTACACTTGTAGAGACGATTCAACTGAACATTTGGGGAAGACTACGGCTCAGGAATCAAAAATGCCTTTGCTTAAGTTCCCAGGTAACAGTCCCAAAAGTCTTTGAGAAAGTTAACTCGGCCCAGTTTCCTTCTCGCTTCCTTAAGTGCCGATGTCACAGTGATATGGGCATCCCCGCGCTTTGGCCATCCCCATTCCCAAAACCCCAGTGATATAGACATTCCCTATAACCCACGGGAGTTTTTGCTACTAGCTGGAATTTTAACGCTCATTTTATGAACTTTGTTGTATTATTTTTGGCTCAGAAAATCCTTTTTTCTGCATTAAGTGCTCATGAGCTAAAACTAAAACGTATTAAAAAGGTGGCTCTTAAAAGGTGCATGAAGACTTTCAAAACTAAATTGTCTTTTCCGGATTAGGCACCTTATCAGTTTAGAGGCTTATCAACTTATCAAGAAAAGTAGTTTATCTGGACGGTGCTTTTTTTTTTGTAAATTCTTAAACATCTAGTACGAGTATGGCTGCACGCGTAACGGGATCGTAAGGGCCTACAATAGAGGACGACAGTAGAATTAATCTGACTGGTAATGTTCAAGACTTCCGCTCACACGTTCTTAGCGCTTCGTCACGCCTTCCTCCCTTACGAACGTCGTTTTAGGGGAAAGAAGATTTAACGAAGTCCTAAGTAGTCTGAGAGGGAGGTTATAATGTTCTTTATATGGAAAATGAACTGCATAATGAAATAAATAAAAACTGAGATCTGAATGCATATCAGTGCAATTCGGTGCATAGTCCTGTGAATCCTTGACATGGCTACTTAACTCTAGTATCACAGGGCGCCCACACTATGTGTGTGTGTAACCGATTGTTATCTTATAGTAAATGTACTGGATTTACCGTTTGCTGCACCTATAACCATATATCGCTAAGTACACAGTAATTTTCAAGGAGTTATAATAACTCCTCTAGTGGGGTTAAATTAACTCCTTACACCGGAGTTATTTTAACTCCAAAAAGGAGTTTAAAGAACTCTTTTTCAGGAGTCAAAATAACCCACGAAAAGGAGTTATCCTGTGCCTAAAATTTTTACTCCATTTTTGAAGTTATAACAACTACCTAAAAATTACGGTGTATGTATATAAATCAATGTAAAATAAACGTTGAATTACCTTGCTTGTGGTATATAGTCGTCCTTTTTCCTCAAAAGCGCTTTTTTGACTGATTTTGAAGGAGTTTGAGTTCGGCGTTTATTGTTCTCTATAACAGAAGGACAAGGGAGGAATTCTTGTTTTGAAAGGGCTCCAGCGCCGGAGGGATTTTTCCCCAGAAAATCGCATCGCTCCGCTTTCAAACTTTGTAGCAAGAAGGTCGAAAGATTCATGCTTCTTCTAGTACCTTCCGATGGAAAATCCATCCAAAAGGCCCGGAGCTAGCCCTCGAAGAAAATTAAAATCCCACAGTTTTTGAACGGTCAAAATGCGTAGGAAGATTGAACATACGTGCGAGTCAAAAACCATCTCGCTGATTGCCTCTTTTTGTTTGGATCTCGTTAAACAATAAACGCTTACAAGTTCTTTTTTAAATCAGTTATTACTTAACCATTTGGTTAACGACACCCAATGAAAAAGAGGCAATCAGCGGGGAGGTTTCTGACTGGCACGTATGAATCTTGCAACGCCTTTTGACGGTTCAAAAACTGTGGGATTTTAATTTTCTTCGAGGGCTGGCTCCGGGCCTTTTGGATGGATTTTACTCCTCAGTATTTACATTTAGCAACATAATTGCTCAGAACAAATATATTTGTGCTAATCCATTGTTTCGTCCAGTGGGCCAAAACAGCAAGTTTAGCTCGTTCGAAAAACTCTCACAATTTATGAATTACTTATCACTCTTTCTAAGTTGGATTCCACACAAAAGTGTTGCTTGTGCTTCCTAACTAGACTTTTAAATTTTTTTAGCATTGCGTAATTGACTGTAAACCAACAAAGCCTGTTGTTAATTATAGCGTCTGAACAACTTAACTTCATCGAATCATCTGTTTCGTTGAAGGACTTACTAGCTTGGGCACTGCATAATATTTTACTATATATATCAGACGGTTTTTGTTTGCGCTTGATTTTCTTTCATTCTTTTCTATCATCCATTAAAACGCCACAGAGTTTTAACTAAAAATTAAGAAAATAGTGACGCATATAATTATATAATGCTCTAATTATATTCCAATGCCAATTTTACAATAACTGAGCAAATCCTCGCACGCTGATTGGTCGAGAGCTATTGTCTATGAGAGTATATATAGACCATAGAAATCATGACCTAACATGTCAAGCAGTGCCGGTTGTTTTGTTTTTGGTTTTTCGTAAAAATAATTTTGCTCCACGACATGGTCAAAGAAGAACCAAGTTTTAACATATGGGGAGAAATTTCTGACAGTGAGTTGGTGCTAGAAGTTGCAGAGGTAGAGCAAAAATACGAAAAACAACAAGAAAAACGTCGCTTCTCGCGTGATTTTCCGAGAAACTTGGCAGGAAACTAAAAATAAATGTTATTGTAAAACACAAATCGACCACAATTTTCCATGTTCTACAATCTTATAGACCATAGAAATGACGCCATAAATTGTCAAAACTTTGTAGTGAAACCACTCGCCTGCGGCTCGTGGTTCCACCTGTGGTTTGAACATTTCATGACGTCATTTCTTGGTCTACAAAAGTGTAGACCATGGGAAATTGTGGTCGTTTTGTTAAATGACAAAGCTAGTATACAATATATCTACATACAATAGACCTTTGTCACGCGGCGGCCATTTTGTCTCAGTAGATTTAAAAAGCTTAATTGTTTATGCTCGGCTAGCCTCATTCTCTCTGCGAGGCTAGCCAAGCAATCCAGAGACAAAATGGCCGCCGCGTGACAAAGGTCTACTGTACTGACTAGTGGAAGTTCAAGCCTGCATTGTAAATTGAATAAAAAAATGTGCATGGTGCCCATTATGGAGCTGAAACGTTTTAAGTTGCTACTTTTACATGCCTATTCAGAGGCAAAAGGGATCAGCTTATAACACATTGAGAAAATGAAACTTCACGAAGAAAGTGAACCGAAATTCTAATTATCATTGCAAAGAATTATATCCACAAGGTTTCCTCGCCTATCAACCAAAGTTAAAATTAAGCCAGTGCATGTGTCGCTTATGTGGCTTGAGCTCTGCAGTTGTCACAACAGTTGCATGTCTGGGTAGAAAAAGGGAGTAAACCGGGTTGTTAACAATATATTGTTCTCTGTTATTTTAACAATGTTAAAATGGTTAATGAACACGAAAGAGATCTTTCGGCCCTGTTTGTGAATGCGAAATCCAAAGCTGTGAAATGAAATACAGTTGAACCTCCACTAAGCGGCCGGCTACCAGGCAGGCAAGGATCTACGATAAATTCCCCGGGGAAATATTTTGGATTTTAAATCCCTAAAGTCCCCTTTTCTGGGTGTTTCTGAGCCATTCAGACAGGATATTGGCCACCAGTTCCAATCTCGGCGGATGAAGCCTTGCAAACAAGCGGATTATTTTTGTCCAAACCAGTGGTATCTAGGGAGCGAAATTTTGGACTCAAAATTTATTGGCTTCCTAGATACTGCTAAACCAGTAACCAGATTTCAACTTGGAAAGTATTTTTATTAAAAATAAATCTACCTGGAGTTTTGAAAACCGCACGGGCTACCTGAAATCTTAAGTCAAGTCCACCTCATAGCAGGCAATCTTTCAAATAATAATTTGCTTAAAGTCGGGATGCGTTTAGTGCAAAAATATAAATTTCCCTCTTCAGTACTAACCACCCTCAGCTCTTAATCATGGGCTCCAAATAACTTCCTAGAATTGACAGAAAGCAGTGAAAATTCCAGAAAAATTGCCCTACGGGCCGGTCTGTTGCCCCCGTTGGGCCAGCTAATATTTGTTGAGGGGGGCTTCCGTCAAGCTAAGTGTCATGTTGTTGCACAGACACAAGGCTATCATCTGGTATGCAATTGGGGTAGCCTGATTAGATTCCAGGGGGGGTGGGGTTGATGAAATTTCTTTTTGAGGAGAGATTTAACTTTTCCAGTAAAAAGGGGCATTAACTTACCAATCAGTGCGAGACACTGACATGTTTTAGTAGCCCGGTCTTCAAAAAACCAGGTATAAATTTATTATGAAAAATCTGACCGATTTCCGTGAAATGCTGGAAACCGGTGTGGATCCGCGCCTACCTATTAAACGGCCACCATATACTAAGGGGCCGGTAATCAAATTCCGAAATAATTGTAGAAAAGAATGGGAAATTAAACCTCCATTAAGCGGTTTCGGCCACAGCTCGGCGTGTTTTTAACTTCGGAGAGTCTTAACAAAGTGTAATTATCCACTCATCAATTTGTGACGTCATTTGTCCCTGTATTAAATGAAAAGTTTTAGGTTTTTGCGTCATTCATTTTCGATGCAAGGGTGCGAACAGACAAGGTTTGCTTGGCCTACAAAGGTTCCTAGCTATAGAGTGGTCACTGACCTCTCGATTGTTATTTCCACCTTCTTCACAGAATTAAGCAATTCCTGCTTTCTTTTTCTACAAGACGATTTCCTTTTCAGCACTGAGAGGAACGGAAAATTAAAGCTGGTATTTGACCTTGAGACCGGCTAGAACCATTTGAGTTTTTTGAGGAAGTCTTGAAGGTTACGGTGACACCAGAACACGAGGCACTTGCCAAGCCGTCCGTGTGATAAAAGGAGGTTGTACTTGTAACTATTCTTGCTGTTGCAGTGTATGTGACACCAGCGCGGATCGAAATCACCTGGGAAAAAAGCACCTCAAATGTCTTGACACTGAAACTGGTAGCATAGGACCCAGTCTTTTCTGCGATCAAGTTGCTTCCACGGTACAAGCGAATGGTGACCTGGAAACTAGTTGAACCGCTCTTGACTCCCCACAGACGGTAACCTGACAAAATGACGTCACCATTTGTCTGGAAATCGATTGCGTCAACGTTTCCACTGCCACTGGGATCATTAGAGTATCCCCAGCCACTGCTAGGACTTCTGGACCGGCTGCGCCAGCAGTCACATTTAGCTAGGACGAAAAACAATTATTTAATCACGTGCCCAACTATTCCTAACGTTTGTTTGTCTGTTTGTTTGTTTGTTAGTGTTTTTGTTCTTGTTTTTCGATAGCTGAACGAAATAAAGGGTAGAGAGACTCAGGTTTTCAGCCTTAAGGAACCATTTTTTGTACGTTGTCTACATTACTCTGCCAAGGTCTGTTAAATCTGCTTGTTGGGAATGGAGAATTATGATATCCTTGCTTTACAAACCAGATCGTCGTTGCGTGAACAAATCCTTTATGGCCCTTATTGGAGAAGTTTTATGCTTCCTCGCTGTTGACACGCACTGGTACATACTTTGCAAGATGGATGTCTGCTAATTCAGCCTTGTAGCATCGTTTTATGGTACATAACGTGCTCTGTTTCAAACGTTATAAGTTTACTTAATTAGAACTAAAGAAACAAGGAGCATACGGAGGCTTTAATTTGCCGGTGCACATGTGTGACTGCAGGTGTAAGTGCAAGTTTAAAGGTGCAGTGTGCGATGACGTCTTTTTCGTGTCACACTCTTTTAGATCAAAGTGTAACAATTTTTCAGAATTCCTTTCTTTATTTTTCCGTACGTCTAATGAAGCTTTGTTTATTGTAGTTCGTGTTAGGTGTTTAGTTCTTTGTGTCATTTTTCGCGGCTTCGTTAGCGTCTCTTCGTATCTTTTTCATCTTCATTAGAGTCTTTTCGTCACTTTTGTTTTCTGTACATTCAACCATAATTCAACCGTATTTTACATCGCAGTTCCTCAGCACTATGTTCAGTTTTGTTTTGGTCTGCGCTAAGCACAGTTCTCATCAGTGCTTTTCTACGTTTCTTCGCGTTTTACGCAGTCCGCTAACGCAGCAGTTTTCCTTGGCCGTAACAATCTAAGTGTGTTTCACATGTACAGTGCTCGCTTTGTCGCAGTTTTGTTGTTTCTTTATGTCAAATTTTCGGTTGTAGCAACATGTAATTTTTATTTACCACGCAGATTTTAACCACGCACCTCACTGAATCAAATGAAACAATCTTCATTTGTTCAGTGGATTTGGTTTGTGGTGTTGGTATTTTTGGTCACGAGAGTTCTTCACTTCTTGCAGTTTCACATTCCTTCACACGGACCTATACAAAAATTTATCTTTGAAAAAATAACTGGTACCGATACGCTCAAACATTGCCAAAGCTTAGGTCCGAGGATTTTATGAGATAGCCTGAATGACTATTTTAAATATGAAGGTTACCCAAAGAATAAATAGAGAACTTTAGATTCTAATTAGAGACCTTTAGATTCGAGGACGAGGACGACTACGATTACGAGATTTGACTTAAAGTTTTTTCGCGTATTCTCAAAATATAGACTCTCCGAAAAGCTTTATTTGACCATTTTTCACTAGAAAAGTTAGCACTGTTATCTTCAGTGAAGGAGGTTACACCCTCCCCCGATCGCAAAATGATCAAACTTCTTACATTTGACATCTTGTTCCCGCCACTTCGACCTTCGCGCTAAAACTCGTACTAGAGTGACGACGGCTATCACGTTTTCCCGCCAAATGACGCTGGTTCACGCGCGAGCATTACTTAGTATTGAGAAAATCTCGTACTCGTAGTCGTAGCCATCGTCATTCTACTAGGAGGTTTAGCGAGAACGTCGTAGTGGCGGAAATTCAAGTTATCAAATGTTAGAAATATTACCATTTATAATGATCGGGAGATGGCTTTACCTCCTTCAACGGAAATAAATAAACTAACTTTTGTGGTAAAAAAAAAAGTACACTATGATGCTTTCCGGAGTGTTATTTTTCAGAGAATAGGCGAGAAAACTTAAAATTAAATGTCTTCCTCGTTCTCGAATCAAAAGCTCTCTAATAACATACATTTTGAGGTGTCAGAAAAGGTGCGCGGGAAGAGAGTGAAGGGTAAGCGTTGACTCGTTTACAGTGCTGAGTAGATAACGAGAAAAACCTTGAAAATTGGGTCATTACTCAGTAGTGTTCTCTTCTCTCGAGATACGACTCTGAACCAAACAACCAAGAGTTTTAGCACAAAAACTTGAGAAATCTATTTACGTCATTCTGCGATCTTTTAGAGTTAGAGTTTAGTTTCTCCAGGTATAAAGGTGTGAGACAAAAATGACGTCATTGGAGACAATACCGCACACCTGCACCTGCAGGTCAAAAATGACGTCATCGGATACTGCACCCACACGCCAGCCACTGCAATTGAACACCTAGAGAGTCAGTAGCAAATTTAGGGGAATCTTAGTCTGTTAAATACATCAGTCAATTTCAGTTTTGCAAGAGTAGACTTCAAACATGATGAAGTGCTAATCTTTCAGCAGAATGTTTTATCATGAAATATAAGGTCGGCATAACGTGCGCTATACAAACCTCCTGGTCGACTTTGCACAAACAAGTTCATCGTGGCCTTCTTGGTTCCTAAGCTGTTTGTTGCTACACACTGGTACAAACCGCTGTCCACTGGTTGTAAATTCCTGATAGTTAGTTTACCTTCCTTAACCTCGGTAAAGGCAGGTAAAGGCATAACAAGTCTGATCCAGGTCAACTTGGGAGGTGGATACCCTTCTGCCTGGCAAGTTTCTTGTATTTGAGCGAATTCCATTTTTGAGACCAGTGATGAGGGTTTTTTGGTAAAGATCGGAAGACCTAACAGACGAAGAATCAATACGATGTGGCTTGAAAAAGCTATAGTTTTTACCGGTCTTCCAAACTATACACAGAATTGGCGGCTATGTGAGCTATGTGAGTTTTGTTGAGTTCAGTAAAAGCCACATTATTAGTTTTGTTTGGGTATTTAAATTGAAGATTCTGGAATCATCCAGTTTGTTTAGTACGGAACTTCAAAATTTTTATAGTATACAAGCTCAAAATCGTGTATGAAGAAATACTGTAAATCCTCTATTTAGTCCCCCCCTTTTCAGGTGAAGAAAGTTAGTAAGCCCTCCTCCCTCCAACTTTTTATTGTTCACGAATAAATTAAAGACTGTATTAATCAAAGGTATAGAAAGCAAGGAGCTGCTAAATAGGTTCCTGAGGAAAAATGGTAAGGGCAGAGAAGCGGGAGAGAAAAAAAGAAATCTTTCAAAGACAGCAACTTCATTGCAAGAAATCTTCCTAAAATCTCTTATTTCACTGGCTGACTTGACAAATAAAGCTTGAGCTACGTTCTGATGGATCTCCCGCGAGGGTTTAATTCTAGCCGTTGCTTACGATCATCACGCACCCTTGGAAAGTGAAAATAGATACTGAGACAAGAAAGGGTTCATTAGTTGTTTCCTGACAGGCAGTGATAAGTAATATACAAGATTAGAACACCTCCTCCTCTCTCATGTAACACACCACCCTTTTTATAATGACAGTTACCCTCCTGGACTTCATGCCCCTTCAATAGCAATGTAACAGGACCCTATTGCAAAACACGTTTAATAAGACAAGCAATCAGCCAGGAAACATGGCCCATCCCTGACTTTGGTAAGAAAGAATTCTGATGGCACATCAGCGGCTTGCAAAAGGGTTTTCAATTTTCAAAGTAGTAAAGCTTATTGTTCTTCTTACCTCGAACCTTCAAATTACCAGACGCCTCAGACGATCCAAGAATGTTTCTTGCCGCACATTTGTACTGCCCAGCATCGCTGTAATTCAGATTCCTGATGATCAGCTCTGTTTTTTTAACCAAATACTTTGCTCCCGAAAGAAGCTTTCTGCCCTTGAATCGCCATTCGACAGTAGGAGTAGGGTTTCCGCCAACCGTACAATAAATCGCCGTATTTCCTCCTTCATCTCTAGTGTGATTTGCAGGTGGTACCATCACTTGTGGAGCAGATATTGATTCTCCAGGCCTCCCAGGTGGTCCCGGATTTCCTGGTTCGCCCTTATCACCCTTTTCTCCCCTAGATCCTGGAAGTCCAGCCATTCCTGATTTTCCAGGTGGTCCAAGGCTACCTGGGTTACCTTTCTTTCCTCTAGGTCCCCTCCTGCCACGTGGTCCTCGTACACCAATGGGACCAGGAAGTCCGGGGGGACCTACAGGGCATACCCTCTCTTGTGACTTACAGTACTTGGAGGGCATTAGTTGTTCAAACTGTTTGGTGATTTCTTGACGCACGTCATGCATACTGATGGTTGCTGAAGTCACGTTCGAAACCTGTCTCCGATTTCTTGACTTTGCGCTTGTTCTTGAATCTTCTGACTCATCTAATAAAGCTAAGAGAAAAGCAAACTAAGTGCTGGGAAAATTTCCGCTGATGTGATTGAGTCTTCGTCGGTATGAAATTCCACCGTCTTGTTTCGCTTAACGTTTGTAGCCCAACTACCACTTGGAAGCATTTTTTTAATGTCGTTTGCAGATTAAAATTCAAATTTGAGTGTAAAATTCATGACTCGATTGGATCTCATTTTCTCAAAGTCTCTGAAAATCTAGCCAAAATTTCCCTGTACATTATTTGAGGACAAATTCGAAGGATCAATTTAAGAGCAAGTAATTTTCTTATGTAGCTGAGGATATAAGTTCCTCATTTCCCCATTTTGAGTCAAAGTATAGACCTCTTTACCCATCCGTTCAAAAGCAATCCGCTGACTCCGCAAAACCCGAAGACATGAAAAAAGAATAAAAAAATGAAACAGAACAAATTTTAGCTGTTCAGAGTAATAAAAAACTGCATGTATAGCTTTCCTTTTTGTGTAAAGGGTACAAGAGGCATCCTAATTCGGAAATATTCAGTCTGTCCGAACTGATTTGAGATTGGTTGAACAACGTTGGCCTGATTGCAAGATTTTCAGTTCTTTGTCGGAGGATACTCCATATTATTTTAATGAATAATTGTCTGCTGAACTTTTCTTTTACCTTTTGTTTAGGACTTATTAGCATATCGTCATTATCCACTTCAATAGCAATATACAAAGCAATATATAAAGCCGGTGGAGCTTTGCTGTCTGCTCATAATATCCTTATAATATGCACGTATTCTTCAATGATTTGAACTTACAAGATTAAGCAAACAATTTTGAGACTCGAACACAGGGTCACGTAACTCGCCCACATAATATACGGTATAAGCTTCCTGAGATTCTTCAGGAAAATGTCAGTCGGGATGTGCGACATACCGCAGAACTGAAACATGACCCGTTTTCAGAGCAAATTATGTGATTGCCCGCTGTCTTCATTCTGAAACACAGTTCTCAATTAAAGAAACATTACAGCTGACATCATTAAAGAGCATCCCTTAATTCCAGGTCCTAGTTCCAGAAAGCACTAAATTTTACCCTATTTCGGTCCAAATTAAGGCTAAGAGCTAAAAACCCATTCCTGCTGGCTCCGCACATACTTACATAGCTTAAATATCCCCCAACAATAAGCTTAAAAGTTTAAAAAATTGGGGAAATTTTTTCTACAGTCGTGATCCTAACCTGAGGTATCCATGAACTTCCTTTCTGTCTGAATTTTCTTTAAGAGATATCTCACGGAATCTTCTTTTGGCCTATGGGCTGTCCTTTCACTCTTTTCCGTAGTGCAGCCAGTATCAACAAGAACCACTGGAGACATGTTGATGCGAGTTTCCAATGCTATCAGTCGCTCCTTGGTTGTTTCATTCTTCACCCAGAGACATCCGCAAGCAAAAAGTACCACCACCGAAAGAAAAGATGGCCTAATTGAAGGGAGAAAATCAACGAATCGATGGGACTTCGAAGAGTTAACCGACGCCATTTTTCAGTGTAACTTCAAGATCGTTTGCCGAGTATCAGACACACAGAAAGACGAAAGTCAGTGGAAAGTTGCCAGAATAATTTGATCCTGTAAATTCCAGCCCAGATAAACACGGGACGGTATACATTACTTGGATATCTTTGTTACACAAGGGAGCATTTTACAATCCCTCAATTCAAGGATTTCCTCCTGTGTAATCCTAGTGCATATCGAGATGCACATGGAATTATGCTGCCTGTTCCTCTTTCACAATCCCCCTTGTTGGGTTATTTTTGATTGTCGTTTGAAAGGAAACAAATAAAACCCTTCTTATTCGTCCTTCATAACCTTTTGTAACACATGCGCTTAGTATATAATCCACAAGGTCAATAGCAAATAGCCCTTATGCATGTTTACGCAGACGAGCAATTTTCACACAACCAAGCCAACCAATTTAGTGCAAGTTTGCGACAGTTTACGTGAATAAAAAGGTTGAAAAGAATACTCATGCACAGAAAGTGTCAATGAGAAGAATATCGCTCACAAACGAGGCTTGGTGGTATAATTTTCTTAAGGACCGTTGGCTGCCCAGGATGATGACTCTTGGAGAATGGAGGTGATATCAGTGTGGCAAGCTTTCTGAAAACTTTGCCCAATTTCAGACCAAAAAAATTCATTTTTCGCAGAACCAATTCCCTTCTTCAGAAACTCTAGGAAGAAAGGGTACAAGTGATTTCTGGGATTTTTTTTTGTGTGGACAAGCGGTAGTTACGAATAGTCAACGGTATTCTAGCAATCATAAGTAACGCTTGTCCTCAAATCAGAGATTCCAGAAATCGTTGCGCCGAAAGCTTGTATCCATTTCCTTTATGGTTTCTGGAATGGTAACCTGTGAGGAGCAGACGCTTTTTTCGACTCTTTTTTCACCCGTCGAGAAAATATCGATTATGTCGGCGGGTGAAACAAGAGCCGAAATAGCCTGCAGTGCAGGCGTACTTTGGGCGGGCGACAGCTTGTTTATGTTTGTATTGCTGCAACCGTCATCTTTGCTGCTCCCCGCAGGCTACTGGAATGGGGAATATGGCAAGAGGTTTGCTGCCATTGGCTTAATGCTTTCAAAAAGAGTGTTTTAAACAAGAAACTGACACTGAACTAACGTCAGTATAACGCTCAATTAAAGCAGACACACAGTGATTACAGTGATTTAATTTTAACAAAACTGTGGAGTTAATTGACAAGAGGACAAAGAATGTGACTGTTGGTATAACAGAAACGAGACAGAGTGAGAATCAATATTAATAATAACTTAGAAAATACTATGGATAGTATAAATAGTTTCACCACATTCTGGTAAAAGTCAACTTTGCGTTACATGTGTTGTCACGCTTACGCCAATTTAGAAACGAGAAGGAAACTGGTGCCGAAATTGTCCCGCAATTGTTTCTGGGATTGCTACTAGGGACGCACGGGGCAGTTATTAGGGAGCTTTAGCAGGCGTTTTGCACGTCAACCGGTAGCGAGGACTATGCCTTGACGCTATAAAATTTGAATTACTTAGTTTCTTTATACTTGTAGAGACGATTTAACTGCAAATGTGGGCAAGACTAAAACAGTAAAAAGTCCACTTCCGGTTGACGTGTGTCGCTCAAAAGCGCCTTTGCTTAAGTTCTCTATTGGCTAATATTTTTCTCTGTGCCAAGTAACAGTCCCAGACGTCTTTGCGAAAGTTAACTCGACCCAGTTTCCTTCTCTAAAGTGCCGATGTCACATTGATATGGGCATCCCCGCGTTTTGGGCATCCCCATTCCCAAAACCCTAGTGATATGGACATCCCCTGCAACCCTAACCCTAACCCAAATAGCTAAAGTAATATGAGAAGGGAATGTCCGTATTACTAGGGTTTTGGGAATGGGGATGCCCATATCACTGTGACACCGGATTGCCACCACAGAAAGGAAAGCGTGACTTAAACGGAGAACAATCATGTACCGTAACTGTAATTAAAGAGTCGTACTCCTCCAAATGTTGTCCTGCAACTTTTCATTTATCTACGTGGTTAGCCTAAAATCTTTCCCTTTCCCGCTGGAATTATTTAAAACATATTAACAACTTCTTCACTACTGTGTTGTTCAGAATACTTCAAATTTCTTGCTATTTGGACTCAAATGTAGAAAGGACATTTTTTTTCTTTCAACTACTTCTACGCCTTCAGCTTACAATTTACAATTAAATTTTGAAAACAATTTAACAAAAGAAACTACACGCCCACAGCCTAGCTTTCTGACTGGGATTTGACTGCAGCGTTAATCAATCAGCCGTTAACTAAACACAAGAACACTCGTTAAGTGTAGTTTCGGCGCTAGTTAGTGTTGATTACATTGACACCCGCCCAACCCATTCACTGAGTCGACAGTCGATAGTCAAGGGTAACAATGAAAACCGCTGAATTTTTATCTCTCCTTGCTATGACGAATTACGCCGAATTGCAAAATCTGAAGCATTGCAAAAGGGAAAAGGGACCCTCTCCCCAGCCCCCCTCCCTTTTTCCCTTCCTCCCAATCCCCTTCCCCCTTCGACGCCTGCTACGCAGGAGTAAACAACTGGGGCCTGGAGTAGAGAGAACAAAGAGGCCAATGTAAAGGTGGCCGTTAGTAGAGAGGAAACCCAGGTTCGACTGCATTTTTCTGTTACATTAGAGAGAACATGGGGTCTTCCATAGGCATTGTAAACACTAGCCTTGTTAGGGCGTTCAGGCGAAGGAGACCTGACACTGAGTATACGTACACTATAAAAACTAGTCTAGAGGTCAAACATTGTTAATTATGGCCTTTGGTAAAGGTAATTACACTGTATTATCATCCAGCTACTGCTATTCTCTCTAGAGCCTCACAGGATCTCATTTCCATGGCATTTGCTCGATCCATTAATTGCTGATCGCGCCAAAACCGCGCCCGAGCTCGGACTTCCTCTCCTTAAACAAACATATAAACACAGTAATAAGGAAAAGTGAAAACAAAAACAAAACACAGCTATTAAAACGGATAAAAGAGATTTTCAACTGGGACAAATTTCACGCACGGAGACCTGGGAACGAGTGTACCAACAACACACCATGTCCAATTTTTCAAAACCAATTTTCATAATTTGTCTTCTTATTTTCAATAAAATCTCTTTTAACAGATCTCTCAATAGGTGCGTGTGTTGTGATTAGTCAATTTTTCGGGCCGTATAAGGGCTCCGGTAGCTTATTTTCTCGCTCCGTTCCCTGCATTAAGGATCCTTGTGTTTTTTCTGTTGATTTAACGCGCTTGGGTGGGCTCCTGGCTTGGGCCATAAAAAAAAAAACTTCCAGAACATACCACAAAATCGGTTAGTAGGAAAGTATTTCTACTATCACGATGGCCACATTCTAAAAAATTGGAGGAAAACTGGCTTTCTTGAAGAAATCGCATTAGAAGTCGACTATTTGACTTTTGAGGGGCTATGGATGATTTGGTTTGGGTAAGACTTCTTTCTCCCAAACCTCTGAACTTTTTTCCCCAACATATACTGATGTTTTTCCAGTGCAATATATTTTTTCCCCAGGTATTTCTTTCCCCTCAAAATCAGTCTGCAAGATATTTCCTTCTGAAAACAACCATACCCCCCCCCCCCCCCCCCTTTCCCCTCAAAAGTCAAATGGTCGGCTCCTTAAGTTGACTTTAAGCACGATTTCTGAGGTTCTAAAAAAACACCGAAAGAACGCCGAGACCGCAAAGAAAAGAAACTTGAGTCAAAGCTGGGTTAAAATTTCGGTAGAAGAAATCAGCAATTTTTCGAAGAATTGGACGCATCTAAGTATACAGTCATATTCTCAATACCTATCTTTATTTTCGCATCTAAATCAACCGTATAATTATTTAAAAACTATCACTAAGGGACTTAAGGTCCAAGATATTGAACACAATTCACAGCATACCATTAAATATCAAACAAGATAAATCTATATTTTACATTTGTTTAAGGTGAACACTAAATGCGGATTAACGTGATAAATGTACCGTCTCGACCACCACTTAATCGAAAAAAAATTTACACGTAAAGTAGAAAAAGTTAAGCGACAGATCTATCCACAAGAATCAAGTTTATATGCAAATTTTCACAGCTTTTAAAATATTGGTTTGAAGCGAAAAAATATCATAATGCTTGATGTTTAAGAAGTTGAAAGCAAAACGCGCCTTGCCTCGCAAACAAGCTCTAGCAATTCAACCAACAGAGACATTCTTTGATAAGGGAGAGAAAAAGGCTTATTTTAGACTTAAAGGTCCAAAAATCAGCTGACGATTAAACAGTATAATCTATTATAAAATATTATATCAGTAATTTCCCATTTGTACATTTCTTAAGACTTAAGCTTTCACAACACATTACAACAAGCAAGTAAGCTAATGTGGACAATTCCCAGGGCCCAATTGTTAGAACGCCGGTTAGCGCTAACCAGGGGTTAAATTTTAACCTGGGTTTCTTTTTCTTAGTATGAAAAGCATTCTTTCGGATAGTTTTCTCTATTCTTTTTAGAGTATCCAATCATCAAATTGTAGACGAAGAGAATTAAACTGAATTTGTTTTTTAAGCTCTCATGTCTGTGTTCAAATTTCCCACTAACCCTGGGTTATCTTAACCCAGCTACGAACAACCCGGCCCTCAGATGTACAAAAATCAGGTTAAAAGCTAATAATCTTGAGACTAAATAAAGTTACGAAGCAAAATCATTTCTTTCTTTAAAAAGTTGTGGAGACAATGTGATGATAACGTATTTACTAGAATAAGAACACCACCCTCGATTTAGCGCCACATTTAGGACCTAAAAATTACCAAGCGCTGCCCTCGAATAAGCGCCGCATTTGAGGCTCGAAAAATTTTTTAAGGGCCCCGCCGCTTATTCAAGTAACTACGGTATTTATGTTTTTCACGTTCTCGTCCATGGTACGTTCCGGCCCGATGGTTTTCTGCTGGAGCCGCTAACAAGGCATGAAGAATACCTAAATACAACACTTATCTCCCAGGGAAATATAATTATCTCTCTCCATCCAGGGAATGAAGATAGGTGCATGGACAACCATCTTAATTAAGGAGAGGAAAAGTACAACTGCTTCGTAAAGCGCAGAAACCGAGTAAAGCTCACGCCATATGGTCAATTGGTCTGTGCACCTGTGCGCCTTCATGTGCTCTAATATATGCATGCCTAAACTCTTTTTATAATCAACTACAGTAACTCTTGCTCTACAGACACCTAGCTTGCTGTTATATTACGAACTCCGGCGCGATAATACGGACAGCAGCTAAATCTCCGGCAAAAACGAAAATATATATATATAGATAGAGGTATAACTGAAATAAGCTCCTGATATTTCATTTTAACTTAAGCTTATTACAAAATTTTGCTCATCAAAATGGTAACTTTTTTGTCATTATTTTTTCTTTCAAATACGCCAAATCCCATTATGTTCTACTTCGTAGATACAGTAATTATATGACCCACCACGTCCAAACAGGATATGATCGCAAGTTACTTCTCTAGGCTATGCTCACACTATACAAGATACTAGCTCTTGCGCCGGCATGAAAACCATACTGCTGATACCAGATAGGGCTCCCATTCACTCATAAAAACGGAGTGATTTCGCCGCCGAAAGATGCGCCGCGCCGATCTCGAAAATGGAGCGTTTCATATCGTATAGGTTCTGTGCCACACTATGGTGCAGTGTGAACAGGTATCCGAACAGTAGCGGAAGTGAATTAGTAGGAGCGAGGGCTGCAACCCACTGAGAAGGAAGTAGATATTCAAGAGTGAAGACTGGGATTTAGTTCACCACAACCCTCTCGGCCAGCCGCTCCATCAGGAGCTTGAGGTTCAATGTGTGTGAACGACTTGTTCCAGTTCTGTGCCATTGCTGTTCATACTATACCGGATAACTTTTTGGTGTTGGCACAAAAAGCCATCCGGTATATTGTGAACACAGCCTAAATCAAGTTGCTTTAAGTTATCAAATATGAGGACAGTATTGCTAGGGCCGCTATGTGATCATTGACTTTACAGTCATTATTAACCACTGCTTTACAGAATTTAAAAATTCCTTCCTTCTTTCACATGGCTATTCCCCATTTTAGCATTGAGAGGAACGGAAAATCAAAGCTGGTATTTGACCCTGATACGACCTAGAAGCATTCGAGTCTTTTGAGGAACTCTTGAAGGTTACTGTGACACCAGAACACGAGGCACTTGCCACGCCATCCGAGTGAGCAAAAGATAAAACACTTGTAACTATTCTTGCCGTTGCAGTGTATGTGACACCAGCGCGGATCGAAATCACTTGGGAAAAATGCACCTCAAATGTCTTGACACTGGAACTGGTAGCATAGGACCCAGTCTTTTCTGCGATCAAGTTGCTTCCACCGTACAAACGAATCGTGACCGGGAAGGTAGTTGAACCGCTTTTGACTCCCCACAGTCGGTACCCTGACAAAATGACGTCACCATTTGTCTGGAAATCGATCGCGTCAACGCTTCCACTGCCACTAGGATCAGAAGAGTATCCCCAGCCCATGCTAGGACTTCTGGAACGGCTGCGCCAGCAGTTACAGTTAGCTAGAAAGAAAAAAAAAACTATTTAATCGTGTGCCCAACTATTCCTAATGTTTGTTTGTTTGTTGGTGTTGTTGTTGTTCAGTGTTGTTGTTTTTTCGATAGCTGAACGAAAGAAAGGGTAGAGAGACTCAGGTTTTTCACCCTTAAGGAACCATTTTTTGTACGTTGTCTAAATTACTCTGCCAAAGTCTGTTGAATGTAATCTGCTCACTGGGAGTGATGGAGCACGATATCCTTACTTTACAAACCAGATCGTCGTTGCGCGAACAAATCCTTTATGGCCCTTATTGGAGTAATTTTATGCTTCCTCGTTGTTGACACGCACCGGTACCTACTTTGCAAGATGGATGTCTGCTGATTCAGCCTTGTAGCATCGTATTATTCGTTTTATGGTACATAACGTGCTCTGTTACAAACCTTAAAAGCTCACTTAATTAGAAGGCATACGGAGGCTTTAATCTGCCGGTGCACAGGTGTGACTGCAGGTGTAAGTGCAACAAGTTTAGAGGTGCAGTGTGCGATGAAGTCATTTTCGTGTCACGTTCTTTTAGATCAAAGTATAACAATTTTTCGGAATTCTTTTTTTGCCTTTTTTCGTGCGTTAGTTCTTTTTATCAATTTTTTTTTTTTTTTATAGTTTCTTTACGCGAGTTTAGGTGTTTAGTTCTTTGTGTCATTTTTCGCCCCTTCGTTAGCGTCTCTTTGTACGCTTTTTCATTTTTATTAGCGCCTTTTTTAGTTTCGTCAGTTTTGTTCTCTGTACTTTATTGTGCTATTGTATTTCTGGCCACGAGAGTTGTTCTGTAAGTAATACACTTCAACAAGTGTGAAGCCATGTTTCTTCAATCTAAGCTACTACCTTTAGTTAGCAGTTGCTTAGTTCTAATGTGGAAGCCAACAATTATCTGCATAGATTTCCTTAGCGACTCTTCCAATCTTATTCACATGCCCGGTGCTAAATCGTTCGCTCCTTCGTTGTTGTTGTTGGTATTTTCATTATGTCAAGTCATCCTGCTCTTATCGGTTGTTATCATCTATGGCTGATTCATTTTTTTCCCGTAAATTTTTTCCTGAAGTTCATCATGTATTCGCACAGGTTCTCTCCAAATATGCGAAATTTATGTCTTAAGATTTTGTGCTGCCGAATTTCGAATCTATGATTACGATTTTTCGACCATTTTCCTCAACTGGGCAGTTGTCAAAATCTTGTACAATTTTAGTTTCATTTCTGCTGTCGATTAAATCAATGCAAATTTGGTCTGCCAATCTTGTTCTTCCATGGTGTAATCGGCTTCTACTCATTTCGTCCATTTTTTTCTTTTTTAAAATTTGCTGAGTGGGCGAAAGATTGTAGGACGAGAATGAGCTCCAGAAAACGCATTACAAGAACGTCGCTAGGCTTAAGGCCGGTTTCGATACAGTTTTTCAGAGGCCATACCGATATTTTTCAATCGTCTTAAGGTGACTCGACCCAGTTTTTTTTGGGGGGGGGGGGGATACCATCCTACTTTGAAGCTCTCTGGCATCCCCACCTTTACTTTTATCGTAAGTCTAACACATAGAATGAATAACATATAGATCAATCTACAATATAACATAAAAGTTTTGGCGATCGGAGTAAATGTCACGTGGCTATAATGCCACGCCCCTTTGAGGTCTGAGTCGAAAATCTGCTGTTACCGGCATTTTTTCGTGAAAATCTCTCGGCTAAACATAGTGCGCATTAGTGCCTTGCGCTGAACAGAGTTTCACCAAAATCGCAAAGACCCAATTCGAGAAATTCAGCGGTTTCCAAATTTAGGTCATAATTTATGCGAAAATGATAAGCAAACTTTACACGGATTATATCTAATAAACTATGAGATTTATCTCTTTATTTTGGGCATGGTTATAACAGATGGGTCCTTGCAAGCCAAGCCTTAAAAGTGATTTTTTCCTTGTCCGATCGCTATAAAATTTCCCATTATCACTATCATTATTATTATTATCATCATCATCATCATCATCATCAAAGTCCAGACAACGGAAGTGAGTTGTTGGGCAGTGAAGAGGAGAGTGAAGAATCGGATACCATGTTAGATAAAGAGGGGAATAGCGAAAATGATCTCGTCATTGCTGATCTCGAGGAACAGTCAATCATGACAGGACACACAGGGGCCTCGACTGTAAGTACCGCAAATGCTTGTATATTGTACTACCAGACGATAACATTCAATCAAAATCAGTAATCAATAATACCAATAATAGTCAATAAAAATCAATAGCAATTAATTGATTGATATTGAAAATCAATTAAAATCAAATCCGCAGTCTTGAGTGATTTCGATTTTCTTTGATTTTCATGATTTATATCGATTTTATTGGCTGTAGTGTGATTCATTTAAATTATTCTACAGACTGTTTTACTTCTCCGTTTACTGTACTTATGTGATGTGGCTTTAGTGGGCTGACAAGATCCGCTTGGAGATAGCCAAGCTGGCCTCAGTTCCCTCCAAACTTTGAATGCGTTACTGAGTTCTCCCCTATTCTTGGAAACGTAAAACACTTCCCATTCCTTCACTTTAAAAGACATTGGTAAGAATTAAGAATGAGGAATCGAAGAACCGAGAATTAGAACTACAATACACAAGCTTCCAATGATAACTTTTTATCTTGTCTTAGTTTCAGCCAGGTTAAGTGAAAAATGGAAGTCAAAAACTTTGTTTTCGTGAAAGAAAATCAGAGTAGTAGCCAAAATTATTCAAGTTATTATCAACTTACCTTTTCTGAATCTAATCGACTAATTGTTTCAGTGATCTGCCTGGTTATCCATAAAAGCTATTTTTTGTTTCAATAACTACAAAGGAGTCAAACACACGAGCAGCATGAAGCAGAGGAACTGAACCTCAAGCTGCACAGAGAATGAAGCCGAGCGCGCGGGGGAGTCTTTGATCGGACTAGAAAGTGTGACTGAAAAAGTGACCGGAAATTCTCAACCTGGCGCATGCGTAGACGTTCTGCCGCGGTGTTGATTTAGGCACAACCATATCGCATGGCATGCAGAATGGTTACTATTCGTGTACGGTACACGAATAGTAAGCGTTCTCCTTCATCGAACGCTAATATTAGTTTTCGAGTATAACCTTCCAAGGTTATACTCCATGGAAGTGGAGATTGAGACCAAATAGTTTAAAACTGTTTCGCATTTTATTTCATTTTGCTTTTATTGAATTCATAGCATTACTACGTTTTCTCTGGTCGACACAAAAAAGACAAACAGGAACTTATACAGTTGTAAAAGAAAAAGAAGTTTTGAAGGTACACTGTAGTTAACAAAATGGAGAAAATGTAAACTTTCCTTTGATCCAAAATGTGTTTCTTTTTACACCGCAATGACATATTAAAGGGATATCACATCCAAAGTTTAATAAGAATAAACTTGACAACCGTTTCTTAAACGTTAACAGGTTTGATTTTCATCTCAGCACGTTTAGCGGAGTAACTGTCACCCTTCCACTGATTCCACATCACACCTTCCCAAGGGTTGGAGTGTGAGCCTTTATAATAAAAGCCATTTAGAAAAGCATAGTGACAATTTTTGAACCACCAGCCTCCCTTATAACGCGGGGCACAATAGCCTTTATCACTGGTCAGATCATTGCCTTGATCTTTGGTGGAGAACGCCATACCATTATGATACGAAAATGAATCGCCGGCAGTTCCTATAAAGATAAATAAAGAGCGGCATCATATTATTTCAAAAAAAATGGGTGTCACTAAAAATACTTTCTTCTTTTGGGAAAATTAGAGATAAGGTTAAAGTAAAAGTTAAAAATTGGTGCATGAAGTTTTCAAGGACGTATTTAAAACGGGGAACGGGCAACGAACAGGAGAGTTAACGGGAAATTGAAAATGGAAACAAGGCCTCAACCCCATTATCTCTCTGGTCCACGTTAAAGTAACTCCCAAGTTTTAAGGAGAAAAATTGAATTAATCACAGCAAATTAATGAAGTCAGGAATATAGAAACAAACAAAAATTTTAATAGAAATGTAAAATATAACCACTGTTTATAGTGGATGGGCACTTAGCTGATCTCCATTCACAAATAATCGATCACAAACATGTAATCACATCACATCACGCATAGTACATCACCTTTATATAACCTCGGATTTAAAGTGTAGCTCTTGAAGGTAGAGACCTTTAGCATCAGGCAAACCGCAAACCGCAGTTACTCGTTTGCAGTTTCGCGTTGCCAAGATTTCAAACTTTAGCAATGCGTTCAGTTCAGTTCATTTTTCTTTACCCAAAATATAATACAATACAAGAATAGATATAGGAATTGTAAGGCTGTGAATTCAGTAACAAGATAGAAAAAAAATATAACTCTGGATTGGAACAGAGTACTTTCCTTTGTTATTACGACAGAAAAGAGTTCTATAAAATTGATTTCAACTAAGCGTTCATTGTTTAGGGCCGCCATGATGTTTTCATCAAGTCGGCAGTGCATCACTTTAATCGCCCAAAAATCAGCAACAAATAATTGATTCGAGATCAAAAATGTAACAAACACATCGCAAAAGGATATAAAATCCTAGTTCATACCTTTAAACGCGAGGCTGTACAAATTTTTTGTGGCAAAAAACCTTGCCATCAATCACTTACCCCTGGAAGCCCTTCCCGCGGTTCAAACGTGAACTGCAAACTGCAAACGTGACCTCAAGGCCGTGGTCACGTGACATTTTGCGGTTTGCGGTTTGCAGTTTCCCGTGAAAAACCTGATGCTAAAGGTCTCTACTATCTAAACAAAACCGGCGTAAAGTTCAAAAACAGCAAATGGCAGAAGGCAAGAAGCTGGCAATTCACAAACATCGCCGAGAAGAACTGTCGAGAAACCCCGGGGGTTACTCCCTATGATGGCCTATACGGAGAGGCCACATACGCCTAGCCTGCAAGCAAGCTCTCCTATTTGGGCGAGTGAAGCGTACCGTGCGAGAACGCGCGAGCGAGCGGCGAAGCCGCGAGGGGCCGACGACTACTTTTCACAATATACCCCAAATGGAAAGCTTGGTCGCGGGCTAGGCCACGCCCGAAGGGGGCACCTTTTTCCAGGTTTCAGGTATACGAAAGGGTTGGGAAATCTGTCATTTGGGTCTGTGAAAGGGAAAAAGGGCTAACAGATGAATTTTATGGCTTTATAAAGTCAAGAAAACGTTCTATTTTTGTGATTTCCTCTCCGTATAGGCCTCTCCGTATAGGCCATCATAGGGAGTAACCCCCGGGGTTTCTCGTCAGTTCTTCTCGGCCATGTTTGTGAATTGCCAGCTTCTTGCCTTCTGTCATTTGCTGTTTTTGAACTTTACGCCGGTTTTGTTTACTATAGTAGAGACCTTTATAAGGTTTAAAATTGTAAAGCGCTATGAATAATTAGTATTAATAGCGCTATATAAAAAAATCGTATTATTATTATTAATCCCATTAAAAAGACAGTGCATTTACAGCAGTTATAAGGGATGCAACGTTCTAAACAAGGTATGTGAAAGGGGTACCATTCGTCAACAGAAGGTATACGAAAGGGGTACCTTTTTCGTAAAAATGGTATATAAAAGGGTAAGTGGTTGGACTCGTATAAACATTTGTTGAGTACCCACCACCCCCCCCCTTCCTCCACCTGGGCGAGAAACAACTCCAGATAGTAAGGGGGCGCAAACCTGGATTTCTAGCACTGCAAGGTGTCAAATGTCTGCATATTGGGCTGAAGAGAGAAACGTGCCATGGCGATATCCGTATGAGGAGAGGATTTAACTGGACTTAACGATGACTTCGCGCCTTCTGCACGTTCAATGAATCGACCCGTTGTCACAATCTCGTATGCATGACATTGTAAGTTAAAGGTAAACTTTTGCTTCCCGTCAATGTACTGACTTAATCAAGATTTGCTTTATGGAGGTGCCCCCATCCTGTCTACTCCCCTCAAAGCACTAACCTGCATACGTTCCAAGAGTCAGCCTGTATTTATTTCCTTCGTCAGCAACGCCAAACAAGTCGTACTCAGCGTAAGCTGTTTGCCCGTTAAAGTCTTCGAGTTCCACCCGAAGCTTGTTTCGTTTTTTCGTCAGACGGTGAACCTTATCCAGTCCAAGCCAAAATTCCCCGCTTAGACTCCCGAAGCCTTGTTTGTAGTCATTCCAAACGCGATCGAAGTCAACTGAGCCGTCAAGTCTTTTCTGAAACACTGTCCACGCCCCACCTGCTGTTGTTTGGTCACAATACACATCAAAGGCACTGGCATTATCGGGGGTGACGCGGTAAACACCGCTTATTCGTTGACCTGCTTTGTAATAATCGGCACAGTTTTTGTAAGCTGAAATTAAAGTAATGTTGGAAAATACGTTTATTTATTTATTTTTTTAATTTATTCATTGATCTATTTATTTTAACAAACAACAAATTAAATGAAAGTGAAAAATGATCATCGCAGTAAATTTTCCAATTTAAGCAATTGGAAAGAAGAAGCCTGAAAAAAAAAAAAAATCAGGGCTTCAACGGGATTCGAACCCGTGACCTCCGCAAACAACAAAATTAAATACAAGTAAAAAGCGACAAAAGAGAAAACAAAACAAAAACAAAACAAAAAAAAATACTTTTAGGAGTAAATTGAATGAAGAACTTGCTCTGCCTAGTAAATATTGCTTTCCTTAAAAGCCCACCTAGAAGGAATCCTAAGGATAATTTTTCGCAAACATGGCCTACCGTATGTGATTGGCAAACAATACACATCAAAGGCACCGGCATTATCGGGGTTGTTCACCATAAAATAGCCACATCAAAAAATGTAGGCAGCAAAAATGTCGCAGAAAATTGTACTTGGCAAATTGTAATTGGCTTGTCGGTGTTTACTGGCCAGTAGAAAAATAATTCTTACTGAATTTGCGACAAAATCAGAAAAAATGATACCCGAGACACTGTCAATTGAAGCGTTTAATAAACAAACTGATTGGCTCAAAACTAGTCGTGCAGAAGAATATATATCTTTAAGCTTCTTTAGTATTCACCAAATCAGTGGATAGCAATTTTCGCGCGTTCTGATTGGCTCCCATAACTTGGAATTTCCTTGGATATTCACTGTTTTGGGGCGAGATCATATTAAAATGGCTTCTCGTTTCGCGACAGTTTCGAAAAATGAAATTGGATAGCAATTTTCGCGCGTTCTGATTGGCTCCCGTAACTTGGAATTTCCTTGGATATTCACTGTTTTGGGGCGAGATCATATTAAAATGGCTTCTCGTTTCGCGACAGTTTCGAAAAATGAAATTTTAGCGGTAAAAGAAGCAGCTGCACCAACAAATACCAAGAAAGAGACAAAATTTGACTTGTTGCTGTTTACTGGTCTGTAGAAAAAAACTTCTGACTGAATTTGCTTCAAAACCATGAAAAATGATACCCGAAACACTGTCAATTGAAACGTAAACAAACTCTTAACTAAATGGCGTCTTTTCTTTAAAATCTGCAACAGTTTGCAGATCTTTGCGCAGACATTGAGAGTCAAGTGACTAATCTTCCCGGACTTGCGTGCCTCAATAACCCTAATGCCATGCAACCAATAAACGAGAAGTTACCGCAGTTTATCCGCACCAAATGGGAGAAAGAAATACTCGAACAGCAATGGGGGAGCGTATGCTCCTTTCTCAAGATTTTCTAAAATAGTGCGGGAGCAAGCGAGGATAAAGAACGATCCAAACGTTCTAGCCGGTAAAGCAGCCAACCCCACTTAGGTTTCAGCGCTTAAGCCACGCAAAGAAAAGAAAACGCGTAAAACGGAGACTCAGCCCACGGCCGGAAAGGACAGAACCAGAGATAAAAAGAGAGAGGTCCCTGAAAAAAAAGGAACTAAGACTAAACATTGCCCTTATCACAAAAGAGACAGACACGATGTACAGGAGTGTAGAGCGTTCTCAGCAAAAGCGTTCTCAGCAAAACCCCTAGAAGAACGTACGGAGTGGATCAAAGACGCCCGCCTATGCTTTCGCTTGCGAACCAACGTCATTTTGGCGGGAAAATGTGATAGCCGTCGTCATTTCTACTCCGAGTTTTAGCGAGAATGCCTTAGTGGCGAATTCGAAAGCAAGTTATCGAATGTTAGGAATTTTATCATTTAGCGATCGGGAGAGGGCTATACCTCCTTTAACGGAAATAAGTTAAAAACTTTTTGGTGAAAAAAAAAGCACAATGAAGCTGTCCGGGGTGTCTATTTTTAGAGAATAGGCAAGAAAACTTAAAATTAAATGTCGTCCTCGTCCTCGAATCTAAAGCTCTTTAATAACACACATCTCGAGGCGTCAGAAACGGAGCGCGGGACGAGAGTGAAGGGTAAGCGTTAAGTCGTTTACAATGCTGGGGAAATAACGAAAAAACCTTGAAAATCAGGTCATTACTCAGTATTGTTCTCCTCTCTTGAGATACGACTCTATAAGCCAAACGGCCGAGCGTTTTAGCACAAAAACTCGAGAAATCTGTTAAAGTCATCCTGCTTGCCTTTTAGAGTAAGAGTTTAGTTTCTCCAGGTATGAAGGTGTGAGACAAAAATGACGTCATTAGGAACAATGCCGCACACCTGCACCTGCAGGTCAAAAATGACGTCATCGGATACTATGCTACAACTACACACCTGCAACTACAGTTGTATACACACCTGGAGACTCAGTAGAGCAAATTTAGGGCATCTTAGACTGTTAAATACACCAGTTAATTTCAGTTTTGCAAGTGTAAACTTTAAAGTCTTATTTTTCTGTCTAAACATGGCGAAGTGCTAATCTTTCAGTAGAATCATGGTTCTTGTCATGATATATAAGGTCGGCATAACGTGCGCTGTACAAACCTGCTGTCACAACCAAGTTCATCGTGGCCTTCTTGGCTCCTAAGCTGTTTGTTGCAACGCATTGGTACAAACCGCTGTCCACGGGTCGTAAATTTCTGATAGTTAGTTTACCTTCCTTAACTTCGGTCTTTCCAGCAGGTAAAGGCATAACAAGTCTGATCCAGGTCAGCCTGGGAGGTGGATACCCTTCTGCCTGGCAGGTTTCTTGTATTTGAGAGAATTCCATTTTTGAGACCAATGATGAGGGTTTTTTGGTAAAGATTGGAAGACCTAAGACACAAAGAATCAATATGATATGTGGCTCGAAAAAGCTATAGTTTTTACCGGTCTTCCAATTGAAACTACACAGAATGGCCGGTACTCACTTGAAGAGAAATATCTACGTGAGTTTTCTCGTGTCCAGTACACACCACATGTGTAAGTCGTAAAAATGACATTCAAGTGGTGCAACTCGTACGAATAATGGTGCGATATATGCCAGCTGACTAGTTTCACGACTCTCACCAGTCTGACAAGTTGAACTAAAGAACCATATCAAGGGGGCGGGGATACTCGTCGTTTTGTATGTAAATTGCAGATTCTGGTATCATCCAGTGTGTTTAGCACGGAACGTCAACATTTTTATCTATACAGGGTGTAGCTTAGGGTGGTGTATGAACAAATACCGTAAATCGTATAATAAGCCTCCCCTCCCTTTTCAAGGGGATAAAGTCAATAAGGCCCCCTCCCTCGCTAGGTAATGATAGACTGTATTATTAGATCAAAGGTATAGAAAGAAAGGAGCAGATAAATCGGTTCCTGAAGGAAAAATGATAAGAGTAGAGAAGCGGGAGGAAAAAAAAAACAAATCATTCAATGACAGCACCTTCGTTGTAACAAATATTCCTAAAATCTCTTATTTCACTGACTGACTTGACAAATAAAGCTTGAGCTCGGGGGGGGGGGAGGTACTCCGCACTTCAAGTGACAGATACGATCTAAGGTTTCTTGGGGGGTTTGAAATTTCCGATTTCGGGATTTTTTGTAGGAAGATTTTGGCAACTATTTTTTGGGTAGCTTGATTTAAGTAGTGATTTTTTCGGGTATTCAAAACAATCTGAGGATTCGTGATAGTTCCCGCCTCTCATGCGGCAGCGCACGCGTAGTTCCTCTGGAAACTTTTATACCTTTTTTAGGGTTTTGATTTTTGCGCCCATTCGATCATCCCTGTCACTTGAAATCCGGAGTACCCCCCTAGGTTTGAGCCACGTTCTGATGGATCTCATACCAGGGTTAAATTCTAACCGTTGCTTACGTTCATCACGCACTCCGGGAAAGTGAAACTAGATACTGCGAGATGAAAGAGTTCATTAACATTAATTGCTTCCTGGCAGGCAGTGATAAGTAATGTACAAGATTAGAATCTCTCCAGGTCAGAATTTTTTTGTAGCCTTAGCCTCTCATGTCACACACCACCCTTTTTATAGTGACCACCCCGGACTTCATACTCCCTCAAGCAATGTAACAATAATGCAATGGCCCACCCCTGACGTTGGTAAGATAAAATTCTGATGACTCATCAGCGGCCTTGCAAAAGAGTTTCAATTTAGTAAAGCTTATTGTTCTTTTTACCTCGAACCTTCAAATTACCAGACGCCTCAAAGGTTCCAAGAATATTTCTCGCGACACAAGTGTACTGCCCAGCATCGCCGTAATTTAGATTCCTCACGACCAGTTCTCCTTCTTTAACTAAATATTTTGCACCCGAATGAAGCTTCAAGCTCTTGAATCGCCATTCGACACTAGGAGTAGGATTTCCTTTGACCGTGCAATAAATCACCGAATTTGATCTTTCATCTTTAGTCTGATCTGTAGGCGATACAATCAGTTGAGGAGTAGATATCGATTCTCCAGGCCTTCCAGGTGGTCCCGGCATGCCTTTTGTCCCAGGCCCTCCCTTGTCTCCCTTGTCTCCTGTCGGTCCTGTTAATCCGGTCATTCCTCTTTTTCCAGTTATTCCAGGTGGCCCTGGCATACCCTTTGGCCCAGGCCCTCCCTTGTCTCCCTTGTCTCCTCTCGGTCCTGTTAATGCGGTCATTCCTGTTTTTCCAGTTCTTCCAGGTGGTCCTGGCATACCCTTTGGCCCAGGCCCTCCCTTGTCTCCCTTGTCTCCTCTCGGTCCTGTGAATCCGGTCATTCCTGTTTTTCCAGGACTTCCGGGTGGTCCCTGAACGGCTTTGGGCCCAGGTTCACCCTTGTCTCCCTTTTCCCCTCTTAGTCCGGCAGGACCTGTCATCCCTCTTTGTCCAGATTTACCAGGTCGTCCCTTAAGACCTTGAGGACCTTTCTTTCCTTTTGGCCCCCTCCTGCCACGTGGTCCCCTTACCCCAGTGGGACCAGGGAGTCCGGGGGGACCTACAGGGCATACTTTCTCATTTGATTTACAGTACTTGGTGGGCATAAGTTGTTCAAACTGTTTGCTGATTTCTTTTCGCACGTCATGTATACTGACGCCAGCTGAAGTGACGTTCAACACTTGTCTCCGGTTTCTTGGCTTTGCTTTTGTTCTTGATTCCCCTGACTCATCTAATGCTAAGGGAGAATTCATTTCTAAGGGGATGACAATAAAACATTGAATTATATTAGTGCGTATTTTAATGACTTGCGTATCTTGACTCTGTTACTTGGGTTGCTGACCCAAAAATCATGAGTCTCTCATGGATTAATTTCGTAACTAGTGGTAACATAGGGTTTGCTTCGGTAAGGGACGGACCATTAGAAAACTTATCGGGGGGAGGGGGGCGGGCGAAGTAGAAAAAAAAATATTCGCGGAAAGGAAAATTAAATGAAAAATAATTCATGCACGCCGATTAATCCTAAAAAATATCCATGCCAAGGCCTAAAGAAAACATCATACAAGGAATTTCATAACGAAAAAAAATTCCTGCGGCTGGAAAATTAATCACCTTCCCCCCCATAACTTTTCTAATTGTCCGTCCCTACGCACAGCGGCTGGTCAAGGCTGTTTTGAGTTGCGTGCGCCCTTGTTCTTGTTGCTTTAGCCCTGTCCTTTATCATCATAGTATCCGTTTGAGGTTTCTCACAGTACAATGTTTATGTAAACCTGATCTGATAACTTTGTCTAATTCGATTATGTAGTAAAGCATACTGTGCACTTGATGAGTGGTCTGCTGTCATCAGAGGAAAAGTTCAGCATCCCCCGTATATATCGCCTATAAACATTTGTAATTAACCATATATTTTGTGTTAAAAACGTTTGTGCCGTATGGAGGACTGTGTCCGTCTGTACCGACTCGGCGGTCAGATCAGCTTGCAATCAGCAGTGATTCAGTACCGTGTGGCATAAGATTTTCTTTGGAATCAGTAATTCGCGTTTTTGATATCGTTCCTTTTGCAATTTGTGGAACTAAATTAGGCGAATTTGGTGTTTGTAGCATTTGTAGTATAAATTTTGATAGAGCTATACTGTCTCAAATGAAATACTGAGTAAATCAATTTTGAGATTTCAATACAAGGTCACTGAACTCGATCACATATAATATGATAAGCTTATTTCGTGGGGTACTTCTGAAAAAGTTAGGCGGATGAGACATAATAGTCCAAAAACCCTGATTCCCAGTGACCCTGTTTCAGACCCTCGGGCTGTTTAATTCTGATGCACTTCCAGGAGCCTATAATAGAGAACGTACTAAATTTCAAGCCCTGGTTCCAGCAAGCACAAAACTTAAAAAAAAAAAAAACATTAAAAAAATTGGCCCCGTGCATCCTTATACAGTTTATGCAAGGAACTACCGCCTTCTACCCACCCCTTCCCTCCCAACCGAGCGTCAGAAAAGTATACCTGAGGTATCTTTCAACTTCACTTCATCAACCGGTCTTTGAAGTTTCTTTAAGAGATTCTTCGCAGATTTTTCTTTTGGATTAAGCGTCGTTCTGACATCGTTATCCTTCGCCGAGCAGCCAGTCTTAACAAGAACTTCCAATGGAGACATGTTGATGCGCGATTCCAATGCTCTTAGTCGCTCATTGGTTGTTTCATTCTTCATCCAGAGACACCCGCAAGCAAAAAGTACCACCAATGAAAGAAAAGATGGCCTAATTGACGGGAGAAAATCAACGAAGCGATGGGACTTCGAAGAGTCAACCGAAGCCATTTTCAGTGCAACTTAACAATCGTTTGCCGTCAGCGGCTAGTGTCAGACACACAGGAAAACGAAAGTCAGTAGAAAGTTTCCAGAATAATTTGATCCTGTAAATTCCAGCCCAGATAAACACGGTATACATTACTTGGGTATCTTTGTTACACAAGGATTAAAGGGTTGAAAAGAACACTCGTGCACAGCAATTGTCAATGAGAAGAATATCGCTCACAGGCGAGGCTTGAAAAGACCGTTGGCTGCTTAGGATGACGACTCTTGGAAAATGTTGGTGGTATCAGTCTGATCAATGCGGCAAGCTTTCTAAATGCTTTCCCAAAGATCCTCTAAAAATCGTTGCGCCGAAAGCTTGCATCTATTTCCCCGGAAGCTTGTAGTTATTCAGTCTCGGCCGGTGAAACAAGAGCCTAAAAAAGCGTCTGCTCCCCGCAGGCCACTGGAATGGGGAATACAGGAAGAGGTTTGCTGCAATTGGCAAAACGCTTTCAAAAAGAGTGTTTAACAAGAAACTGACCCTGAACTAACGTCAGTATAACGCTCAATTAAAGCAGACACAGATAAGGCAGTTGATTACTGTGATTTAATTTTAACAAAACTGTGAGAGTTAATTCACAAGAGAACAAAGAATGTGACTGATAAAGCAGAAACGTGACATAGTGAGAATCAATATAATAGTTTAGAAAATACCATTAGTATAAACAGTTTCCCCACATTCTGGTAATAGTTAACCTTGCGTTACATGTGTTGTCACGCTTTCGCCAATTTAGAAATAGGAAAGGCACTGGTGCCGAAATTGTCCCGCAATTATTTCTGGGATCGTTACTGGTGCCACACCGAGCGGTTATTAAGCAAAGCCGTTTTTGAGAGACGCACTTCAACCGGAAGTGACGACTTTTCCCTCTAAAATTTGTATTGCTTAGTTTCCTTACACTTGTAGAGACGAATATAAAATTAACCGAACATTTGCGCAAAGCCACCCCTCAGGAATCAAGAACGCCTTTGCTTAAGTTCCCAAGTAACAGTCCCAGAAGCCTTTACGAAAGTTAACTCGGCACAGTTTCCTTCTCACTTCTTAAGTGTTGATGTCACAGTGATATGGTCATCTCCATTCCCAGCACCCTAGTGATATAGACATCCCCTGTTGAACACTAACCCAAATCCCTCAGGTAATACGAGAAAGGGATGCCCATATTACTAGGGTTTTGGGAATGGGGATGTCAAAAACGCGGGGATGGCGATATCACTGTGACACCGGATTGCTACCACAGAAAGGAAAACGTGACTTATACGAAGGACAACCATGTACCGTTATTGTTGTTGTTGTTGTTGTTGTTGTTGTTTTTATACCAACTGAAATTAAAGAGGTGTACTTCTCAAACTGTTGTCCTGCCACTTTTCATTTATTTATGTCGTTAGTCTAAAATCTTCCACTTTTCCGCTGGAATTATTTAAAACATATTCACAACTTCTTCACTACTGTGTTGTTAGAGTCTTAACCACGTTTCAGAATACTCCAAATTTCTTGCAATTTGCATTCAAAGGTAAAAAGGGCAATTTTAATTTTTTTTTCTTTCACCTACTTTAACGCCTTCAGTTTACAATTTACAATCATTAATTTTGGAACAAATTAACAATAGAAACTACACGCCCTTCGCCTAACTTTCTGACAGGGATGTGACTGCAGCGTTACTCAAACAGCCAAAATCCTGTACTTATTAAGCTAACGAAGGGTTCCAGATTTACGTTATTTGCCTGTTGCAAACCAAGAAGACAAAACAGGTTCACTTAACACAAAAACACTCGTTAAGTGCAGTCTCGGCGCTAGTTAGTGTTGATTAAATTGCACACCCGTTCAACCCCTCTGTCGATTATTTTATGTCCCCCCCACCCCTCCCCCTCCTTGGTATACTGGCTCACCTCGCTTTAAATAGCGTGGATAGTAATATCTCTCTGGGTTTGTAATGAAGTCCTCCAGCTTAGCTTCTTTTGTCCTGTTGTTAAACTCGCAGGTGAGAAGAGAGATTACCCAGTTAAAACTTTGGCATCGATTGTCTTCTCGACACTTGAATACGCATGTAAACGGAAGTTCCGCTAGACGAGAGTCTTATGCGTGTGCCCGAAACATCCAGCCAAAGATGGAGCTCTCGGATCTTCCACTTGCAGGACTTTTTTGAGTTATTGCGCTGTAGACCAGGAGAGCAACACCTGAGATCAGCGGAAGACGATTCGTGTAGTCATGTCTGGAACTCCCCGCTAAAGTAGAGAAAAGTATTTGTTTAAAACGCGTACTCATTCTTTTTTGGTGCGGCCTGTCACTTGTAGCCTCATTCTTTTTATTTTTGGTGTCCTGTCACTTGTAGCCTTTTCCTATGTTTTAAAGAAAAATAATATTCCAATGAGCAAATCTGCCCAAATAAGAACAACACCGGGGCAATTTGGGAAACTATTCGGCGCGCACTACCTAAGAAATCGAGTCGTTATTGGGGACCTCAATAACAACCGGCCGATCTAGTTGCTTCCTGTCCTTTATAAAGTGGCTGAGAAAATTGCCTTGATTCAATTTAATGACTTCCTGACTAAGCAAGACAAACTCGCTCAACATCAGAGTGGGAACCGCAAGGACCATTTCACGGAAACTCTGAGCCTTTGGGTTTCTGATCATATCTTCAGGACTATATATAGACCGACAGCAATTGACGGCTATGGTCCTTATAGACCTCAGCGAGGCCTTCGGCAGTATTTGCCACAGTACACTTCTTCTCAAACTACGCAGCCTAAGCACATCAAGTCAAATAAATGGTTCGAGATTTACCTCACGGACCGCAAGCAGTCTACTCGATTAGACACCTCTCTATCTGATGAGCTTACGATAACACATGGCGTGCCTCAAAACTCTATCTTAGGTGCGATGTTGTTCAACTTATATATAAATGATCTACCCTCCGCAGTTAAGTCCAGCTTTACCGACTCCTACGTTGATGATACTAAGATCTACTGCTCCTTTTCGGCTAAAAACATGAATTCTTGCCTTGTAAAAATGACGGAAGACCTACGTCCCATTGCTGGGTGGTGTTGCTCATACCAATTACTGATAAATCCAAGCAGAACCAAACTCATTTTTTTCGGGACAAGGCAGTTCCTAAGCAAGGTATCAGACATCAGAGTACCTTTCCTCCACCAAGAACTCACTCCGGTCTCCTCAGTTAAAGACTTCTGAGGCATTACATTGGCGGACTCATACCTCAACTTTTATCATCATGTAAACACGTTAACATCGTCTCTCCTGTCCGTGTTATGTCAGATTAGTAGGGTCAGACACCTGTTTACTAAACCTGTCTTGTCAACTATTTTGAATTCTCTTATTTTTAGAAAAAAGTTTTTACTGTTCCACTGTCTGGCAAGGCACCTCAAGCAAAATCTAGAGAAGTTACAATTAGTGCAAAACTTCGCCGCCCGCGTATACACAGACACCAAAAAGTTTGATCACATCTCGCCTGTTCTTCGGCAGTTAGGGTGGCCCCCCATCAAAGATCAGCTATTAGTCCGTGATACTGCACAAGTATACAAAACTGTTAATGGCCTCGCCCCGTTGTACCTGAGTAGTAAACTCAGTAAGCGATCAGATACACACCACTACAACACGAGGAAAAGGGACAATCTAAATCTCCCTCTATGCAGAACAGTTACCGCGCAACGGTCATTTTACTATCGCGCTGTAAGTGCCTGGAACTCTCTGACCGCAGACACTAGAAATAGCCCGTCACTATGTACCTTTAAGAGGAGCGTCAAACGCGAATTGCGGGTGCAGACCCCATGCGTTAAATAGTTAATATTTGATTTAGTTTAGATCTCCAAAGAGATAACGTAATTGTACGAGCATAGTTTAGGCTTTCATATTTGTACCAAGATTGTAATTAATTTGAGCTTTTATTCTTATCCCCTTCTTTTTAGCATTTGTAAATTCACTTCAGAATAGCCCTTTGGTTTAAGTAATAAAAATTATTGTATTGTAAAGAGTTTCATGATCATAAACAAACTGTATATACAGCTGTATTGCAAATTTTCCATGAAAAAAAAAGAGGAAAGAAAACCAAAAACCTGACTCACGAACCTTAGCTGTTTGCTTTCAAAGTCGCTGAAAAAGTGTCCTACCTAATTATACCCTTCTAACTCCCCTTCGTTGTATAAAAAATTACCACCCTGAGAAAACAGGAGACATTTTGCGACGCCACCAAAAGATTGGTTTCCCCGGGAAATGACGTCTGAGAAACGAGCATAGAAATTCCATCCAGATTACGCGTTACTACCCAGATGTAGGTAGTGGTTCTGATTGGTCATGCCGCGTTGAATATTTGCTTCAACCAATTAGAAGTACTACCACGTCATCAGTATGGATTCTCAGCCTTCATTTCGCAGGGAAACCAGTGGTGGCGTCGCAAAATGTCGGCTGCTACAAAAAACCCGGGTGGTTATTTGACTAAGGACATAATCACCCATTATCATAAAAAATACCAACGGGAGTTTTTGCTACTAGCTGGAATTTTAACGCTCATTTTATGAACTTTTTTATTATTTTTGGCTCAGAAAACCCTTTTTTCTGCATTGAGCGCTCATGAGCTAAACTAAAACGGATTTAAAAGGTGGCTCTTAAAAGGTGCATGAAGACTTTCAAAACTAAATTGTCTGGATTAATTAGGCACCTTATCAGTTTAGAGGCTTATCAACTTATCAGGAAAAGTAGTTTATCTGGACGGTCCTTTTTTTTGGAAATTCTTAATTAAAACATCTGCCATGGCTGCACGCGTAAAGGGATCATAAGGGCTTACAATAGAGGATGCATGACAGTAGAATTAATCTGACTGGTAATGTTCAAGACTTCCGGTCACACGTTCTTAGCGCTTCGTCACGACTTCCTCCCTTACGAACGTCGTTTGTGGGAAAAGAAGATTTAACGGCGTCCTAAGTAGTCTGAGAGGGAGGCTATAACGTTCTTTATATGGAAAATGAACTGCAGAATGAAATAAATAAAAACTGAGATCTGAATGCATATCAGTGCAATTTGGTGCATTCTCCTGTGAATCCTTGACATGGCTACTTAACTCTAGTATCACAGGGCGCCCACAATATGTGTGTGTAACCGATTGTTATCTTATTGTAAATGTACTGGATTTACCGTTTGCTGCACCTATAACCATATATCGCTAAGTACACAGTAATTTTCAAGGAGTTATAATAACTCCTCTAGTGGGGTTAAATTAACTCCTTACAGTGGAGTTATTTTAACTCCAAAAAGGAGTTTAAAGAACTCTTTTTCAGGAGTCAAAATAACCCCCAAAAAGGAGTTATCCTGTACCTAAAATTTTTACTCCATTTTTGGAGTTATAATAACTCCCTAATAATTACGGTGTATGTATATAAATCAATGTTAAATAAACGTTGAATTACAGTTACCTGTGGTATATCGTCGTCCTTTTGCCTCCGTCAAAAGCGCTTTTTTGAGCGATTTTGAAGGAGTTTGAGTTCGCCGTTTACTATTCCTAATAATAGAAGGACAAGGGAGGAATCCTTGTTTTGAAAGGGCTCCAGCGCCGGAGGGAGCAAAAACGTCGAAAGATTCACGCTTCTTCTAGTACCTTCCGATCGAAAATGCATCCAAAAGGCCCGGAGCTAGCCCTCCAAGAAAATTAAAATCCCACAGTTTTTGAACTGTCAAAATGCGTAGCAAGATTCATACGTGCCAGTCAGAAACCGATTCGCTGATTGCCTCTTTTTAATTGGATGTCGTTAAACAATAAACGCTTACAAGTTCTTTTTTAAATCAGTTATTATTGAACACTTTGCATGGTTAACGACATCCAATTAAAAAGAGGCAATCAGCAGGGCGTTTTCTGACTGGCACGTATGAATCTTGCAACGCATTTTGACGGTTCAAAAACTGTGGGATTTTAATTTTCTTCGAGGGCTAGCTCCGGGCCTTTTGGATGGATTTTCGATCGGAAGATTTTGTTTTTAAGTATACAAATGTGGCATTTACTAGCTTTACCTAGATTTACTCCTCAGTATTTACATTTTAGCAACATAATTGCTCAGAACAAATAAATTTGAGCAAATTCATTTTTTCGTCCAGTGAGCCAAAACAGCAAGTTTAGCTCGTTCGAACAACTCTCACAATTTATGAATTACTTATAACTCTTTCTAAGTTGGATTCCACACAAAAATGTTGGTTGCGGTTCCTAGACTTTTAATTTTTTTAGCATTGTGTAACTGACTGTAAACCAACAAAGCCTTTTGTTAATTATAGTGTCTGAACAACTTAACTTTATCAAATCACCTGTTTCGTTGAAGGACTTACCTGCTTGGGCACTGCATAATATTTTACTCTATATATAAATATATCAGACGGTTTTTAACAGTAATTTTCGTTTTGTTTTATTTGCGCTTTATTTTCTTTCATTCTTCTTTATCATCTATTAAAACGCCAAAGAGTTAAGTAAGAAAATAGTGACGCATATTATTATATAATGCTCTAATTATGTTCCAATGCCAATTTTACAATAACTGAGCAAATCCTCGCACGCTGATTGGTCAAGAGCTATGGTCTATGAGAGTATATATAGACCATGGAAATGACATAACATGTCAAGCAGTGCAGGTTGTTTTGTTTTTGGTTTTTCGTAAAAATAATTTTACTCCTCAACATGGTCAAAGAAGAACCAAGTTTTAACATATGGGGAGAAATTTTTGACAGTGAGTTAGTGCTTGAAGTTGCAAAGGTAGAGCAAAAATATGAAAAACAACAAGAAAAACGTCGCTTCGCGAGTGATTTCCCGAGAAACTTCGCAGGAAACTAAAAATAAATGTCTTTGTAAAAAACAAATCGACCACAATTTTCCGTGGTCTACACTCTTATGGACCATAGAAATGACGCCATAAAATGTCCAAAACTTTGCAGTGAAACCACTCCCCTGCGGCTGTTGGTTCCACTTGAGTTTTGAACATTTTATGACGTCATTTCTATGGTCTATTTAACAATTAGTCCACGAGGGTGCGTTGGATATGAGATGATAGATTGCCAACGAGGCGCGTAGCGCCGAGTTGGCTATAATCATCTCATATCCAACAAGCGCGAGTGGAATAATTGTTTTATTAAAAAAGCCCACAAAATCTCCTTGGATCTCCCCGACTAGAACAAACCGGAAAAGACAAGGGACTTCCGCTATTCACATGTCACACGTCTATCAAAACTGTCAACGCACGAACGGATTCGCCTGGACTGCATGAATGAACAAGACGCTGCGGAGAGTACACTTCGGCGTCGTGGGTGTGGAACTAATTAATTGTTAATTCGGAGGAATAGTAAGAAGTCAAATATGGTAAGAGTAAGGTGTTAATCTGTGAAATTATGGGATTTGTCAGGATATTCTGAAAAGAGCAACATCCAAGAGGCCTACTTGCCAAAAACTAGCATTTCGGGACAAATTGTCTCCGAGATATTAGCCCAGTTATGCTTTGATGACTCCATACAAATCCTTCTTAAAAAAAAAAACAATTCTCCATTTTTCTTAGTCACATCAGGCTTCAAAAAGAGCATAACAGTCTCATGTACTGATTAAAGATATGTAAGGCATAAGTAAGGAGTCAATTACTTTGAGCATGGAACTGGCTAAAACTCAAAGTCACGAGTTCGAATGTTTTGAGGATAATTATTCACTGACTATCAGCACGCAGGGATGTCGGATTAACACAAGAAAGTTTAACACGCAAGGAACATAGCCTTCACAGAGCTTTAAAACACAGCATCCACCAACACAAACTTGACTTGAACTTTGAGTAAAACTAAACAGCCTCTACCAGTAATATCAAACTCTCGCTTGAACTTCAGATATCTTACGGCTTTCGCGAACTTGTAAACACAGAACCTGAAAATCGACCTTCGTCACACTTGACTAAACACAGCAGTCCAGCTCGTGGGAAAAAACTTAGTTCGTCAAAAGAACTTGTTTGGAACTTGTATACCGTTTGACATAAGGTTCTAGAAAATACTAAACAGGCGAATAATAGTAGCTTTTCGACATATTTTATGATTTCAGTAACTGATGCAAATCTGCTGACTCATGCTGAAATGTAAACATGCCCTAATTAATTATTCATGCATAATCCAAAAACGTAGAGAACGTTCGAGAAAGTCACTCGTGAAATGAGGGCTCACTCGTGAAATGTTTTTTAACACTCGAAGAGAAATTTCGTGTCTCTGCGCGGCCACGAAATATCCACTATTTATTCCTCGAGTAATTAAAGACTAAACTCGAAGATATCACGAAGTAGTCCGGTCTCATTTCGTGAAATAGTTGAAACAAGCCGAAAAGTCACGAACTTGCACGCCCAATCTTGTCCCGAAACTAGTGCATCATTTCATAACTATTTTTCACATTCCAAACTACCTTGGGTCGCAGTAGCGCAATCGGCTAATCCCCCAACTTAGAGTCTCCTCTGATCTGACGGGTCACACAGGTGAGTCGGTTCAAACCCCGGGAAAGCCAAAATAATAATTCTTTCTTCCTCGAAAAAGTTAAAGAACAAATCAAAGAAATCGAAGTGATCTTGAGATATCTCGAACTAATTCGGCTCTCACTTCGTCAAATAGCCGAATAGAACCGAAAACCTTGAAACTTTGCTTGCCCAATCTTGGTAAAAAAATTGCAACTTTGAAACATTCCTGAGCGTCGCAATTCCTTTACTTCGCGCTCCGCCGAAGTAAAAATCAAAACATTGTAGCGATGAGCATTAGTTTTTTAAAAACTCATCGGGATTCTAGGATTTTACACAGCAGAACAGCTAAAAAAAACCTGGCAGATAATGTGAAGGAAAAGAATTTTTAAGTGACAGCAGTCGAAATTACTGTGAATTTGAATTTTCGGTGCAGTTTTAAACGTAAGAACAACGGAGAAAAACTATTACCTCGGTCGCTTGTTATGAAGTGGTTTGAAGCCACAAGCTGGTTTTGCTGAACGAGAAAAGGAGCTATACTGCCGCCTCGATTGCTCTAGTGAATGGCTGCATATCCTGTATTTGTAGCTGGTTACTTGTAATTTATATTCTTGATGTCGGATAAACAAGCCGCAGTTATCTATCGGCGAGTGACTCGATCGGCGAATGGCTTCGCGATCATGAAGAAACAACACTTGTCTTCTTTCGTGGCTGGTCAAGGTACTTTAGTTCCATGTCTTTTCATGTGTTTTTCGACAAACTTTCAAACAAGCTCTTGTGGCTTTTTTGTTTGTTTTTGTCTTTTTTGTTTCGATGAAATTGCATTTCTAGTATTCTAAGAAAAGAATTAAAACGATTTGCTTCGGGCGCCGCTCTATCCTTCGCGAAAGAAAATCTCAGCTAGCTTCCAATTTTAAACTGACGCGTACACCGACCATATATGGAGAGCATGGTATAATAGCTCATATACCATAACAGCTAAGCCAATCAAAATGCTAGAATTGCATTATCCAATTATTCAGTTTTTAATAAAAAAGTGAAGACCATGGAAAATTGTGGTCGATTTGTTAAAAGACAAACCTAGTATACAATATATCTACATACAATAGACCTTTGTCACGCGGCGGCCATTTTGTCTCGGGAGATTTAAAAAGCTTTGTTTAGGAACCGGTCATTATTTATGTGGGAGGGTGGGGGGGGATTTTTTTTGTTTTAGCATCAAAGAAAAAACGTGACCCACCCCTTTAAGCCCATTAGTTAATTCTTGACCCACCCCCATATAACTTTATATAAGAGGTGACCCACCCCCAACCCCCTTCAATCTATACTTCTACAGTCAAGCTACCTGAAGCATGAACACGTAGACATCATTATTGATTTCATTAATCGATTATTGAAAAAATATGTTTGGCAATAATCAAATCAAAACCAGTTTTAAAAAATTTGCTTTTTTATTGAAGTCATTAAACAAAAAATGGTAATTCAATTAAAAAACTAATTTTCAAACTGTTTTTGATTTGAAAATTGGAAAAATTTGATTTCGCTAAATTGAATAAGGAATTCAATAATCCATTATTGAAACCAATAACGATTTCTAGCTGTTCACACTTCAGGTAGTAAAAGTTCCCAGACAGTTATATTAAGAAAAGGAAGCATGCAAGCCTTCTCAATAGGGCTTATGTTTATTTATTGATATTTAGTGCCCACATCTTTGATTCTCCATACTTAGGCTGGATTGCTACATGTGACATCCAGTTGTGTTATATTTTATGTCCAGCATTGCATTAGAATTTATTTAGATCTTCCACATGAATTGTAGTGAGTGTGATTCTTTACAAAACACACACAATGACCCACCCCCAATCATCGTGAAATTCTCTTTTGGCCCACCCCTTTTCTCTAAAAAAAAATAGGCCTGGCCCACCCAGCGGATTATTATTGTCCAAACCAGTGGTATTTAGGGAGCGAAAAATTTGGAGAGTTTTCTCCGACTCAAAATTTATTGGCTTCCTAGATGCTGCTAAACCAGTAACCAGATTTCAACTTGGAAAGTCTTTTTATTAAAAATAAATCTACCTGGAGTTTTGGAAACCGCAGGGGTTGCCTGAAATCTTTTAAGTCAAGTCCAGCACATTTCAGGAAATCTTTCAAATCATAATTTGCTTAAAGTCGGGATGCTTTTAGTACAAAAATAAAAATCTCCCTCTTTAGTACTAACCACCCTCAGCTCTTAATCATGGGCTCCAAATAATTTCCTAGAATTTACAGAAATCAGTGAAAAATCCAGAAAAAATGCCCTACGGGCCGGCCTGTTGCCCCGTTGGGCCAGCTAATATTTTTGAGGGGTGCTTCCGTCAAGCTAAGTGTCATGTTGTTACACAGACACAGGGCTATCATCTGGTATGCATTTGGGGTAGCCTGATTAAATTCCAGGGGGGGGGTTGATGAAATTTCTTTTTAAGGTGAGATTTATTAATAACTTGCCAGTAAAAAGGGGCATTAAATTACCAATCAGTGCGAGACACTGGCATATTTTGGTAGCCCGGTTTTCAAAAAAACAGATCTAAATTTATTATGAAAAATCTGTCCGATTTCCGTAAAATGCTGGAAACCGGTGTGGATCCGCGTCTACCTCTTAAACGGCCACCGTCTACTAAGGGGCCGGTAATCAAGTTCCGAAATAATTGTAGAAAAGAATGGGAAATTAAACCTCTATTAAGCGGTTTCGGCCACAGCTTGGCGTGTTTTTAACCTTGGAGAGTCTTAACAAAGTGTAATGAACCACTCATCAATTTGTGACGTCATTTGTCCCTGTATTAAATGAAAAGGTTCAGGTTTTTGCGTCATTCACTTTCGATGTAAGGGTGCGGTACATCGTGAAACAATTTGCTTTTCGTCGAATATTTTACAGGTTTGCTTGGCCTACAAAGGTTGCTAGCTATAGAGTGGTCACTGACCTCTCGATTGTTATTTCCACCTGCTCTACACCTGCGACCTTGCCCTCCTTTCCTACACGGCTATTTCCCTTTTAGCACTGAGAGGAACGGAAAATTAAAGCTGGTATTTGACCTTTAGACCGGCTAGAACCATTTGAGTTTTTTGAGGAAGTCTTGAAGGTTACGGTGACACCAGAACACGAGGCACTTGCCACGCCATCCCCGTGGACAAAAGAGAGTTTACTTGTAACTATTCTTGTTGTTGCAGTGTATGTGACACCAGCGCGGATCGAAATCACTTGGGAAAAATGCACCTCAAATGTCTTGACACTGAAACTGGTAGCATAGGACCCAGTCTTTTCTGCGATCAAGTTGCTTCCACGGTACAAGCGAATGGTGACCTGGAAACTAGTTGAACCGCTCTTGACTCCCCACAGACGGTACCCTGACAAAATGACGTCACGATTTGCCTGGAAATCGATTGCGTCAACGTTTCCACTGCCACTGGGATAATGAGAGTATCCCCAATTACCCTCGCTCGGACTTTTAGACCGGCTGCGCCAGCAGTCACATTTAGCTAGGACTGAAAAACAATTATTTAATCACGTGCCCAAATATTCCTAATGTTTGTTTGTCTGTTTGTTTGTTTGTTGGTGTTTTTGTTGTTGTTTTTCGATAGCTGAACGAAATAATGGGTAGAGAGACTCAGGTTTTCAACCTTAAGGAACCATTTTTCGTATGTTGTCTACATTACTCTGCCAAGATCTGTTGAATCTGCTTGTTGGGAAAGGAGAATTACGATATCCTTGCTTTACAAACCAGATCGTCGTTGCGCGAACAAATCCTTTATGGCCCTTATTGGAGAAATTTTATGCTGCCTCGTTGTTGACGCGCACTGGTACATACTTTGCAATATGGATGTCTGCTGATTCAGCCTTGTAGCATCGTTTTATGGTACATAACGTGCTCTGTTACAAACGTTATAAGTTTACTTAATTAGAACTAAAGAAACAAGGGGCATACGGAGGCTTTAATTTGCAGGTGCACATGTGTGGCTGCAGGTAAGTGCAAGTTTAAAGGTGCAGTGTGCGATGACGTCATTTTCGTGTCACACTCTTTTAGATCAAAGTGTAACAATTTTTCAGAATTTTTTTCTTTATTTTTCCGTACGTTTAATGAAGCTTTGTTCATTGTAGTTCATTTTATCCTTTTTTTTTTAGTTTCTTTACTCCAGTTTAGGTGTTTAGTCCTTTGTGTCATTTCACACGCCTTCGTTAGCGTCTCTTCGTATCTTTTTCATCTTCATTAGAGTCTTTTCGTCACTTTTGTTTTCTGCACATTCAACCATCATTCACCATGATTCAACCGTATTTTACACCGCAGTTCCTCAGCACGATGTTCAGTTTTGTTTTAGTCTGCGCTAAGCGCAGTTCTCTTTAGTGCTTTTCTACGTTTCTTCGCGTTTTACGCAGTCCGCTAACACAGCAGTTTTCCTTGGCCGTAACAATGTAAGTGTGTTTCACATGTACAGTTCTCGCTTTGTCGCAGTTTTGCTGTTTCTTTATGTCAAATTTTCGGTTGTAGCAACATGTAATTTTTATTTACCACGCAGATTTTGGCCACGCACTTCACTGAATCAAATAAAATAATCTTCATTTGTTCAGTGGATTTGGTTTGTGGCGTTGGTATTTCTGGCCACGAGAGTTCTTCACTGAGGGTCTCAATGAGGTTAACCGATAGGCGTAAAACGGCCAAAAATTTAGTCGATAGCCGTAAAAATTGAAAAATTTTAACCGTCAGCCGTAAATAGGGTAAAAAAGAGTTAACCGTAAAAGAAACTGTTCCCTAGATTTGCTACGTTTAATGAAGGTACTAAACTCACATATGGTTGCGTTTTTTATTTCCCGGCTAGTGTGATTTCGTACGTACGTTAGGCGAAGCGCCTTTTAGGTGTTGACCAAGACCTAGGCTCCATTTCCGCCGCTCTCTCGGGGAACTATATCCACAGCGAAAGTGTGGCTTCTTGCTGGGGATTAATATTTGCGATTTTCAGGAGGTCGTGCTCTCGAAACACTAGTGAAACAACACGCAGAGATGTCACTGTTTGTAAAACACGCTGCCGATAAACAACATTTCCCTGTTTTTCTCTGACTCTACGGTAGACATTGCCATGCCTAATCCCTGTACGGCGTCTTCCCACGCAATCTCGGTCAAGGCGTTTCGGTGGCGAACTCGCTCGGACCACGTGACCCGAAAAGCATTAGCCGCGCGGAATAATTAGGCCTACGGACAAGGCAACGGCAGACAGTCGTTCCGTACGGTCCTTTGCTATCATTAAAAACACTGGACTCGGTAATTTTGTTATTGGACGTTTTCACACTAGAGCTAGAAATGGATTATTCGTCTGACTAGTCACAGTACAGTCGCGCCCTCCCCACAGACACCCCTTCTCCGACTTTTCCTGAGGGGAGGGGGCGGCTGTACACAGGCTATCTGGAACGGAAAATCCCGTCTTCAAAAGTCAGGCGGATTGTTCATTCAAAATTGAAACTATTTCATTTTCAAATTAAGACGTACTACCTATCTGACACGGCGAATCATCAAACGGATAATCCGTCTCACACGAATAATCCGTCTCTAGTGTGAAAACGGCCATTAGTCAGTCCGGGCCACAACCAGATCTGGATATATGATGACGTCACCCACATTTGCAAAATGGCGTCCACGCCGAGAAACTTGAGGGAAGGTCACTTCCACGCTCTTTGCTGCGCCTAGAAGTGTCTTTTCCCCATACAACTTTGAGAGCCGTGACTTTAGACAATGAGAAATCAGGGGTGTGAAGAAAAAATGCCGTCCGATGAACGTTTGTGCGTTTGTGGGAGGTAAAACGACCGAACACGAGGGTTTTTCAGCTCAAAGAAATGCCGGACAAGGCGCAAAACATCTAAAAAAAGAAGGTGAGTTTCAATTCTCTGATCCTTGAAAAAATTTTTTTGAAATCTACACAAAATTTGCTTGTTGATGGTGGTCTTTTTGGTGTCAAATAGTGCTGTGCTTTGGAAGATGCAACAGTCAGTTGCGCCGTTCACGTGCTGGTCTTCATTGTAACGCCATGTTTACTTTATGTTATCTTGCAGTCGGATGGAAAAGCAAAAGCCCCTTGTTTTTTTGGCAAAAAGATGCCGCCGGTTTGTTCGTGGAGAATCGTATCCATGGTCTTGCCTGATCACAAAGTGGCAATAACAAAAGCAGTTCAAACACTGTTAAGCTTATTCAAAAGCTATCATAATCAAGGAAGCGAATACGCGCTCCAGACAGAAGACTCGTATTTATAGAAAAACACCAAGCTGGAGTCTACTGAGTCACAATACATTTCTCCATAGTTGATGCAGCTTCAGTTGAAGGTGCACTTAATTCTTATAATTTTGTATCTGTAAATCACTATCCGTGATAATAAATAACATCCTGCAAAGAAAACTCATGAGCTGAGCCCAGCGTGATAGAACACTGCAAAAAAAAAACATTTCTATTTACATTCACGGACTAACAAAAATCGCTTAGTTATTCAGATCCAAAAGGCACTTTGGAGAAAATTAGAACCCTTATTCAGCCGTAATGAAATGCTTTACGCTTGAAAAACTGAGGTCACAGAAAATGCTCTTGCATTAGAGGGAAAATCCTTCAGACCAGATACAAAAACCACAGTAAATCGACTTACTGTAGTTTGCGAAACGAAATGGAGCGAATCGAAACGAAACGAAACGAAATGTAAAACTGTAGTTTGCGAAATGAGAGTCTGTAGTTTGCGAAATGAAAATCTGTAGTTTGCGAAATGAGAGTCTGTAGTTTGCGAAATGAAAATCTGTAGTTTGCGAAATGAGAGTCTGTAGTTTGCGAAATGAAAATCTGTAGTTTGCGAAATGAGAATCTGTAGTTTGCGAAATGAAAATCCTCTGGAGAATGCCGACTTCAAATTCAGCGTGAACAACGAAGGAGAAGACGTCAACAAGAAACCGCGGAGCAGAAGGAACATCGCGTAGCACAGCGAAGGCAACGCCGACAACAATAGACAGAGGAATAGGAGATTGGAATCAGAGGCATTACGATCGTTTTACACTGTCGAAAACCCAGATTTCTTAGTTTGCCGGTTTTCCCGCCGATATATAGATCAAAGTCTGCAGTTCGAAGTTCCAGCTCTGTATTACGGGCCGAAGAATAATAATTTTCGGGCGAACTGCACCGGGCCATATTTGTTCTTTGTTTTTTTCTTTTTCTAAATCCGGACGCAGAAATAATGCTAAATCTGCTTTTCAATACCCTGTTAACAGTAACACCACATAATACGCAAAAAAGAAGAAGAAGAAGAAGAAAAGAAAGAACAACGTATGGACCTTTAAGACGATCTTCGCGGTGGGTCACCCATCCAGTTCGTAACCCCGACCGACAGGGCTTAACTTGAGCGCTTGAGCTTAAGTTAAACTTTTCTGGGCGAAACAGCTTTTTTGGGGAAATTTTCTGTTTAGAATATCCGAGTAGACGCAACGAGAATAGACTACGAGTAGTCCCCCATTTTTCCTACAACTACAGATTTTCATTTCGCAAACTACAGAATCCATACGTTGTTCTTTCTTTTCTTCTTCTTCTTTTTTGCGTATTATGTGGTGTTATTGTTAACAGTGTATTGAAAAGCAGATTTAGCATTATTTCTGCGTCCGGATTTAGAAAAAGAAAAAAACAAAGAACAAATATGGCCCGGTGCAGTTCGCCCGAAAATTATTATTCTTCGGGCCGTAATACAGAGCTGGAACTTTGCAGACTTTGATCTTTAAGTATTCAAATTCCCTACTCTTCACTGACTCTTCCCTTTCGATCGGTGTCGTCGAGTTGCTTCGGGTCTCTTGATATCAGGAGTCCAGGCGTTTTTATAGAAACCTTCCTCGATCATTATCATCTTGATATTTGTAAATCGAACGCTAAGACGCATAAAAACATCTCGATTAATCGGTTTGGTATTACATGCTGTCACTTTTCTTCAAGGAACATCCCAGCCTTAGCGCTCTTTGCTGTCGAACTTGGCTTTCGCGGTCAAATCAATGTTTTGGTTGCGGTCTGGACCAATCACATCGCAGGAAATTACATATCCAGATCTGGTTGTGGCCCGGACTGTTAGTGTTATAATGAATGTCGCGCTCTGGCCTTGAGTTGGGCGTTCGCGTGTCTGCTTTTGCTTTTTCACAATGCAAAGATTATTTTTAAATTGACTATTGACATTTCTATGTGTAAGAATACTTTATAAAAAGTATGATCTATCAAATATTAAAATCTTTCAAAAGAATAGCTTATTTCATTCCGAGATGATCCGAAGACCTTTCTTTTGATTTAAAGATACAAAAAAATACAGGTTAATTAATATTTAACTTTTTGAACCAAAAGAAGTTAATTTTTAACTTTTTTGTTAACCGTAACTGCAAAAAATTAAGCGATAGCCGTAAAAACCAAAATTTTAGCCGATAACCGTAAAAGCCACCACCCCATTGAGACCCTCTTCACTTATTGCAGTTTAACATTCCTTCACACGGACCTATACAAAAATTTATCTTTAAAAAAAATAACTGGTACCAATACGCTCAAACAATGCCAAAAGCTTAGGTCCGAGGATTTTATGAGATACTCTGAATGACTATTTTAAATATGAAGGTTACCCAAAGAATAAATAGAGAACTTTATATTCTAATTAGAGACCTTTAGATTCGAGGACGAGGACGACAACGATTATGAGATTTGACTTATATATTTGCATTCACTTACATTCGCGCTAAAACTCGTAGTAGAGTGACAACGGCTACCACGTTTTCCCGCCAAAATGACGCTGAATAGCGCGCCAGCACTACTTAGTATTGAGAAAATATCGTACTCGTAGTCGTACTGGTCCTGGAATCTAAAGCTCTCTACTAAGACAAGGAAGATCACGAGAACGAGATTTGTCCACGCGTGCGAACCAACGTCATTTTGGCGGGAAAATGTGATAGCCATCGTCATTCTACTACGAGTTTTAGCGGGAACTTCTTAGTGGCCAAAGCAAGTTATCAAATGTTAGAAATTTTATCATTTATCGTAATCGGGAGAGGGATTTACCTTCAACGAAAATAAATGAACTAACTTTTGTGGTGAAAAAAGTACAATATGAGGCTTCTCGGGGTGTTATTTTCTAGAGAATGGGCGAGAAAACTTAAAAGTAATGTCGTCCCCGTCCTCGAATCAAAAGCTCTCTAATAACACACATTTTGAGGCGTCAGAAACGGAGCGGAAAGAGAGTGAAGGGTAAGCGTTAACTCGTTTACAATGCTAAGTAGATAACGAGAAAACCTTGAAAATCGGGTCATTACTCAGTAGTGTTCTCCTCTCTCGAGATACGACTCTGAACCAAATGACCGAGCGTTTTAGCACAAAAACTTGTGAAATCTACTTACGCCATCCTGCATACCTTTTAGAGTGAGGGTTTAGTTTCTCCAGGTATGTAGGTGTGAGACACAAATGACTTCATTGGAAACTATATACACCTGCACCTGCAGGTCAAAATGACGTCATCGGATACTGCACCTACACACCTGCAACTGCAGTTGTACACCTGGAGACTCAATAGCAAATTTAGGGGCATCTTAGTCTTTTGAATACATCAAAAAATTTCAGTTTTGCAAGCGTAGACGTTTAAGTCTAATTTGTCTAAACATGGTGAAGTGCTAATCTTTCCGTAAAATGTTTTATCATGACATATGAGGTCGGCGTAACGTGCTATATACAAACCTGGTCCTTTTTGCACAAACAAGTTCATGGTGGCCTTTTTTGATCCCATGCTGTTCGTTATCACGCATTGGTACAAACCGCTGTCCACTGGTCTTAAATTCCTAATGGTGAGTCTACCTTCCTTTACGTCGGTCTTTCCAACAGGTAAAGGGGAAACTAGTCTGATCCAGGTCAACTTGGGAGGTGGATACCCTTCTGCCTGGCAAGTTTCTTGTATTTGAGAGAATTCCATTTTTGAGACCAGTGATGAGGGTTTTTTGGTAAAGATCGGAAGACCTAAGAGACGAATAATCAATATGATGTGGCTTGCAAAAGCTATAGTTTTTACCAGTATTCCAAACTACACAGAATGGGCGGCATTCACTTAAAGAAATATCTATGTGAGTTTTACCGCGTCCAGTAGACACCACATGTGTTAGACGTGAACATATATAACATTCAAGTGGTGCAACTCGTGCGAATAATGGTGTGATATATGCCAGCTCAATAGTTTCACGACTCGCACGAGTCTGACAAGTTGAACTAAAATTCCATATAAAGGGGGTGGGGATACTCGTCGTTTCGTTTGGGTAGATAAATTGAAGATTCTGGTATCATCCAGTGTGTTTGGTACGAAACGTCAAAATTTTTATGTATTCAGGGTTTAACTTAGGGTGATGTTTGAACAAATACCGTAAATCCTCTGTGAAGCCCCCCCTCTCTAATAAGTCCCCTCCCCCTTTTCAGGGCAGGAAAGTCAATAAGCCCCCCCATTCCCTCCCCCTTATTTTTGTTCACTAATAAATGATAGACTGCATTAATCAAAAGTATTGAAAACAAGGAGCTGATAAATCGGTTCCTGAGGAAAAATGGTAAGATTAGCGAGTCGGCAAGAAATATTCCTAACATCACTTATTTCACTATCTAGCTCTATCTGACTTTACAAATAAAGCTTGAACTACGTTCTGATGGATCTCCTACGAGAGTTTAATTCTAGCCGTTGCTTACGATTGTCACGCACCCTTTTAACATACACCATCACCCTTTTTATGGTGGTAGTCGCCCTCCTGGACTTCATGCTCCCTCAATAGCAATGTAACAGGACCCTATTGCAAAACATGTTTAATAAGATAAGCAATCAGCCAGGAAACATGGCCCACCCCTGACTTTGGTAAGAAAGAATTCTGATGGCCCATCAGCGGCCTTGCAAAAGGAAGAAGAACAATAAGCTTTACTACTTTGAAAATTGAAAACCCTAGGGTTTTCAATTTTCAAAGTAGTAAAGCTTATTGTTCTTCTTACCTCGAACCTTCAAATTACCAGACGCCTCAGACGATCCAAGAATGTTTCTTGCCGCACATTTGTACTGCCCAGCATCGCTGTAATTCAGATTCCTGATGATCAGTTCTGCCTTTTTAACCAAATACTTTGCTCCTGACAGAAGCTTTATGCCCTTGAATCGCCACTCAACAGTAGGAGTAGGGTTTCCTCCAACCGTACAATAAATCGCAGTATTTCTTCCTTCATCTCTAGTGTGATTTGCAGGCGATACCATCACTTGTGGAGCAGATATCGATTCTCCAGGCCTCCCAGGTGGTCCTGGAATTCCTGGTTCGCCTTTGTCACCCTTTTCTCCCCTAGATCCTGGAAGTCCAGCCATTCCTGATTTTCCAGGTGGTCCTTTCTTTCCCCTAGGTCCCCTCCTGCCACGTGGTCCTTGTGCACCAATGGGACCAGGAAGTCCGGGGGGACCTGCAGGGCATACCCTCTCTTGTGACTTACAGTACTTGGAGGGCATAAGTTGTTTAAACTGTTTGGTGATTTCTTGACGCACGTCATGCATACTGATGGTTGCTGAAGTCAAGTTCGAAACCTGTCTCCGGTTTCTTGACTTTGCGCTTGTTCTTGATGTTGCAGACTCATCTAAGACCAAGGCAAAATCAATTTTAGGACTGAAACGTATTTGATATTGTGCATTGAAGTTCTCATGTAAAAACCCCTTTAATTTTTATTTGCTTATCTTGACTCTGTTACTTTGGTTACTGATATGGCCAACACTAGCTTTAGAAGGTTTGCTTCAGTGGGTTTGTTGAAAACAGCTTTTTCGGGGTATATATAATTTTTATTTCCCATTTAACTAGAGTGCAAAATAACACGAGAAGTTAAGTTCGCGCTTAATGTTCTAGCCTGTGTGGCATTCTCTCGCGCCCAAAAGCCACTTTCCTTTCCTTTTCAAACGCCTGCCACGCAGGCTATTAACGTTCATGATTGACAGTTTTACATAAAAGTCCCCGGATACAAAAATTGACGAGGGCTCCTTAGGAAAAACAATGTTTGTGGTGATTTGTTTCGCATTTTGTTGAATGAATTTTTACGGATTTTAAAGCGGAAATTTATTTTAGGAAAAACACAGCTGCTAAGTTTAAGCGTAGCTTGTTTTGAGTTGCCATTCTTCGTGTTGTTTCATTGTTTATCCCTTTGAGGTTTCTCGGCTTTCTTAAAGTACAATTAAAACACTTTATATTGACAACCCCACGGTATCAAAAGCATTTTACTGCCCTTTTGAGGTCCTGGTTAGCCAAGCTAAAGCTCTTCTATACAGCTCGCCAATAAAACTGTTTTTTGATTATATTTACACAATATATATCTGTGACTGTGAGTGTGACTGTGATTGTATCAGCTTTCAACTACCGTGTGGGATAGGACCTTCTATACATGGAATTTAATTCCGCATTCACAGACTCTTTTTGTAACTTCCACATTTCTAGTTCAAAGTATGCGGAAATTAAAACTATAAAAATTAACATGTACCCCTTTTTCCTTTATCATCGCATGATCAGTTATGAATATAAATTTATAAATTTTCGAAAACAGAAACTTTTATCTTGAAACGATTGGCCCAACCTTTTAAAGGTGCAATCACCTGAATTTAATTTCCGTTGCGGCCATCCTTTTACAACGGCAAAAGTGAAACATTGTATCATAGAATGGAAGTACTTAACGATACGTCGACTCCGGATAATTAACTCGAACCAAAATCGATTTCCCCTGGATTTCCTTCATTCATTTACTGTAATTTTACCCTCGGTAACCCGAAACTTCGATAACTCGAATCTCCCGCTAACTCGATTTTTGTTTCCCCTCAGATCATTTCTATGTAATTTTACCCTCGATAACTCAAACCATGTTTTTAGCGATTAAAAAGTAGGGAAAAAACAGTGTACTGGCTTCCGAAACATTGAGTTTTGAAGTCCCACTGACGTGTTGTAGACAGTGGAGGCTGATGCTCTTTGTCACAAATCTAACGTGAATCAGCTTTACTTCTCAAAACAGTAAACGCATGCTCTATGTTTAGGCTATGTTTTGTTACGTTACGTTCTGATTTATAGCCTAAAAGTATCTTTCAATTTTCACTTAACATAAAATGTGATTAAAATGTTCACTGTACGGTACAACTGTTTTTACCTTACTTCCGGCTATTTTCTTCCAGCTTCCGGTAACTCGAACTTTTTTCGATTTCCCCTGAAGGTTCGAGCTATCACTAGTCGACGTATTGTTTAGGTATTGTTTGAGTAGTGGAGGGTATTTATAACAAAAATGAACAAAAAGTTTTTGGGTCCTTCGAGTCTCACGATTAGTGTGTAACCTGTAAAACTCTAAAATGTGAAATAGGACAGATTTTAACTGTTAAGGTGAACCTACTACGGAATAATGTTATTATGCCTTGCCCGTCCCCCCTCAGTCTGAAAAACTGTTGTCAACAGTCACATCATAAAAGAACATATACGAAATTTCTGGTTCCAGGAAGCAGAAAATTTCAAGAAATAAGGAAATATTTCCCCACCAATAAGCTGAGCTTAAAAAAATTGGGGGACTGTAAATGTTTTTGTACTGTCTTGATCCTAACCTGAAGTATCGTCGAACTTCATTTCTCTCTGAATTTTTCGTAAGAGATGTCTCGCAGATTCTTCTTTTGGCTTTATCGTCGTTCTGTTAACACTGTTTTCCGTTGAACGGCCATTCTTAACAAGAACTTCCAGTGGGAACATGTTGATGCGAGTTTCCAGCGCGGTGAGTCGCCCGTTGGTTGTTTCATTCTTCATCCAGAGACATCCACAAGCAAAAAGTAGCACCACCGAAAGAAAAGATGGCCTAATTGAAGGGAGAAAATCCAAGAGTCGATGGGACTTCGAAGAGTTAACCGAAGCCATTTTCATGCAGTGCAACCGCACGGTCGTTTGCTCTCAAAGACCTCAGACACACAGGAAGACGAAAGGCAAAGGAAAATTGACAGAATAATTTGATCCTGTAAATTCCAGCCTAGATAAACAGAGGTGTTAATTATTTGGATATCTTTGTTACACAAGGAAGCATTTTACAATTCCTCAATTCAAGGATTTCTTGAAGTCCTACACCTGTTCTAGTGTCATATCAAGATGCCCATGGAATTATTCTCAGTGTATTCTGCAAGTTGCTTTTATTTTTCACAATCTCCCTCGTTGAGTTATTTTTTTATTGTCGTTTGAAAGGAAACAAACAAGTTCTTATTCATCCTTCATAACCTTTTGTAACACATGCGCTTAGTATTCCACAAGGTCAATAAAAAATAGCCCTTTAGCGCAGATGAGCAAATTTCACACAACAAGTTCGATTCTGAAATTCAGGGCAAGTTTGCGACGGTTTACATAAATAAAAGAGTTGAAAAGAATATACATGCACAGAAAGTGTCAATAGAAAGAATATCGTTTACAAACGAGGCTTAGTGGTATAGTTTGAGTAAGGACCGTTGACTGAGTGAGGGTTGTCCAATACTGTCCACCAGAATCCAGTCGTATCCCCTTGCTTTCCATCGGAAAACCGGAAGTCTAGTGGTGTAAAGTCCTACAAAGTGTATTGGATGCATTGGACACGAATAGATTCCGATGGAAAAGTTCATTTTCTATTCGTGAGAGACTTAGAAAAATTCCGCTCATGTTGGATGAGGGGGTGGAAAGTCGTTCCAATGGAGTCCATCGGATCCATTGGAAAGTTCATTTTCTATTCGTGAGAGACTTAGAAAAATTCCGCTCATGTTGGATGAGGGGGTGGAAAGTGGTTCCGATGGAGTCCATCGGATCCATTGGACACGAATAGATTCCAATGGAAAAGTTCATTTTCTATTCGTTAGAGACTTAATAAGATTCCACTCATGTTGGATGAGGGGGTGGAAAGTCGTTCCGAAGGAGTCCATCGGATCCGTTGGACACGAATAGCTTCCGATGGAAAACTTCATTTTTCTATTCGTGAGAGACTTAGAAAAATTCCGCTCATGTTGGATGAGGGGGTGGAAAGTCGTTCCGATGGAGTCCATCGGATCCATTGGACACGAATAGATTCCGATGGAAAAGTTCATTTTCTATTCGTTAGAGACTTAATAAGATTCCACTCATGTTGGATGAGGGGGTGGAAAGTCGTTCCGAAGGAGTCCATCGGATCCGTTGGACACGAATAGCTTCCGATGGAAAACTTCATTTTTCTATTCGTGAGAGACTTAGAAAAATTCCGCTCATGTTGGATGAGGGGGTGGAAAGTCGTTCCGATGGAGTCCATCGGATCCATTGGACACGAATAGATTCCGATGGAAAAGTTCATTTTCTATTCGTTAGAGACTTAATAAGATTCCGCTCATGTTGGATGATGGGGTAGACAGTCGTTCCGATGGAGTCCATCGGATCCACTGAAGACGAATAGATTCCGATGGAAAAGTTTATTTTTCTATTCGTTAGAGACTTAGAATGATTCCACTCATGTTAGATGGATTCCACTCATGTTACATGAGGGGGTGGAAAGTCGTTCCGATGGAGTCCATCGGATCCATTGGAAACGAATAGATTCCGATGGAAAAGTACATTTTTCTATTCGTGAGAGACTTAGAAAATTCCACTCCTGTTGTATAAGGGGGTGAAAAGGCGTTCCAATGGAATCCATTGTGTCCATTAGATTCGAATAGATTCGAATGCCTGGAGAAGAACATTTTCTATTCGTAACGCCAGGTCAAAAATTGTCACTGTCATGTTGAACGAGGTGGAAAAGTGTGAAACGGAGTCTACTGCATCAGTCTTTCGCAGTGGAGAGGTGTATAAGAGGTCGGGAAAATGTGGTATGTAATCTTAATTATTTGGTTAGCGAGAAAAGGCTAGTGAAGTCCGATCATCCATCAAAAACTGCATCGCTTCATGACGTAATTTCTTTTTAAAAGCGACTCGTAAATTTGAGATAATTCAGTATAAAAATTTCTGTGTAGCGAATGGCGGTAGCGATATGCGTTCTCTATTCGTCCAGCTCCCGAATTTCGATATGTTAGTTCGTTGTTATACTCCAGGAGAAGTGAAACAACTCAATTAGATTTGACAAAGTGAGCGTGCTACAGGATCAGGTAACGCGAACTGTTGGGAACGCGAAGGATGCGATCGAGGGGGACTAGAAACAAGAGTTGCCAGATCGACAAAATGGCCAAGATGGCGCATCTTTCGATCATTGACTTTCTAAAAGAATTACGAGTAAAGAATTCGAACGGCAAGGAAAAGGCATGTGAAATTATCTTAAATTCCACTGTTCCTTGAAAATGTGGAATCTTTCGATATTAAATCAGAGCATAAGAAAGCAAAAACGTAACCTGAAGTGCTAATTTGGAATTCCTCCGAGGCAAGAATGTCGCCGGAGTTATCTATTTTGAAACTCGTAAATGGAATCTCTCAGTAGGATTTTGGCGTCCCTCCGAAGGTAACGTTTCAGAAGGGGTTTGGTATCCTTAGAAGGAGGTGTGTTGCAAATGGAATCCCTCAGAAGGACTTTGGCATCCCTCAGAAAGAGATGTCTGTTGCCTGAGATTTTGATCCAAAAGTAAGTAGCCAGGAAAATACCACTATTTATTAGCATGTACTTACAGTTACTATACGCACCACTGCATGCAAGTACATGCAAGTAGACCAGTTGGCAATTCATTATAATGTGTTAGAGCTGGTATTGTAGTGTAGTTTTTAACATTTACTTATCCGAGTCATGATAATTATGCAAGTCTAGGTTCGTTTATGAAATGGTTTGGAACTCCTCAGTTCCTTAAAAATGACGAATCTTTTCACAATAAAAGCATATTAATGAAGCATAAACCTTATGTGCTGATAAATTGAAAATTTCAACATCTCCCCTGCCCTCCACCCTGGGTATTTGACGCACTATTTTTGTCGTAAATTGTGAATTTGATCTTTGCTTGGGTATGTCAAGTGTCAATTTTACATTTTTTTATGTTTTCATCGTCTGGCTGACAATGTAGATGGAGGAGTTTAAAGGTAAAGGCACATCTTTTGTAAAGGAACGGCTTACATAACAAGGACTTTACAAGCTAAAAGTACGATTTTTTGCTGCCATGACTCTAATTCAGTAATACAAAAAGTATTTGACTCTGAAGATGACTATTGCACAGGTTGTTGAAACATCAGCAGGGTGGTAGCCAGCATTTTTGCATAGAGGGGTTCCTAATGTGGTATTTTTGTCTAGATTGACGATAAATCTTCAGAGGGTTTCCTGGAAAGTTTTAATACTTTAGATCGTCTGAAATTTCGTTTTGTGATTCTGAGCACAAATTTCTAATAACAGTGCCATATGAAGCTAGCTTTTTTCGCTTCCAGTGAAGAGATAGTGTTTATGTTGTAGAGTTTCTATTAAGCTCCCTCATAGTCAAACCATTACAACATGCTAATGAAACAGGGCTTCTGATATTTCGCGGAAAAAAAAGCAAAATTTCGCGGGATTTTCAGGGGCAAATTCGCGGAAAAATCGGCCGATTTCGCGGGATTTTCGCGGGAAAAAAGTCAAAATTCGCTCAAAAATCGGCCCATTTCGCGTGATTTCGGCCGATTTCACGGGAAATTTTTGGGGGAAACTTCACCAAGAAACAATCAGTAAAAAATAGCCGATTTCGCTGGATGTTTTTGGCAAATTTCGCTAAAATCGATCAATTTTGCGTCGATATGACCAGCATTGTTTAACGTTTTTTTAACAGGGATAATCACTTGCTCTTTCAACAACAGTTCGCTCGAGAAATGAGCGAATGCTAAAGCCGTTAACATTATGGTTAGTGCCCAGTTTTCGCAACGTTCATCTAAGACGCCTGGTAGTTTTGAGACGTTGTTAATTGTTACAGTGACGAAGTTTGAAGATAAATTTGGACGTTTGAGGTGAATAGAACAGGTCTAATAGCCAAGATAAGTATTAAATGTGTTTTGCCGACATGTATTTGGAAATATTTCTGGCGGATTTCGCGGTATTTCGTGTTTTTTTGGGAATTTCGCGGGATTTCGCGGAGATACTTGAATTTCGCGGGTCCGCGACCGCGCGAATTATCAGAAGCCCTGAATGAAAGCAACCTAAACCAACAAAGGTGCTGAATCACACATTGCAGGCTTGTATACACAGCGGCCACGTATGATCTTCCTCACAGTAATAGAATTAAAGTAAAAAAGACTACTGCAAAGACTGATAAAACTTCAACATATGTAACCCTTGAAATAGAATGTGATGCTTTTTGGTTTTTTTTTTCTTCTCATTTTCTTTAAAAGCTAAAATCTCATTCCTCTTAAAATTATACCTAGTGCTGCAGCCTAAGGGGGGTTCCGGAACCCCTCGAACACTCCTCTGGCTATTCCACTGATCAGTCACCGTCAACAACGGTCTCATTATCATTGGTAGAAATACGCCCAACTTACTTTTAGACGTCCAAAACACTCACCATAAATTAATCCACACCCCAAACTACATGCAAAAGTACCCTGGGTGTGACACGGTGTGATCCCCCTTTGAAAATTCCTAGCTATGCCCCTGAATGATGTTTTATTGATATTATATTTTTGACAGGATCATGCAAAACTGGAAATTGCAAATCTCAGTTCTGTAAATTGATCCTTTAGTTCCAGACCTTTCAAGGCAAGAAGGAAGGTTTTAAATAATTGTTTGGAGGGAGTTAGTTTTTGCGATTCCCTCTTTATACAAAGAGGTAAGTTTTAAATTCAATTCTGGCCATAGTACCACACTGCACTACAAATCAGAATTTCTCAAGCTCAGTTGGAATTCGAGATCATATATTTTTGTTTTGTCTTGTCGCTTATCGTAGGTACGGCAGACAATGATAGCGATGAGGAACCGGTCTTTTCTTTAACTATATATGCTAGCTTTGGCAGGA